TAACAAAATGCCTAAAGAAAAATTCGAAGATTATTCATAATCAAGAATTTATTTCAACTTTTAATACTTGTAAAAAATTTATTAATTAACGCACCTATTTTACAATATCCAGATTTCAAAAAACCATTTATATTGACAACAGACGCTTCGAATGTGGCCTTAGGAGCAGTCTTATCTCAAGGACAAATAGGTTCCGATAAACCAATAGCTTTCGCTTCAAGGACATTAAATGAGACAGAAACACGGTATAGTACAATCGAAAAAGAATTACTTGCGATTGTATGGGCATGTAAATATTTCCGACCATATTTATTTGGACGAAAATTCACAATTTACACTGACCACCGACCATTGATATGGCTATTTAACTTGAAAGAACCAAATAGTAAATTAGTAAGATGGCGCTTAAAATTAGAAGAATTTGACTATGACATAATGTACAAAAAAGGAAAAATAAATACCAATGCAGACGCACTTTCAAGAATTCAAATAAATGCTCTAGAAATTGAATCGATGATAAATCACCCTGGAGACACAGAAGAACAAGGATTCGACCCTATTGATTATCTGAGAGACCTAGCAGAAAATGTTGACCGTGAAGAACAACCCTCAACAAGCCAAAAGAACACAGATAAAACTAAAGAAAAGGAAAAGATAAAAATTCTCCAAGATATACAAATTAGATCACCAAGAACTAGGAAAGAAGTTCAGAAAAAAGAGTTACAACAAGAAGAAGAACAAGAGCAAAAACATGAAGATATACAAGGAAAAGAACAAGAGGATTTAACTACACAGCATTCTAACGTCATGGAAACTACCAATGATGGAATTTCAATATTGGAAGAGATTATAAACAACAAAACAAATCAAATATTAGTTTTTCCACATCTTCATAATAAATTAATTGTGAATCAAGAAAACTATCAACATCATAAAATAATTAATGTCAAAATTCCCAAAACTATAATTTAATATTTGAATTTTTAAGGGATTATACAGTGGAAAGTAAAACTTATCACATGTATTTTCATTTAGATGAATTTTATAAACAATTTAATAAAGTTTATCTTGAACGCTTTTCAGAGAAGGGACCAAAATTAATACGTTGCACTAAATTAATAAATACAGTAATAGATAAAGAAGAACAAATTTTACTAATCAAAAATCATCATGAAGGGAAAACAAATCATAGGGGCATAAGTGAAACTCTCGAATATTTAAAAAGAAATTATTTTTGGATAGGCATGAAAAAAGAAATTACAAATTATATTAATTGTTGCGACATCTGTCAACGCGCAAAATATTGTAGGAAAAAACCTTATTCACCTTTAATGTTAACTGAAACAGCTTCTAAGCCTTTTCAAAATGTTCATATTGACGTATTCTATTATAATTCAAAAATGTATTTAACTCTAGTTGACGCATTTTCAAAATATGCACAAGCAATTGAAATACCTGGAAAAAATGCAATAAACATCGCAAATGCCTTAATTAAATATATTGCTTTTGCGGGAATACCAGAAAAAATAATTTTAGACAATGGGGCAGAATTTAAGAACGAAACTGTCAAAGAACTTTTAAATTTACATAAAATTAAAGTACATTTTACCACCCCCTTACATCACGAATCAAACAGTGTAGTTGAAAGATTTCACTCCACAATTATAGAACACCTAAGATTACTGAAAGAAAGTTTCCCTACTGAAACTGAAGGATTGATGGATTATGCTATTATTGCCTATAATAATACAATACATAGCTCAACAAAATATACACCATTTGAACTAACTTTTGGTCATACGAACTCAAGAGAGCCAAATGAGATATTTAATCTAAAAGAATATTTTACAGATTATACCCAAAATCATAAACAAAAACTAGAAAAAGTTTATGAAAAAGTAAAGGAAGATCTAAATAAACAAAAAGAGAAAGTTGTTTCTAAACACAATGTAAAAGGAAACACAAATGATGAATTTAAATTAGGACAGACGGTATATAAATTAAACCCTTTAAAAAGGAATAAATCAAAAAATAAATTCTTGGGACCATATACTATAACAAAAATGTTAGAAAGGAATCGAGTGGAAATAACTCGGAAAAAAGATCCGAATAAAAAAGAAATACTACATATTCAAGAATTGAGGAAACCACCTGTTGTTTCAGATTCGCCACCACCTATGGAGAACCAAAATACCACCGAATGAATGATAACCCAGGAATACTACCCTTAAAATTAGGCAACGCCCAAAATAAAATCGACACTTGGAAATTTATACAAGTATTTGATATAACTAATTTAATTCAACAATTTAATGAAATTCAAAATCAATATTTTAGAATAAAAATTGCTTTTGAAAATAATACCAATGTTTCAAAAACATACAAATATAATTTTTATAACTCTTATAATTTAGCAAATTTATTGCAACTAAAATAAATATTCAAATTAAACAAATTAATCCTTTATATGGTGCTAATAATAATAGATATAAACGTGGTTTAATTGATGGACTGGGATCAATAATCAAATCAATAACTGGTAACTTAGATCAGTATGATGCTGAAAAATATAATAAAGCCATTGAAAATCTTTCTGACAATCAATTAAAAATAAAAACTATTATTAAAAATCAAATTTCAATGTTTGACAAATCAATTGAAAATTTCCAAAATAATATTAAAAATCTATCTAATAATCAAATAATAATTAAACATCGTATTGACATGTTAGAAACAATTCTTTATAATACTGAAGCATATTTTCTTGACACATATCAATATTTACTATTACAAATTACTCTTTCACAAATAATCAATGAATATCAGATTATTTACGATATATTAGAAAAAATCGAAACTGCCATAAGTTTTGCTAAGATAAACGTATTTCACAATTCTATTGTTCAGAGTGACGAATTGTTCAAGGAAATAAATTCTGTTTCACAGTATTTAAAGAACTCTAAACTACCTTTTAAACCTGAACTTATAAATTTAATACTTTTTGAAAAAACTATAAATATTAAAAGTTATAGTGAGACAAATAAAATAATTTTTATTTTAGAAATACCTATTGTGGAAAATGATAGTTATAATTTATATCATCTTTACCCATTTCCTGTAAAAAATAATAATTCCCTAAATGTAATAATACCTAATGCAAAATACTTAATATTTAATGAACAGAATTACGCGTTTCTGGACAATAAATGTGAAGAAGTGACTCCAAGTGAATTTATCTGCAAAGACTCTAATATAGTTAAGATATCTAAAAATAATCCATGTGAAATTGAACTTTTAAAATATAATAAATTTATTTCTAATTGTCATTTAACACCTGTTGAAATTTTAGAAAATAAAGTTCAAAAAATTGAACAAAATAAATGGATAGTTATATGTCCTAAACAAACTATTGCAGTTCAGTATTGTCAAAGTAATCATGAAAATATACCTTTATTAGGAAGTTACATTATTGAATTAAATTCTGATTGCGAAATAAAAATCAATGATGTAATGATTAAAAATTTAGGTGATACGAAATTTAATTATAAAAATATTCAATTGCCAAAATTAAATTTTACAAAGATGTCAGAAAAATCTATAAATAAATTAAAACCATTAAATCTAGATTCTATTGATTTAAATAATATACATCCTATTAGAAATATCATAGAAAATGATTTAGAATCGATTAAACCATTTATTTTTGAAACTAGTATTAATATTTGGGTTATTATAATGTATGTTTTATTTATATTTGTTTTAATTTATATATTGTATAAATGTCAGATATTTAACAAATTTAAAAAGAAGAATTTTAGAAGAAAAAGAAGAAATCCACTCCAGGAAAATCCTGCACCGAACCCCAGAATTTTCCACTTGTGAGGGAGGAATTATATCCACGTAGCTGGGTACGTCACCCGCCTTTGACGTCACTGCTACCTCAGCAGTAGAAGCCTATAAATATAAGTTACATTTATATTTTCTCATCTTTTTGTTAGTACTGTTCAACCAAACATATTAATAAACTGATCAAGTCTCTGTGTTGTTTTTTAAAAAGTAATTGTCCCGGTCACGAAAGAAAACTCACTATACACAATAGTATATCTGACCAAAGCAATGCTTTCTTCGTGGTCTTTACCAAAAGTAATCTAACATCGCAGGTACAGGGCAATTTTCAGGGAAAGTTTGAGACTTTCGTCACAGATTGTCATTCTCTCTCTTGCCCATGTTTATCACATAAAGATGTGATAAAACATGTATTTTTTGTACAACTTCCATTGCGCACACTAGCCTTTAATTCGTTTTACTTCACCTTTTTAACTGACAGGTAAAACGTTATCTCTAAACGTTTTATCTGTTAGTCATGTAGACAGTCTATACTGTTTTAACTGACAGGCAAAACGTAAGGTAAAACGTTGTGTATAGTATTTTTAATACCTATTTAGAGGTACCAGTCGTTTTAGTAAATTAACGTATGCGGCTTTTTGAACATCTGAACCCGCATGAAAAACTGGGACTTATAGTGCTTCGGACGATTTTTGAATTGCCTTAAATCGAGATCCTAAATCGTTTTGAAAATAGTTTACTACATTAAGCATAAGTTTTTTGGATTCATCAGAATATCGCATTTTTATATCTTATTTTGCGTTATGACATTAACATGAAATCAAAATTTGACGAAACTTCAAAAACGTGACATCTAACAAATTAGTTATCGACGTTCATTTTTGTTGGTAATTTTTTGTTTCAACTGATTTATTAATAATAAATAAGGATGGTGTTATTCTAAATGGGTATTAAAAATACTATAGACGCGTCTTTAGGAAAGAATGTTTTACACCGCTTAATTCATGGTAGTACACTCACTGACCATACAAAGACTGGTAAACCAGAATTTTCATATTTTTTATCTTTAAATGCTATATGCTATATATTTTAAACGAGTCACGGTAGGATAAGCACTACGTTTGTTTCACTGTAGCTAAGCCCTTGTTATGTACCTTAAGATTTTTCCATCGTATTCCAAAAATCGTCGCAGTTTATCATCAGCGGGTGGCGTTTTCGTCACTTTTGGCATAATCTGAAGTCGCCTGTTCATTGTGTATGGATCATAAGGCATTTCTTCCGAATCGGCCATATCTAAACCTTGACTAGACATATATTCCTATACATTTTTAAATATTTATTACGTTATGTCATTCGTCTAGCTACAGGGTGATTAAACTTGGCGTCTGCGAGTAATACCAGAAAACTGATGGATTCAAAATTTCAAATTGGTTTGGTTAAAGTTGGTATATATTTTTTAGTAATTGTCACTTTATTTTAAAAAATGGCTAATGTGACGTCATCAAAAAAATTTTTTTAGTAACCATACCGTTCTTTTGTCAAAATGGAACAACCAAAAAACCCACACTAAAGGTGCGTTTAATGTATCCGTAATACATTATCCGTCGTTCCATCACTCCAATCATATTAAGTATGAGCTATCATTTTTCAAATGCAAGAATAAAAATGCAGAAAATCAACGTTTTTATTACGTATGCATGTAAACCCACCATAGATTTAGTCTTTGAAACCCACACTAAAGGTGCGTTTATATGCATCCGTAATACATCATCTGTCTTTCCATCACTCCAATCATATTTAAGTATGTGCTGTAATTTTTAAAATTCCAGTGCCACGCCAGTTACTCACCATGCCTATGCCTCATGCCATTCTTTTGCCTCACCACCGCCACAATCACCTCAGTGCGCGCCTTGCCTTAGTTAACCACAAAGTTTATAATTTACTTTTTTACGATTGCCATCTTATTTTTATTTTAAAAACTACCATATAATATATAAAAATAAATACATAAAAAATAAAACTACATAATTTAGCTCCTTTTGAATCAGTAGGTTTTTATTGTCCGTTTTCCTGGTATTATAGCCAAAGGCGCCCAATTTGAATCATCCTGTACAAGAGATGAAGGTAAACGACGAACATATTAAAAAAAACAGTAATCCCTTATAATACAATATGTAACGAATATAACATGCTTTTGATTTGATTAAACTTTTGATTAAACAAATATAAATTTGATTTGGTTTATCGATAAAAATATGATACTTCAAATGTAATAATATTGGTTTTGTATTTCACTTTTGTGGTATTCAAGGTTTAAATCATATCTGAACGAAAATAATTAAATAATTTTATAGGTAATAGTATATGACATTATCATATTTTTAGAATGGAAATTTAATGACAAATTGAGCTACTTAGCCACTGACCTAAAATATATAACTTTAGTATGAAAATACACTCATCGGCAAAAGTCTTGCACCCCCAGACAAATTTATTTCTTTGCATAGCATATTTGCTGTCCTCCATTCGCGAACTTCGAGTTCCGGGCTTTACGCCCTGGGGCTACTCGAGAACGGTTCTGAAAGGAGCGGTGCGCGATAGCCTGGTGCCTCCATATGGCGCGGAACAGTTCTGGAGCTTTATGACTCAATTGAATGGAGTGAGAGTATCGCGTTCTTGAACAGTTCAGAGCTGCTCAACTGCGTAAAAGGAGGACAGCAATTGTTGTGGCCTATGTGTACAAATACCTTAATATGTGTCTACAAAAAATAGGTCATACAGGCAATGAAAGAAAACCTTATCGATGGAATGTGTATGGTTTTGCTATTTGCGGTCAAATTTTGTTTCTCAGATCGAGTTCAATCTTATAGTAAGTGTTGTGAAAGGCGACAAAAATGCCAGGGCACGAAATTTCTGCCTTCGATAGGGCCCGAATTATCGCTTTGCATGAAAAAACTCTCAGCAGACATCAAATTGCTGATCGTTTAAATTTAGTGCGAAGTACTGTAAGCCGAATTATACAACGGTATATGGACACCGGAAATGTAAGATCTCGTCCTAGGTTGGGCCGTCCAAGGGTAACGATGAATGAACGACAGGATCGCTACTTAGCTCAATTTGCCAGAAGAAATCGGTCAATTCCAATTCGAAAGCTACGATCTCAGTTTCAACGAACTTACCACCGAGTGATATCAAGCCGAACCATTTCCAGGCGACTTTCGAATGCTGGATTGGGGCGTAGACGTCCACTGCGAGGCCCTCTATTAACTTTACATCATAGGCAAAGGAGGCTACAGTGGGCTAGAGAACACCAGAACTGGTTATTACCTCAGTGGAGAAACGTAATTTTCACTGACGAAACCAGGATAGGTTTGATCAGTGATGACTATCGTCAGCGAATGTGGAGGGAGGCAGAGAGGCATCGCTTGAATACAGCCCTTGCTGTTGCTCCTTATCAAGAAGGAACTGAGATGTTCTGGGGTGGCATCGTGTACAATAGGCGAACAGAGCTCATTCATATTCCTGAGGTGATGAACGCCCATTTGTATGTGGAAACTGTAATCAGACCAATAATTTATCCACTGGGAGAAGAAATCGGCAATAATTTTATTCCCATGGATGATAATGCTCGTCCTCACAGAGCTAGGATGGTGCAGGAAGCATTAAATGAAGGGGAAATAACTCGTCTGGACTGGCCTCCACTCTCCCCCGACATGAATCCTATTGAACACGTCTGGGACAACATCACCAGAGCTGTATTTCGCAGAAATAACCCACCAACAAATCGCCAGGAGTTGATCATTGCCACTCAAGAGGAATGGCAGAACTTAACTCAAGAAACCATAAACAACCTTATAGTGGGGATACCCCGACGACTTGATGCACTTATAATAATTCGAGGAGGCAATACTTTATATTAGTAACCTTAATTTTGTCAGAATTTATTATTTATTTATTTATTTTCTCTTTTTTGTCAAACATTTTTCTTCATGGAATTTGCATTTTTTTGTATTTTGGCAAAATATATTATTAAATTTGGTGAAAGTTTTCCCTTTTTTTGTGTTATTGTTTAACATAACTTTAGCATCTATTGATTTCCCCGAAAAATTAGTTTGAAATGTAATTTTTTATTAAAATAGTAAGGGGGTGCAAGATTTTTGCCGATGATTTTATGTTTGAATCGCCCTGTATATTTACAAAAATATTTTTAAAATGTGCCTTATAATTGCCCTCATATTCTGAAAAAAAACTGAAATATAAAACAAAAACAAAAACCCTAATTCCTAATTAGAGCTTTTTCGGAAGCCAGGGCCACCCCGTATAAATCCGGGTATAACAAAGAATTGCTACATTTATTTTTTAAACGAAAGAATGTATTAAAACAAAACACTTTTACCCGTGTAAATACATCGCATTCTACCAAATGGTAGACAACGCCGTAAATCGTAATGTCCTTTCCAACTGCTAGGTCTTTCCAGTGCCAGTAAGTTCCATCATCGTATTTTGGAATCTTGCCTCGTCTGACTAACTTTCCCTGCAGCAGGCCGCTATTCTTCGTATATAATTAAAGATATAAAAAACGACTAAAGGCGTGTACTAAAATAATTGAATAAGAAGATAAAGAAAGGAGCGTATAAACAAAATTAACAAAATGACAAAGGGGTCTCAATATTACGAAGTTGCCATCGCACCATCGAAAAATATTTTTCTACTTATAGCTATTCTACGTCCACAAGACGTCCACGGAATATTTGGACACCCTCCACGTAAATGCTTACAATGGTATAGCTTCCATGAATATAAAAATAGTATTTGACTCCTTCCTTATCACTTTTATTCATTGATTAAAACCATAGTCCAGTAAATAAGGACACGAAAAGATCAAGTGTCGGCAAGGCTAAGAACATAGTGGAGCGAAGAGAATAGCGGCGAGCCAGCAGCGCGACATCGCCAACGACATCGCGTCCAAAACAAACCTGTGAAGTCAAGTATACGTGTGAAAATAGTAAAGCGATCTGCTCGAGCGGTTAGATCGAGCGGCGAGATCGATTCAAATAATATTGTTTTCGTCGCTCTGTCGCGCTGTAGAAAACGATGGATTCCCAAAAATTAACAGATTTAGTGTTTGTAAAAGAGACTTTATGGCACCAAAAAGATAGTAATCACCATAACGGGTACATTTTAGATAAGTTATGAGATGAAGTGGCAACAAATTTTAGTAAAGGTTATGAAACTTGCCACACTCTCTCCGGGTTTTGAAAATTTCATATTGTAGTGTACATATTTCATGTACACTATCTACACCTTTTGGTTTGTTGGTTCCAAATAAATCAAATGTTTGCGACACTTCTGTCCAGAATTTTAGTCACTGTTAACATTTTAAATAATCAATAAGCCAATGAAAATAAGTACCTCGCTATTCCTCGCCGCTCTACTATGTTTTAGCACCTCGAGGCTTCCTCGATGCGGTATCGCGCTGCTTGCTCGCCGCTATCCTCGTCGCGCCACTATGTTATTCTTAGCCTAAAAAGTTCCGCTCAACGAATTAAGCCGTGGTTTCAGCCTTCATTTACTGGACTACCAGTAAAACTGAAATAGGTACTTACAGATACTCTTGGCTCTATTACAGTGATCGTATCGTCCTCTAAAAAATATATGATGTTGACAGGTCGAACGCGATAGAATTCTAAACGAGACTCCACCACCGACTGTTTAAAAAAAGCTTTAAAAGTCAGACATTTCTGATCGTATAATGCATAGTGCGGTATAAATTGGGGCAGCGGTTTAGTTTTACACCTTCCATAAGTTAACGAGGGGTCAAAACGAATCGGGTCGTTAATTCCTATATACTTTACCGAGTTGCAGTCAAGTTCTCTATTACCTATTCCCATATAATTTTGTTTGGGTAACTTGTATCCATTGTTTATATTAAAGGTTTGGGAAAGATGAAAATTTGATAACTTAAAGAAAAATATATAAATTTTTATTTTTATATTTTAAATGAATAATTACACTTACTGTGGGGTCACGGAAATTAAATCCGGGTAACTTCGGTAAGCCAGTCATCTCTTTTAATGTAAAGAAAATATAATTGAGATTAAATCTTAAAAATTGATTAAATATTTCAAAAACTATAAACTGTTACTATGGTTACCCTATTTTGTAATCGACGGAACTTAAGTAGGCAAAGTTATGCAACCAAAAATGTCTCATAGATTAAAAAGATAAGCTGGGATTGGGAATCTTTGCGAAGATTGACCATAGTTATTCTAGTTAATTGTTAATTATTTTATGGTCCCAGCCAGGTCCCAGCCAAAGACATCCTAGGATGTCTTTTGCCCAAAGACATTTGCCCCAACAAGGTTTTCTATGTCCCTATCCCAGTTACTGAAGTTAATAAAATATATAAAGACTCGAAGGCGGAAAATAAAGTTGAGATGGGGTTCAGACACTTCAGGGGATGATTATGCTGTAGGGTTCTTGCTCACAAAGGCAAAATAGTATACAGGGTGCTACAAATTCGGAGTACGAGGATTGGTATCTCGCAAACCGTATTAGATACGACAATGATTAAATTGGGGCAAAGTTACGTCTTGAGATATTCGCCAACATGCTATCAAAAAAGTTTTGAATAAATTTCTGTCCTACTACTGCTATTTCAAGAAGTATAGTCCGTTCAACAGATCTTATACTTTCGAATGCATTTTGTACTCTTTGTAGGCTTTGTTGTAAACTTGTTGTAAACATAGAGATGACATAGAGAAAGAATATATATACCGGGTGCGTCTTAAAAGTGGCTCACCCCCTATAACTTTTTTATTTTTTCAGATTAAAAAAACGATATTTGGTATGTTAGTATGACATAAATTAGGATTGATTGACGTATTCAATTCTTCTCGGCCACTTCCCGTTTCACCGGAAATGACTACAACTTTTGATTCTTAAATGGCACCCTCGGTATTTTTTTAATTTATTCGATAGAAAATAGCATTCTGAATAGAATGACATATTGCATATGTAAACTTTTGACATTTTCGCTTAAAACAAAATTGTATTTTAAATTTCAATCTAGAGCGCCATATGGCTCTGTTGAAAACACTAATTTTTAATCAAGGAGCCTTGGAAAAATAGATTTGATCGTCTAATATTTTTAGTGTCTTGTCCTGGCCGGTTAAAAGATGCCCAAATCGTATTTTTAATCAAATCTTATTTTTTTTCAAATAGAACGAGGGTGGCTTATTAGCACATTTGGAAAAAGCATTTTTTACGAATAATTTGGTTCCACACACTTGGTATTTCGAGTCGAATCGCATGTTGCAACTTCAAATAAACCATATTTGAAAATGTCAAAAATAGACTTATGATTCATTTTGACTCTATTCAGAGTGTTACTTTCTATCGAAGAAAGCAACAAAACACATATACGTATTATTTAAATAATTAAATAATATGTATATGACAAAACACCGATGCGATGGTACCATTCTTTGAATAAGAAGACGGAAGGAGCATATCAAAAATCTTAGGTACACCGCCTTTGAATAAGAAGACTAAAGCCCCGTTCTCAGAACTGCGTCGTGTCGACAGCGACACTGATTGACACTTCAAACGACCAATGGGATCAAACGACCAATGTACTAAATTTAATGACAGCTGTTTGAATTTTGTACAAATCTGATTGGTTCTTTTGTCGTGTCGCTGGCGACAGTCGCAGTTCTGAGAACGGGGCTTGAGAACGGGGCTTTTAAAGCCCCGTTCTCAGAACTGCGTCGTGTCGACAGCGACACTGATTGACACTTCAAACGACCAATGGAAGCTGTACTAAATTTAAAATTGACAGCTGTTTGAATTTTGTACAAATCTCATTGGTCCTCTTGACGTGTCGCTGGCGACAGTCGCTGTTCTGAGAACGGGGCTTAAAGCCCCGTTCTCAGAACGACGTCGTGTCGCTGGCGACACAGTTTGACATTTCAAACAACCAATGGGAGCTGTACTAAATTTAAAATTGACAGCTGTTTGAATTTTGTACAAATCTCATTGGTCCTCTTGACGTGTCGTTGGCGACAGTCGCTGTTCTGAGAACGGGGCTTTAAGCTTTAAGCCCCGTTCTCAGAACAGCGACTGTCGCCAGCGACACGTCAAGAGGACCAATGAGATTTGTACTCTAGGGTGGGGATCCTTGACAGTTCTGTTTGACGATTCATTTGACACATTTGAATTTGATTTGAAATTTTGTGGATTTGTCAGTCTTTACGGAGCTTATTTTATGTTATTTATTATTTATTCTACTACTGATAGTTGTATAAAGGTAATAAATCTAGATGGAAATTGTGGCAGAACTTAAATTAACAGTGACACTATCGCGATTTATCGAAAAAGACTCTAAAATAGTTGGTTGTGTAGCGTGCGGTAGATCTCGGCAAAAATTGAGTGAAATAATAGAACAACTTTTCGCTAGTAAGTGACTATATAATATACATACGTGTAGTAAACCGATCATTTATTAAATTCACTTAAATTAACTATGTCAAGGAATTTAGATACGTTAATTTGACTTACCTGCTTCAGTAGCGTATCGGATGTTTGTGTTAATAAATACTTATTATAACTTATCTATTTTTATTAGAATTATATATTTTTATAACAATTTTAATAACTACCAACATTTATTCACAACATAAAATAAAATAACAAATTATTGAGTCTACCCCACGTCTACCCTACATCATAGTTTTACATTTTTTAAATAAAATTAGAGCGGCACTGATAAACCGGAATTTAAGTCGGCCATATTTGAGGCCCATTGCGGTGTACCTAAGATTTTTGATATGCTCCTTCCTTAGCCTTCTTATTCAAAGTACACCGCGATTGGCCTCAAATATGGCCGACTTAAACTCCGGTTTATCAGTGTCGTTCTAATTTTATTTAAAAAATGTAAAACTATGATGTAGGGTAGACGTGGGGTAGACTCAATAATTTGTTGTTTTATTTTACGTTGTGAATAAATGTTGGTATATGGTTGGTATATAGTTATTAAAATTGTTATAAAAATATATAATTCTAATAAAAATAGATAAATTATAATAAGTATTTATATAGTATTTATTAACACAAACATCCGATATGTAACGATCCATTACATGTAGTTAATGTAGTTTATGTAGAGGGTGTAGTTTATGTAACATATGTATGTAACTTTCAAATGTCAAAGGTATGAGATGAGGTTATAATAAGTTAAAGCTTTAGAAAACACATAATGTATTTAAGAAAACAGAAGAAATATGGCTTTAAATATAACCATTCACATCATATTATTTAGACTCCTCATATAAAGCAAAATTATTCATAATATCAATAGGTAGTTTATTAACGTAGTTTTCATGTAGTTAACGAACGGGAAAAGACATAGTTTTTGAAGAAAAACTACACGTAGTTAATCAGGTAAATTACGTCTTAATTAACTACTTCCGAACCCTGTCCGATACGCTACTGAAGCAGGTAAGCCAAATCCTTGTCAAATTAACGTATCTAAATTCTTTGACAAGTAATAAATAAAAGCTAAAATGCAAGAAAAATATATAATTTAGTTAATTTAAGTGAATTTCATAAATGATCGGTTTACTACACGTATGTATATTATATAGTCACTTACTAGCGAAAAGTTGTTCTATTATTTCACTCAATTTTTGCCGAGATCTACCGCACGCTACACAACCAACTATTTTAGAGTCTTTTTCGATAAATCGCGATAGTGTCACTGTTAATTTAAGTTCTGCCACAATTTCCATCTAGATTTACTACCTTTATACAACTATCAGTAGTAGAATAAATAATAAATAACATAAAATAAGCTCCGTAAAGACTGACAAATCCACAAAATTTCAAATCAAATTCAAATGTGTCAAATGTCAAATGAATCGTCAAACAGAACTGTCAAGGATCCCCACCCTTGAGTGCTTTTTCCGCCCACCATGCATGAATACATGGATAGCATTATGCTCCTTCCTTAGTCTTCTTATTCAAAAGTACCATTTAAAAATCAAAAGTTGTAGCCTTGTTGTAGTTATTTCCGTGAAACAGGAAGTGACAGAAAACAATTGAATACGTCAATCAATGTTTCATATATTAATATATTAATATATGATACTGAATGAATACGTCAATCAATGTTTCATATATTAATATACCAAATCTCGATTTTTTATCTGAAAAAATACAAAAGTCATAGGTGTGAGCCACTTTGAGACGCACACGGTATATTACGGTTTCCGAGATACCAACAAATAGATAGACAACCAAACCAGACCAAACCAACTCGTACCTCAAATTTGTAGGACCATGGTAGGACCCTGTATCTGTATAGCTCAAAGGTATAGCCCTTGATCGCTGACAGCCCATGCTGACCGCTGACACGCAGGGTTCGGAAAACTACATGTTACTTTGAAAAACTACATAAACTACATTACATGTAGTTAATGTAGTTTATGTAGAGGGTGTTGTTTATGTAACATATGTATGTAACTTTCAAATATCAAAGGTTTGAGGTGAGGTTATAATAAGTTAAAGCTTTAAAAACACATAATGTATTTAAGAAAACAGAATAAATATGGCTTTAAATATAATATTTACATCATGTTATCTCTATTACACCTCATACAAAGGAAGGTAATGGTGTGGATCCGGTGGCTGACCTTGAAACGAGTTTTTGCTGCATATAGTCACAGACACCACGCATGCGCACATCTTCGATGTTGCCAGATTGTGAGTTATTTTGGAATTATTTTCAGTTGAAAACAAATATGTGCTTTTCAGTGTTTTTTTGTCAATATATACCGTATGATCGAAAAAACGGCGTCCAGTTGTCTGGGAAATGACGATTGAGGACATTTCCATAAAATGACAGCGATCTTCATTTCATAGTCATTGCTGACGCTATTTTTTTGTTCAATCATAGTACGCGGTATATTATTTTAATATTTCGCACAACACGTGAACGCTTATTATGTATTTTCAGTCAATAAAATTATATAGAAATAAAACTCTAGATTCTTATCTAGATTATTATGCTACGTTTAAAAAGTGCTTTATTAAAAATTCGGGAAATTAAAAGGGAAATTAATTAATTTTTAAATGCTGTAGCTCCATGTCATGTTCATAATAGATTTTTTTTTATCATTCCATCAAAACTACGGAGGCCTTAAAAGGCCTTTTAGCCTCCGTAATTAAAATTGTAGAATCAGCTTCAGCAACATTAACAGTTACCTTGTTTAATTCTGCTTATACATATATTGCATTAATTTTTCTGCTACATTAAGATTTCTCTATTCTTACACCTAATTTATGTGATTTTCTTAGCATATATGATTTATAAACCATATTTTTCCTAATGGAAGGATGAATAGGATATGCAAAATTAAGATATTTTAACATTTATTTTCCAGACCAAGCATAATATAGTATTAAGATGAAGACATAACAAATATTATAAGAAAGATCTTAATATAAATCACAAACTAAGTCTTAATTTAGTCTTGTATTTCTATTATTATTATTATTCTTATAAAACTAATAAGATCAAAACTCAACCTTCACCATATTGTCAAGATTTGGCATTATAGGAAACAAGAAATTACAGTAAATTAAGAAAAGAATAACAAAGTACACGATATTAAATACTGTAATGTATTTTACGATACAAACCATCTCCCTTCTAAAGAGAAAAAGATAAAACATAAAGCTTATTTTAGTCTTATCAACACACTCTTCGATAAAATCCACTAACTTGATATCTATGCTTGATATTTTTAAGAAATTATGATACAAACATTAATTATAATCAAAGTATATTATATTAGTAACATTATATAATAGGTAAAATGTTACCTCTATCTCCGATTGACGTTTATTGTTCTATAATAAGACCCGTCATGGTAGTACTTCAAAACATCAATACATGCATATAATCAAAAATATTGTTGCCTGTAAATAACTAGAAATTAAATAACTTGAAAGAAATAAAATAATTCTAATAAGTTTAAAACCATTAAGAAAAAATCCGTAAATGATAAATTTTAATTCTAATGTAAACATATAAATAAATGTTATTATTATTACAATTTTATATATTATAATACTTTCATTTCACAATCTTCATTATCCTTCTTACCTTAATTTTGGATATCAAGATAAATCTGAAATTATAAAATTAATTATAGAATTTGTATTATTATTGATTAACACGCAAAAAAAATTTTCAACTGCAAATAATTCGAAAATAAACTGCAATTTGGCAACATCGACGATGTGCGCTTGCGTAGTATCGATGATCAAAAGCAGCAAATATGGGCTTCAAGGTCAGCCACCGGATCCACACCTTTACCCAAAGAAAAATTATTCATAATATCAATACATAGTTTATTAACGTAGTTTTCATGTAGTTAATGAACGGGAAAAGACGTAGTTTTTGAAGAGAAACTACACGTAGTTAATCAGGTAAATTACGTCTTAATTAACTACTTCCGAACCCTGCTGACACGCTGACGCCAATTGACGCCGTTTTTTCGATCATACGGTATAATAATCATATAATAATCGTAAAATGTTTTCTATGGCACACACATAACCTATAAAAAAGTGAGGTTATGGTAGCCATGTTATGATTTTATTTTATAGAAATAAATTTATTTCGACCAAGAATTAATTAATTAAAAAAGAAAACAATATGGTACAGAAAAAAATACGTATCTGTGAATTATATTTCTTTTAGTATATGTTTAGTACAATGAATACTTTTACTTTTTGAGTGGTAAGTGAACCGTATGATTATTTAATCATTATTTATATTTATATATCCTAGCCATATCCTAGCATATCATAGACAAGTCGGGGGTTTTAATTTTAGCCGATTTTAGCTTTGTATCAAATCCATCAACCAACAATGCTTGCAAGACAGATATATAGAAATGTTATTAGGTAAAAATGTGTGGTAACATTTGAGGGGATACATACTTTCTCAACACTATTTTATAGGTATTTTTCTAGAAGCCCTCAATATTTAAAAGTTTATGAAGGTGAAGGAAAAACTACTTTACATATAATGAACAAAGATGAAGAACTTGGTCTTATGATAAATGGTTATAGTCAGGTAAGATATTATTTCTTCAATTTCTGGACAATCTTGTTTAAGAAATATTTAAGGTTTAGTTGCCATTTGCCATCATAAAAAATAGTTATGTTTATAGAGAGTTACGTATAAAAACCTATACCTATTAACATAAGCATTAAGCTACAATAGACCATTAATTATTATCTGAACATTAATATCATAGTTAATTCATGTAGTGTAATATTTTTTTTTAATTTTAGGCTGGCTTTAGATTGAACAACAATATGACTGTTCTAGGCCCTATGATTATATTTTCAAGGTGAAACTTAAAACTGGTGAATGATAAATTATTAACATTTTTAATTGCAGATCAGTTCTCGCTTGGAATATTGATGATATAACTGATGTAACAGAAGATTCTCTTTGTTTATTCAAAATATTAGAACCCAAAATAGACATTATAGTTTTAGGTACTGGTGATAAAATAGATAATCACAACTTTTTTAAAAATTTGTTAGTATTTTCAAAAAAACATAGAATTTCCTTTGAAATCTTGCCAACGGAAGCTGCTTGCCCTACATTTAATTTTCTAAATGCTGAAGGGCGTAATGTAGTTGGAGCTATGATACCTCCACAGACATTCACATATACAGAAGATGATGAGTTAACGACAAAGTTGCGATATCAAAATCTGTATGAGAATAATTAATATTTTAGATAATAAATTGTTAGCATTACATGTATAGTTTTTTTAATTGTAAAAATTGGAAAAAATGTGTTATTTGATTGCATTTTAAAAAATAAGTGGCAGTAAAATATTTATTTATCGTATGGCTCGTACACATGGAATAAAAACAATACAATATATATATATATATATATATATATATATATATATATATATATATATATATATATATATATATATATATATATATATATATATATATATATATATATATATATATATATATATATACATATATATATTCATTTTGCGCCTCCACGCCTTGGATTGAGACGCAATTTTTAATTGAACATCTCTTAATTATTCCAATGTTCTAACTAATATCTGGCGGCTTAACCGCCCTATAAGAGTCCTTTTGTGGTTGACTGGTCAGCCATGCTTCACGGTGGAGTTATCAACACAAACCATGTTTAATGTAGTTTTTATGAAGGTCTTTTCTGTACCACGTTAATGTCCTGAGGAAGGAATAAATAAATTCCGAAGGCTTGACAATTAACAAAGTGTATTAATTCTTTGTCAAACCCTTCCGCAACTGCAACTCCACTAAATCCTATATTATATATATATATATATATATATATATATATATATATATATATATATATATATATATATATATATATATATATATATATATATATATATATATATATATATATATATATATATATATATATATATATAAATATATATTTATATATATACACTAAAGCTGTAAGGCATATATATATATATATATGAGCGTAATTTTGTTCATTTCATATATTTGAGCGGGCCGAAAAACGCTCTTTACCATCTTTGACGGGAGATGCACTAATATCTCACCGACACTATACGACATCGTCTGTTGATATAGAAGCAGTTTTGTTTGCCGTATCGGTGAGAACCAGCCCCTGGACAGCCCACCTGATGAAGGGTAGGCCCAGAAACCGGTTGTGGGAGTGGAGCTTGGTTCCCCCCTTTACGACAAGCAAAACAATTTTCTTTTTACTTTTTTTTTTTCTCTACTTTCGATTTTTCGAAATTAGAAAAAATACACAGAAAATATTATTTATTAATATACACTAAAGCTGTAAGAATTTTGTTCATTTCATATATTTGAGCGGGCCGAAAAACGCTCTTTACCATCTTTTGACGGGAGATGCACTAATATCTCACCGACACTTTACGACATCGACTGTTGATATAGAAGAAGTTTTGCTTGCCGTATCGGTGAGAACCAGCCCCTGGATAGCCCACCTGATGAAGGGTAGGCCCAGAAACCGGTTGTGGGAGTGGAGCTTGGTTCCCCCCTTTACGAGACAAGCAAAACAATTTTCTTTTTACTTTTTATTTTTTTTTATTTTTTCTCTACTTTCGATTTTTCGAAATTAAAAAAAATACACAGCTAAAGGCAAGAAAATATTATTTATTAATATACACTAAAGCTGTAAGAATTTTGTTCATATATATATATATATATATATATATATATATATATATATATATATATATATATATATATATATATATATATATATATATATATATATATATATATATATATATATATATATATATATATATATATTAATCGGTTTAAAACGTTCTACGTCTTCCGATGCCATCTCTCCATGCCTGTCTGTCTCTCCAAGCACCGTCTCCGAGAGATCTTTCCTCCATAAATTTTTTCTTCCATAAACGTGTCAATCCCTTCCTGTCAACTTCTTCTCGGTCTACCCGGTTTTCTTCTTCCTGCAGGTTTCCAGTTTATAATTTGCTTTGGGATTCTTATTTCTGCCATTCTTTGGACATGCCCGTACCATATGAGTTGACTGTTCTTTATCTTGTCCACAATCAAAGTGAATTGACATGATTCCATTAGAGCCAATTAGTGGAATACTTAAATGCTCATGATTTATGTAGTCTGATTTTTTTTATAGAGATATTATGTTAAAGACAGCGTTTACAAAACCTGACCCAGTATTGTCGACAGCATGAGAGAAATTATTGTGGCTGCTTTTTGAACAACTCCACATATACCTCTTAACATGAAAAGATCTTATGAAAAAGAATCATTTTATGCAGTGAACAGGAAAGGACATTTATATCTAGTTTTAATGTTCAATATTTTATTCTACATCCCTTAATTTTTATGAAATTAACAAAAGGTATCTCACGGCCGCCTAGATTTTATCAGATAATAAATATCTACTGACGCAAAATCACAAAAATGAGAAAATATCTAGGAAAATCTTTGTTTAAGGGCTAGGCAACCTTAATAGTATTTTCAAGAGACATGAATTTCACATTGAATATCGGAATAATATACTGGGTGTTCCATTTAAAATAAAAGATTAACTTGCTTTTAAATGTAACCAATGTTCAATATTAATTTTTTCTCACCCTGTATAACTTTTTGGGTCATGTTTTAACTTAATTTAAAATAAAACAGTTATTTTAACTACATACTAGGCTGTACCGGGTAAATTCCAATTTAGGTGGCTTTTATTGAAATTTAAAATTTGTTCTTCATTTTTAAAAAATGATAAATATGTCAAAAATCTTACGTTTTAGAGATATACTTCTCTAATGAAACTCACTTTTATTTATCTCCTAGAATCCGAAAATCAATTAATATATAGGGTGTTCTATTACAAAAAACACAACTTTGATATGTAACTTTTTTGTAAACACTCTGTAGAACACTCTATATTTTTAAAAATGCTCTAAATTAACCTACATATGCTCACAAAATTTTATTTCAATACAAACTGTCGTTCTCATTGGAGCCTCCGCGGCATATGAGAGGCGCCACCCTGTATATACATTTCACAATATTGCATTAAGAAAATATTAGGACTGACTTGACTAATTGAAACGGCAGGACTGTAGTTTTAGTTATATATATTGAAAAAAAAAAAGAATAAACATAAGTCCTAGTCATCTTGTAAAGTATCTTTACAATAAAATGTTTTGATTAATGATTTACTCACTATGTGACGTTAAAAAACTGTATTTACAAAATATTTCTATATAATAATAAATCTTAAAAATAGTTTGTACAAAAATCATTTAATTATTTATAAATTTACAAACGGTATAAGTAGATTTTAGTATTATAAACTAATATTTGATACAAATTGGCAACATAATTATAAAAAAAATCATTGACAAATTAAATTACATTCTAGTTCTTTTAATACAAATTATAATAATAAAAACTTAATGTTTCAATGTTGTTAGGTAAACAGTAATTTTAAAATTAACTTTTTTGTGTTTTCAAAAATATTCAAGCAACATGCATATATAAAGGAATAAAAGAATTATGTTCAAAAAATCCATTTCATCATAACATTTAACAATTTTTCAAATCTTACACCATTTATAAATACATAATTCCCTAAATCAGAATACTTATTATAAGTAATAAGTTGTGAGTTTTTTTTTTAAACTTAGAGGAATGTTGCAACTCTTAAAATATTAATTTAGTAGCATTGACAATATTATATTCTTTAGTTTAAAAGAATGTCTTTAAAACAACAACGAAAATACAATTAACCACATATAACAGTATAATATGTATTCTGATTACTAATAGTCTGTCCAACGAGAGAATATGACAGTGACAGTTGTTTGAAGTCGTTTGTCGAAATCGTTCTTGTTCTCGCTGGAGAAACTTTATCTGGTTGGCCTTAAATTAATAATTTTTGGTTTGTTGAAAATGGCCAAACACGAATTTTATAACATGGTATTACAAATGTACCATACTTCTACTTAAATATTAAAGATTCATAACAAATTAATATTCCTAAACTAAACAGTTCTTACAAACCATTAAAAGTTTCAAATTTAAAAATACAAGATCTATTTAGAAATTGAAACAATTGCATTATGATCGCCTGATTTATGCTTGTCTCTTCTGTACGAAAACTGCCGTTAATCAACATTTGGGGTATTACTACGAAAAATATCCACAATATCTGTTTATATGGGGTGAGTCAACGATATAATAAAGTTCATTATGAGATAATTGAGAATAATTATAAAAATATGTATTTTGTATATAAAATTAATTTGTATGTTATATTATTATTTCTTTTTTTCTTTTTATTCTTGGCTTTAGGTCGTTGGGGCTTTAAAGATGTTACTAGATTTCGTTTATATATTTTATTTCGACAGTCATGTCTTTTTCAAGTCTTGAACGTAGATTTCCATAGAATTCAAATTGTCAAAAATGGACAATACACACGTATTAAAACTTTCTATTATTTTATGTGTCAAATAAAGCATTTTTATGTGTTAAAACACATAAACACATAAAAAAAATATAATTAATAATAATATTATAATTAATAATTAAATTATAATTAAAACGCATAAACACATAAAAAATTATAATTTAAACACATAAAATAATAAAGTTTTATTACGTGCGTATAGTCCATTTTTTACAATTTTAATTCTATGGAAATCTACGTTCAAGACTTGAAAAAGACATATGACTGTCAAAACGTTGTCAATGAAAATAAAATTATAAACGAAATCTACTAACTAACATCTTTAAAACGACAACGACCTAAAGCCAAGAATAAAAAGAAAAAAATATATAGTATACCAGGTCAAAGAAACTAAACCAAAAAAAAATTATTATTGATGTTACATAATGTTATATTTTTTTGGTAGAAGACCTATTTTATAGAAATAAAGAAAAAAATTAAATAGAGTGTTTAAAATACGCGAAATTATGAATTTCGACTATTTTCAATTAAAAAAATCTAAACTTTTTTAAATACACACTCTTTATATTATTATTATTTTGTCTGATACACTATAAGCGACAGCTATACGTTAGCGACTTGCCTGCACGGGCTAGTTTGCGCAAGATAGGACACTGTGTGGTGTCCACACGATGCAAGTAAGATCGCACATTCATCATTATTTTTATTCAGAATTTGTGGTTCCGTTCGTGGAAATGTCAAGTGACGAATTATTATTTAAAGCAAAACCCACAAGAGCCACAAAACTGTAGCTTGAACTAGCTGATACCGTCTACACGTATGCTATCACCGCACAAATTGGTTTGCACAAACTAAAATCTTTAGCAGTGCGACGTTTACGCAAGCCGCGGTTTTTGGTTTGTGCGTGCTACCGTTTTACCGTCTATACACAGCGAGTTCCTGATACAAACAGGTTTGTGAAGGTAAGCTCGTGGTAAAGCTTGTATGTGTAGCCGGCCCTTTACAGAAGCCTTTTACTTGTAAGGCCGTAGCCCAACATAAAGCTGGTAGCGTAACGTATGGCGGAGAGGAGTGCTTACAGTGTGAGAAAATACCCGCCAATCCGTAATACGCTGCGCTGTATGTGGGGCCACTTCGGTTTATTTTAATGCATTTGAACGCTTCGCGGTCCTCCTCGCCCTAGGCTCTATTACGCTGTACGCCTCATGTGGGGACACGCACTAAGTATCTTAAGATTCTCAAAAACTATTGCATATAGAACTATTTATAAGTAACTATAAAACTACAGAGAGAGATGAAGTATTCCCTTTAAAAAAAATAATAATAAACCTTAAATAAGCGATAACTCTATAATTATTGATATGAGTAGGAAATGGGACAATGATTTAAGTTTATTAAAAAAACTTATTACTTCGCTAATTAAATCAAGGTTTTATCCATAATCTTTTATACTAACAGATTATTTGTTGTAGTAACAGCAGTTTAAGTACATCCTTTGCCTTTGAAACTTTTGAGAATATCGCCACTAAAACATATTTCCTTCTTGCTTTTTATAACACACCTTAGTTGGATTTACAGGCAATATTCCTTAAAGATATAGGAAAAACAAACTCTGCCATAAAGTATACACATTACCTATATTCTTTGCAATTAAAAGCTGTGCATATTATACCATAAAAATAACTTAATCTACACCAGGAACGGGAGGCAAGGTTACATCTGCATCTAAAGGTGTAGACGTAGTCTTAGGTGTAGACGATGGGGAAGGGGCGGCTACAGTGTTTTTATTACTCGACTTCTTATCCCTATCTTCATCCATCATTTCCGCAGCGGCTTTCTTGATTAAATCCTCTTCAGTTAGCGAACCTAATACGCTCGTCGATTTTTCTCGACCATCATTTAGCGGCGAGTTGACCGAAGATGGCTTTATTTTAGGTTTAATAGGTAGATTTAAAGGAATTGTATCGCTGTTCACGTCAGGCATGGGACTTGAACATAATGGACGCGTAAATGTTTTAGGGATGATTAATGGAATCGTCAAATCTGTTTGTCCTGCTGCCTGTGGGACAGGTGTTGCCTTTTCCTAATAAAATATCACAAAATTATGTTATAATACCAGGAAGAGTTAAAATATTATATTTATGTTATCTACTTTTTATTCCATCAAAAGCTCAATGGGGGTAATGTAAAATTTGTAATTACTTAAAATGGTTAAAATAAAACTAGTACAGTAGAACACGTATAAAAGATAGACTAATCATTAATTTATTTGGTTTAGCCCAACAGATACAAGCAAGACATATGTTTATTTAGCTGTTTGTTTATGTTTTGATTTGCTTGACCACAAGCCTAAAATAACTACTTTTTCAAACTTAGACGCCATTAGTGTTAGCTTCAAACATAAAAGAAAATTTAGATTCGAATAGCTTCTGCTTCCCGCCAAACCTTATAATTGTTTTGGATCGCATCCGTTGTAGAGCGCTGCTAGCGGTTACTAAGAACAAGAACAGATAGCATGTTTCCTGGTCAAAGTCAAATTTTTCAAAAATTAAAACCAGCCTCGTTGAAAAAATACAAGTGTTTAAAGCATCCGTTTTTAAATTTATTTTTGCGATCGTGTGCTTAATTTTAATGTTATTTACGCAAACGCGTGATAATTGTGGACAACGCATTTAAATGAAAATAAAAAATGGCACTAGAAAATGTATTATTTCAATAAAAGAAAATGTAAATATGCAATTTACATAAAAGAAAAAATAATTTGTTATTTATAAGCAACACAAGAATTTCTTAAAATAGATAATTTCTTATTAAAGATGATAAATATAAAGTATTGTATATCCAACGATGGCAGTGACAGTCGTCCGTCATTTTAAATTAAAAGTAAATCTGCGTTTTTTTTAAATGCGTTTTCTGTCAATTTTTGAATGTAGTTCTTTTATTGGATAGGTTATATTACGCGCTACCTACGGTAATCGCAAAACTTTTTCCGTTTTACGTCACCAATCATCGAAATGACACTAAATCCTATAAACCTGACTAAATGAAATGTTGGCAAAAATGTTTAAATTTGTTGTATAATTTAAGATACCGAGCAGCGCTTCATTGCAATTTATATATCAAATGATTATATCATCATCATGATATTATTTAGATTAAAGCTGCAAAAATTAGTTTAAACCTAATTTTATTATCGCTATGTTGGTCACATTGCGCCGTTTTCAGCAACGTTGCCGTTTATTATTTGACAATTATCATAATAGCAGTCATTATTTTGTATAATATCATGTTGTTGAATCTTTAAGAGTAATTCTCGTTTTTTGCCCATTTTCATAGTCTTAATTTAAAAATTGTACTTTTAAGCACAAACAGAAATTTTAAGAACTAAATTATCGAGTTTTTGTATTGCATTTCTTGAAATTGTGTGTTGAAAATATGCCGAAGCAGTTAAACAATCGAAGCATAGAGCTTGTAGCTTCCCTGATAAACTATTTTGAACGCGAACGTGACGATAAAGGTGCTTTATTACCCTTGATTGCTATCAGAGAAGTAAGTTTGATTGGTAAGCACATTATACCACTTTCAAAGATATTGATGCGTTAGTTTTTAGTAAATTCTGTAATTATTAGTTTGTACTTGCTATTACCACTTGTGGTTTTGTAAGTTTGGTAAATAACCCATAATAACGCTTAGAATAATTTTCATAATGGACTAGTTTTTGCCAATATGTAATAAGTAAAATAAGCCATGAAACAAATAATTCAGTCGGAGGATTATATACTTTATTGAGAAATGGAAATTACTCATACCACAATTTGAAAAATAGAAATGAATGCTGAAAATAAAATAGTAGCAGTAGATTGTATGACCAACGGGACATTTGTGTGACGTATATGTTATTAATACTAAATGTCAACTTTTTAGTAAGTAAAAAATAAGTTTTTGAAAAAGTTTATTATTTATTAATACTTAATTGTAATTTTAGTTCATTCTGCACAAGCAAACGCCAAAATGAAAAATTCTCTATTTCTAATAAATGAATCGCTTTCTGATTGTTATCGCGCTTATTCATTCATCACTGTATAAATAATACTCGTTGGATTATTTTCCACTTACCTCAGTTGCGATAGTTTTAATACTGTCTAAAATTTGCTGTAGATTGCTGGGTAAGGCGATACTAGCCAAAGCCGAACCTGCAATTTCTGACCCGGCAGTTGCAATATTTTTCGTTATACTAGTTATTTCTGATTTCTGTAACTCTATTTGTTTATTAAGCTCCTCCATTTGTCTTTGAATATCCATCTTGGACGACGGTAAAGCATCTCCAAGTCCTGCAATAACAATTTTACATCAGTAATAAATCCAATTTTAATATAGCATCCAGGGTAGTGTAAACCATTGTTTTTTGTTACGGTTTTGTTTCTTTTATTATAATTATTCAGAGGAAATGCATTGCCTGGTTATTCTAAATAAGTTGTCTGTATTTGAATCAGTAAAATAATAACGTTTGATATAGACTGGTGTTGTAATACGCTCAAAAATTTATTTTTGGAGAACGTTCCCCGAAAATAAACGAACAAAAATAAGAAAATGTCGATAACTTATAATTTTCAGAAAATAGGTCGGAAAATCAATCAGTTGCTTTTTTATTGAAGCGAAACTTCTTTCCGCGCGATAGGTGTAAAAAATGAAGGCAGTGACACACGAGACGCGAGAGTTAAAGTGGTAACGATCGGAGGTTACAACGGAGCGTCGTAACTCGGGCTCTATGTGAGTTGTGAGGGGGCTGAAACTTCGAATGTAGATAGCGCTCGAAGAGCGCCATATTTTCATGGCATTTTGATGACGTTTCGTGCACTATGAAATCCCATCATCAATGGCGCAAAAATCGTCCCATTTAATGGATCGTTGGAGCGTCGTAACTCAGGCTCTATGTGAGCTAGGGGGCTGAAACTCGGAATGTAGATGGAGTTCGAAGAGCCATCTTTGCCCATCTTTTCATGATATCTTTTCCAGGTCCTATCTTTTCATGATATTTTGACGACGTTTCGTGCACTACTAAACTCCATCATCAATGACTCAAATCAAAAAATCGTCCGATTCAAATGAAATTTGGTATGTCAATAGATTGGACCAAGGCCAACTTGACCGTGTCCGACACGTGTCACTCACAGTTAGTTTTAAAAGTTTCTAGTAAGAAAGGTTTAAAGTTGATGCCATCCGATCGCGATCCAATTTGGTGGGTAGGCAATGTGAGCGACGGTGCACACGGTCCCATCCTGTATAGTTGAATACAACGTATCGTTTACATTTTCAACAGGGTGGGATAACGATTTGATATTGAAGTAAAATATTGATCGATTTCGGCATAATTGAGGACGGGCTACAGGATGATGCCTTCGGCTGGCGTTTCAAACAGATGCCTTTAAATGGACGAAATCATCAAGATTTTTCTTAATTATGGGTCGATTGGGGCCAAACTAGGCACGTGGATAAAGGTACCTGAATGGAGTGCTCAGAAGAACAGACGGACAGACGGTAGTAAGAAAAAGCTTCACTTCAAATATAGTGCATACACAATTTTTTTCTGTATTTTTCATTTTTTCTTATTCTAGAGAAAAATGAGAATTTTGAGAACATTTACGAGCCCTAACAACTATATGTTGGGACAAGGTCTTTTTTTGCAATAAAAATAGTAATTTGTTAAAACGACTCAATTTATTTTGTTTATTATTTTAAATTCAAACATTACAATATGATCTAGACAATTTTACTATATTTTTATAACTTTGCAAACAAATCACTTTTGATAATAGCTTATTTCGCCAAAATCAAGCCAAATTTGCTGACAACTATATATTGGGACAGCACAACAAGAAATTTGTTTAATACGAAGTTAAATCATCTTTCGCCTTAACAACTGCCTGAACTATTAATGGCATTGTATTTACCAATGAGGAGAAAAATTATCCCAAATTTCCTGCAGTTTTGTCCGCGAATCAAAAATTGTTCGTTGAGGGTGGTTTCTTAAATATTGCTTCATTTTATGCCACACAGTTTCTATAACATTGAGCTCCGGACTACTTGCAGGATGGGGGATAGAACTTTTATATTATTATTACCGAACCAATTTTTAGTTGATTTTTCTGAATGGCACGATGCTCCATCTTGTTCGAAAATATAGTCTTCGTTTGGAAACAATTCTTGAGCACTAGGCAAAAGTGAGGTCTCAAGTATATGTTGATATTTTTGGGCGTTAACAGTGCCATCTATAAAATTTAATTTGCCCAAACCTCTTGCTGACATGCAACCCCAAACCATAATCCCCTTAGGAAATTTAACAACCCTCTTTAAGCAATCTTTATCAAAGGCGTCTGCTTTATTTCGATGATCTCCAACGCAAACATCAAATTTAGACTCATCGCTAAATATGACCTTATTCCAATTATTTTGTGTCCACGATAATTTAGCCCAATTGTAGCGATTTTTCTTTTGAATTTCTGTGAGTAGCGGATTTTCTTTGGCCTATATAAGAATTTGATTTATCCACACAAAATAAAGTTTACCTTGTAAAACCCCAGACCGTATTATGGATATATTTTCGGCAACATTCTCTTAATATATTTAAACCAGTTACAGTATTCCATTTAATTGTTACTTCGCGAAGAGTACTGCTTCTCGCAGACTTGCAAATTTTTACTAAATTTCGTAAATCTCTCCGAGATATAACTTTTGGCCTTCCCGAACTTTTACCTCTAACGTCTACATTGGCAGATTCGCCGTATTTTTTTATTATTATTAAAGACCGTGGTTTTTGGAATACTTAAATCATCAGAAATTTTTCGAATTGTTTTTCCCGTACTGTATTGACGAATGATAATTTCGCGTAGTTTTTGATTTGTAGCTTTTCCACGGACCATTACTTTGAATTAAATTAACAAAATTGAAAATTAAAAAAAAAAAATTACTCACAGTAAATCCTTTGACTATATAAAGTAAATCTCACTACTCAAAGTATCGAGTCACTTACAAGCTGTCAATGCTGAAGTAAACAGTTTGCGACATTTGTGACGTTTATAGCAAAGCCGCCTATCTACCTATGATAATATTAATTATTTAAAAAGACTTGTCCCAACATTTAGTTGTCAGCAAATTTGTCCTTTTATGAACGAAATCCGCTACTGTGAATATGGATTGATTTACAAATTCATAAAAATATTGTCAAGTTGTTTAGGATATATGGCTATGTTTATATTTAAAAAATTAAACATATATTTTTCAGTCATTTTGAAAAACCAAGGCAATAATTCCAAAATATGACCTTGTCCCAACATATAGTTGTCAGGGCTCGTAGAACAAACAAAAAAAATTGAAAACAAAAGGTATTCAGAATACGTCGGCTTTTTTCTGGACATAAAGTAGAGGAAAGTAACTATCAACACAACATATACTACTGCAATTTGCAAATGAAAACGGCAAATCAGAAGCTAAATCTACCGAGTCGGCATTTCTGGCTGTGGTGCCAATTTTCGTGTGACCAATAAAGTACTGGCAATACAGAAGATGTAGTGAATAAAGAGAGAAGAGCAACTATTCAGCGCGTGAAATCTAGCATCTGATATACCGTGTGATATTGAAAAGGTCAAATATTATCTCCCCAGATGATTTTATGCAAAAATTGTAATAGACTTTTTTGAAGAGGCGTTGAAGTTGTATTGTCGTCTAGAATTTCGTTTTATTTGGGATAGGCATCTAAAAGTTATTTGCAAAAATCTACCTTCAAATTACTAAAAATTTATAATACGGCCCAAAGAAATCTACAATTAAAATATCAGCAAAAATATGATTGTCAAATTCGATGTCACATTTTTTTTTGTTTACACTATGCGTTTACAAGAATTTCCGTGGTTAGAAAAAAGTGGTTAATGTTTTTTTTTGAATTGGAATGATTATTTACAAAAACATTTGTTTAACTGAGAATAGTATTCGCGGTGTATGACTTAAGCTTGATTTTCATGCATCCGTTGTCTGACGATACGATGATACGATATTAATTTTATTGGTTGAATTTAAAGGCTTCAATTGGTTAACTATTTCTAACCAATCGAAGCCTATAAATTCAACCAATGAAATTAATATCGTATCATCGTATCGTCGGATAACGGATGCATGAAAATCACGCTTTACTCGATCACTCGCAGGCCTCGCTCATACCACATACATCCACAATAATTTTACAAATAAAAGAAATATTTGTAACTAAAGGAACTTTATTAAATTATACTAATTAATAAAACGTTTACATATTAAAATAATAAAAAGTTTACATTGTTATTTTCTTCCTGTTCAATTATTTTTCTTTAACTTTTTTTAACTTTAGTTTCAAACCTCAGGTTTATTCTTTAAACTGTTGACTTGTTCAGTATAGGCTTTCCGGAGACTGACCTGCGAACATATCTAACACAGCGGGAATACCATTTCCAGTAAAAGGCCCTTTAACCATCTTATCTTTTCCAGAAATTGCGAAATTCATAATTATTTTATACAAAATTACTCTGGTTCTCATAGACAAACTTTTTAGAACAATCGCCTTTCGTTTTTGTCATCATGACAACCAGATGACAACATCATGACAATTCGTCATGATTGTTAATTTTTCTTTTCGTGATTTACCTTTTTTTCTAAACTCTCCATTTTATTGACTTATGAATATGGATAGGGAACAAATTCCTTTGTTCCATATAGGTATTTATATATTTTGTTACTTATAATTTTAGGTTATACTATTTGTTATTTTATTTGCTGCAGGAGTCAGTATCATCTATTTTCTATATGTATTGGTGCCCCCTTTCCCCGATAGATATGTTAAAGACACCCGGTAAATAAAAGTAAATAGTTATATTTATCATCTTATTAAGAAAAAAGTAGAAGTAGTAGTGTCAAAAATATTTCGAACCTCTCTTAACATAACAAATTAATACAATTAATTTTTTTCATTTTTTGGGTAGGTAGTTTATAGCTGGTTTATAGTAACCAGAAACTTTATTAATATACCTATTTTACTTTTGTTTTAGGATTAAAACTGGACTTGAAAATGGTTCAGGATCATGATTCTCGTAAAGTCTTCTTTGCTTGAATATTCACTTTGTTATTGCAATTAGGCAGTTTTTTCGAAAATGAGATTTTTAATGTCCTTTAAAAAAATTGGCCGATCGTTTCCTGCAACAGTCAGTTCTTCTGTAGTTAAAATTGGTAAGTGGGTGGAATAAATACTGTTATTTTTTGTTATTATATTATAAAAAGTTTATTTATTTTTATGTATAAATAAATATGTTTATGAAACAGTACAATTTTTGCTTTTTTTATAATTTCCCTTATAATAGTAGTATTCTTTCGTTCTGAAAGAAACTGCAAATTTTCACTTAAACTGATTTATTCCCTACACCACGTTCCTTTTACGTGGTATAGGGAATAAATCAGTTTAAGTGAAAATTTTTAATTTCAGAATGAAAGAATACTACTAATATGGCTAATTTAAATTTTCCGCCAGCCAGAATGTGCGATAATGTCTTACGATACGTTTTATACCTATCTCTTTCTTTTTCATATAAAGCACACATAATAAAGAAAGATAACAATAAAGACGTACGTCCTGCCATGGTCCTGCTAATTGGTTTTAAAATTGTTATTCTGAGTTGCGCTACGGGAACGCGATCCCACTCTTTACCATGAGATTTGCCAGTCTCTTTTTATTTGTTTGTCTATGGTTTTCCTTCAAATTTTTTTAAATAAAATGTGACATCAAATTTGACAATGACACAATCACATTTTTTGCTGGTATTTTAATTGTAGCTTAATTGTAGCTAATTTGAAGGTAAGATTTTTGCAAATAATTTTTAGATGACTATTCCAAATGAAACGAAATTCTACACTAAAGTACAACTTTAACGCCTCAATACAACTTTTGCAAACAAAAAAGCCTTTACAACAAAAAAGCCTAATACAACTTTTGCATAAAATCATCTGGAGAGATAATATTTGACCTTTTCAAAAGTAACATGGGATTTCCAATATCCCGTGTTCCGATGCACCGCACGGTATAATGGTTATGTAATAAATACTTCGCATTTTTCTCTCTCCGACTTACTAGATCGCCATAGTAATTCACTCCAACACACGTAAACATCGATCCAAGACTTCGCTTGCCGATAGGGTATATACAGTACGTCTGTCCGTTCTGTAGCTACGGGGTATCCGTGAGAGGGAAAACGATATTCTCTCAATGTTTTTCGTAAAAAATTAGACGACGCGTCCCATCAATAAAAATTCGACAAATATGCAAGTAGCCAATAAAGTGAGCTGGCGGAGCGATTTGCGGTGACGTACTCGTCAAGTCGACGTATAAAATATATTGCTGTTTATTTAAATGTTTTTTGTTCGCATTCCTATCATAGACACAGATCCAGCAGACGTACTGTAATAGAGATATTAACGGCATATCGCGAAATCCCCGAACTCCACATAATATGGTGTATTAATAATTAATTGTTGATGTAATAATTACCCCTGCGGTAATATTATTCAAAACATCTTTGACGTTCGACGTGGTGGTTAATTTTTTAATAATACCACAAAAAGTCCACTTTTTGTGAAACATTATTATATGGTATACCATAATTCTAGATACTTTTCTTAACAAAAAAAAATCTTAGAGTGTTTTTTACACAGTAATTAAATTAATAGTTACCTGGAATAGTAGCATAGCCTTCATTAACAGTTGTAGTTTCCATTGAAATTGCAGTAACATTTGATACAGTTACCGAAACGCTAGGAACGTCCATACTTTCAGTTACAACAGTGTCTGGATCAGAATCTTCAGGACTATACGGCTCATCTAGAAAATTTAAAGCATCTGCTATACCCTTATTCTCTTAATATTGTAGATACAATGCAAAAAAAATCTATAGATATGTGCGTCGAGCATCTGTAGCGCCTAGAATAAAAAACTTGGAAATTTTGTTTAAGTGCCAACATAAAGTATGTACTAAGATGTATTTCAGAAAAATATTTTAAATTCTATAGGTTGACCCAAAAAAGTGTGAGTCGTTCTGTATTTTTTTTAAATGGAACACCCTGTATATTATTGCATTTTTGGTTTGGTTTCAGATCACTTCAACAACACACCAATCAAATGTGATTCTTTTCATGAAGTTTTTTATGTTAGGAGCTATACAGATGCCCGAAGCACTATTGGCAGACCCTGTATAAAGAACGCTGACAGAAGATTTAACATCACTCAGTTTGAATTAATTAAAATAAAATTCAATTTGTAATATTTGAACGACTTATATTAAAATTAGTCGTTTAAATGCGAGTATTACGAATTAACTAAAATGTAGTGGAATACCAGAAAAATTATATTAAGTTCAACATACATTAAATAATAAAATATTAATATACAGTTCATACCAAGGTGGTAGCTTTGCTGTAAAAAAATGTCAAGTTGCCGCATTTATTTAATCATTTCCTGACATTGTCATTCGTTTTGACACTTTATTTTTCTATTACGAGTTTTTAGTTTAAATAAATAGTGTTGTGATACTTGAAAGCTTGAAAATGTTTACTAGCAGACCTCGCAGTCGAACATTGTTCTTTTTAGAACCTCTTGTAGTGCGAAGTGTACAAGATGCCGAAGCAGTTTAACAGTCGTTAAAAACACATCACAACTTTATTAGAATATTTTGAATAGGAAAGCGGTAGTAATTGTCCTTTATATCCCTTAAGTGCTGTTAAGAAGGTGAGCATTATTGATGTAAATAATAACTGTTTATATATTTATAATTAATTTATTTTTGTTTCTTAAAATATTTTGATTAAAAGAAAATATGTAAAAGTGGGTAACGTTGCGCCGGTCAAGCTCAATCATGTGACTAAAAGTTTATTTGGTATGAACTGTAATTTGTAGTGTGTATAGCACAGAATACATTTATTTCTATCTACAAATGCTGAAACGAGAAAAAGGCAAGAACAATATTATAATATAATTTAATAAAAGTAAAATATTATGTATACCATCTTCAGATATAGGAACTGGCTTGACAGGTTCCTCCATAGGCGAATCTTCTTCTTGCACAGGAGATGATGAAATCGTATCTGGAACGATAGGGGGTAATGGCGGGGTAATTTTAGCCAAACGTGGATCAACCTAAAAAAAATAAAACAATAAAAAATTATAGGGTGTACCGCTCTTTAATGGACCCGTTACTATTAAAAAAATATGATTATATAAAAAAATTGAGTTACAATATGGATGAACTGAATTCCAGTTTATCTGTACTATCAGTAGAGTTCGATTTTTTATAGCATGTTAAAATAAAAAATATGGTGTACCGGGTAGTCGGAATTGGTCTGTTTTAACAGAGAAAACCTATTTCCTGATTAGATAGAGCAAAACCGACATAGATATCATGGGCTCGATTTCTGAGACATGTTTAATGGCATAAGCCGCCTGTTGATATTTTCACTGCCAACTGAGATATGGGGTCTTTTTGATTTTTTTACCATTTTGAAAATTGCCCATAACTTTTTTATTTTGCGGAATAATAAAATTCTGCAAAGGCGTTCTTAAGGCACTTTTTTAAGCACAATCCAGTGGCGTAGCGTGTTTTTTTTCTATGCTTACTCTTTTTGTCAGAAATAATAAAAAATATAATTTTTTTAAAATGAAAATCATAGTTGGCTATGAACTTAAAAAAATGCTGGCGTTTAACCATTTTGAATGATATAAAGTTATGGGTACCTGTTTCTAAGAATGAGAGAAATATTAGGTTTTTCATATTTGTATCGTAGTGTGCCTTGATTTTGTGTTGACCTAGATGTCTAATTATTTTTTTATCGCAATTTAATATTCTATATTATTATTTATCTGCATAATTAAAGACTTTTGAAAAGATTAAGATTCTATATTAGTTTTAGTAATTACAATTGAAATTGATACAATAAACAAAGAACAAAGTTAAAAAACGTATTTTTTGAGGTACGAATATAGTTTTCTAAAAAGAATCATCTAAGATGTTCACACTGAGTACCCCCTTATTGAATACATAATAAACATCTTTTGCGCACAGAGTTACAGCGATTTATTAGGCGAACTGGTGTAGTAAGTCCAAAAGCTTACCTAGTAGTCTTCTGTAATTCTTCTCTCGTCCTAATGGTTCTTCCCTTATATATAAGGTCTTTTAATTTCCACCATAAAAAAGTCAAAAGAAGTTAAATCACAGGACCAAGATATGGGGCCCCTTATTCCAATTCGATTCTCTCTAAATTCTCCATTTAATGGCGTTTTAATTGTAATTGGTAAAACTAATATAGAATGTTGATTTATCTTTTCAAAAGTCTTTAATTTTGCAGATAAATAAAAATATAGAATATTAAATTGCGATAAAAAATAATTAGGCAACTAGGTCAACACAAAATAAAGGCCCGCTTCGATACAAAGATTCTCTCATTCTTAGAAATAAATACCCATAACTTTATATCGTTGGATATACATCAGCATTTTTTTAAGTTTATAGCCAATTATGATTTTCATTTAAATAATTATATTTTTTATTATTTCTGACAAAAAGAGCAAGTATAGAAAAAAAACTGACTACGCCACTGGATTGTGCTTAAAAAAGTGCCTTAAGAACGTCTTTACAGAATTTTATTATTCCGCGAAATAAAAAAATTATGGGCAATTTTCAAAATGGTAAAAAATTCAAAAAGACCCCGTATCTCAGTTGGCAGTGAAAATATTAACAGGCGGTTTATGGCAATAAACGTGTCAGAAATCGAGCCCATGATATCTACGTTGGTTTTGCTCTATCTAGTCAGGAAATAGGTTTTCTCTGTTAAAACAGACGAATTTCGACCACCCTGTACATGGGGCAAAAACTTAAATAGCAGGATTTGGAACAAAAATTGACCTCTCGATCAAAAAATACGATGGTGGAATAAGAGGGAGGGAAAAATTTTCCGCCCACTTCCCTTCTCGTCCTAATAGTGTCAAGTAATTATAAATTAATTGAATTATAATCTAAGCTTTATTCAATATAGTTATCACTAATTTTTAATTGCGATTAAAAATTAATAAATCTGTTTTGATACGTGTAAAAAAAAGGTTAGAGATAAAAAATAAATATTAATTTTGAAATTTAAAACGAGTAATGATGGTAAATGCTTTTTTTATTTTATTTTCCTTGTACATCTACTTTTAATCAATTTACATGTCTTATTAATCACACTTGCATTAACTTAAATCATATAACCTAACTATTGTTATTGTATTGTAGAAAAATATAGGTGATTGTTAACGCATGTTTATTGTTTAAAACATTGCAATTATACGTATCACTTTAGCGATTATTTAATAAATAATTTGTATTACATGTAAATAAGATCAATTATCTCTAAGAAGTACTTTGTGTGAAATAAACTGTAAGAGATGATTGAATAAATCACAAAACACATATGCGGGATTAAATTTACTTGCGGGATTAGAATTTTTAAATTAATATAAATCTGTGATTAGTTTTTAAAATTAAGAAATTCAAATTATGAAATAAATTATCTAGTATCAACCGTTAAAATACCGTCTGCTTGGAAGAAGACTATCGCAACTCAAAACAAAATGTTTTTACAATGAAACGACTGCAATTTATCTATATTTTGTGAAATTCTGGTTACAGGCGCAGTGAAAATGACAACTTGTCTTTCTTTTCCACATAAAAATATAGACCATAGACAAATAAAACAGGTTTAGATCGAAAAGCGCCCATAAAGACAATGTAAATACTATTTGGCGCTATTCTTGCAACGGTCGAGACCCAAAGCTTTTGATAATTTCGGAGCGGTGCAAATTTATTATTTTCTTTTAATTTTTTAAATAAAATACAGTGTGTTGCATATAACAAACTGTATTTTCTATACGGACATATACCTATGAAACATTGGAAACCGACGTTATGCCACGATCCACGATGGATTTTGCAGTTCACAGTTCACACAGCTTTTTAAGAAATATAAGCGATATACAAATATTAGGATTAGATATATTGCGATAGATGGTACTGCTAAAATTACTCTGAAAATAATGCAGATTTCTTTTCTATTTTATTTTTTAAACTTGTAGTAACAGGATGGCGCACCAAAAAATGTTCAAATCTTTTGTACGGAAGATTTCGTTCTGTTTTATTCTATTCTGTAATGGTATACTCAATCATTTGCTTGTTTTGTTTTACACCGAATCAATTAACATTAATAGTATTTCAGTACAAATAAATAATATAATCATGTAATTATTTATCAACAAAAATATATAAAATCTTTTCACCGAATCGGGGAAGATTTCTACAGACAACATCCAAAAATGACAGAAAATACATTGTGTTCATTAAAAGGACGACAGACGTAAATTCCACTGTCATGTATCCTCTTGTTGCACAAACTATAGATATACTACTGGAACAAATAAATATCGATATATTCTAAGTATTATTGACAGGTAAAGTTTACCCAACGAGAGAATACATGACAGTTGTTTGTCGTTTTAATTTTCAGTTAAATTCTATTTTCTGACATTTTTTGGATGATTGGTAATTTGTTATAATATTGTATTTATTGAAGACAATATAATGTATTGTATTATTATTATTATTATTACATAATAGACCATACATAATTAGTTAACTTTAAACGAATTTGTTAACTGATTGGTTTGCCACTCATAACGTAAAATTATATAATTTTTTATACAATTTTACTTTTAATAAAGATATAAAAAGACCAAAAGGAAAATAAATCGTACAAAGAAGATAACTATGGTCTTTTTTCGTTTTACACGAATTAGCTCGATATACGCAGGTACCACCATTTTAGACCTTTAAAAAGGTGGTTACCTGCGGATATTGTGCTATGTAAGTAAAGTTCGTGTAAAACAAAAAAAACATGAGAGCTAAGACGATAGCTATCTTTTTTGCACCTTTTATTACCGTTCTGACCATTTTGTATCTCTAGTATAGTGAAAAGTAGTTAATTAATTTTTCATATATGAAGGCCAGGGGGAAAATTAGTGATGGGAACCGATTAATTTAAATAATCAAGTATACCGAAGTTTCAAACGAATTCAATAATCGTGCGATCGCCCGAGAGGAATTTCGCTCGTATTTAAAAATACGGTTTTTCGTCCGTCGCTTGTTGTACTCGCAACTCGTAACGTCAAAGTTAACGTCACTTGGTAAGTTGCGTGCGCAGAGCACATATCCAATTCGGTGATGAATAGCAAGAGGCAAGTAGCAAGCGACGAGTAATTCGTTTAATTTAATTTAGTTTAAAGCATTGTCGATGTAATGCTAATGCTTAGCAGGAATAAAGTGTGGATTACAACAGGCCTTAAAAACCCTATTTTAGGGCATTTTTGTTTTCCCCTTACCACAGAATATCTAGCTACGCAACAGAAGCCTCGTTACATGTATAAAATTGTAGGTAGCAAAAGGAGACAGGCTTTAAAAGCCTGTCTCCAAATCAGATATTTTGATGTGGTAGTTTCGCTACTACATAATAGAGGGCAATAAATTTAAAAGAAAACAGTTTTCTACAAACAAAATTTAAAAGAATTTTGTGCAGTGTTGCCATTGTGTAATTCATATCGTAGTACTTCCTGATAAAGCTTACCTTCAAATTTGCTACATCATTTAAACATATTAAAATAGATCAGAGTTGTTTTTTTTCAGTTTGCCATGTTAGATGGAATTAAATCTTATGAGCTAAATTACAATCACTTCCTGACGTTTGATTGTATAATTGAATCCTGAATTTTCATTGTAATTCGGCGACAATATAATAAGTATTGTTCTACTATTATTATAGTTCTACCACTTCCTGACGTTCGATTGTGTTCATACCAAGTTCATATCGTAAAATCGGGAAAAAACGGCGTTAGCGATAGCTATGAAATGAATATCGCTGTCATTTTATATGTAAATTTATATGAGAAATGTCATCGATCGTCCTTTTCCAGCCAACTGGACGCCGTTTTTTCAGAAGCATATCAAGTGATACCATAATATAGTACTATATTACGATACATGGCGTTCGATTGGGCTTAAACTTGGTATACTATATCTTCAGTGACATTGTAATATTATGGTACCATGAAGCATATAAAGTGGTACCTTCTATAGTACCATATTTGATGACATAGCAATATTAGGTACATGGCGGCAATAGGGCTTAAACTTGGTATACTACGTATTTTCGGTGACATTGTAATATGATGGTACTATGATGCATATCATCTGGTACTATAATATAGCACCATATTATGTACATGGCGTTCGATTGGGCTTAAATTTGGGATACTACGTATCTTCGGTGATATTGTAATATTATGATACCATGGAGCATAATAAGAGGTACCATAATATAGTACCATATTACGATACCATTTCCTGGCGTTCGATGGGGCTTAAACTTTTTATACTACGTATCTTCGGTTACATTGTAATATGATGGTACTATGATGCATATAAAGTGGTACCTTAATAGAGTACCATATTTCAATACCATTTCCTGGCGTTCGATTGAGCTCATATTTGATATATACTTGCGTATTTTTGATGACATTGCATTATTATGGTACCATGAAGCATATCAACTGGTACCATAATATAGTACTATATTACGTACATGGCGATCGATTGGGCTTAAACTTGGGATACTACGTATTTTCGGTGACATTGTAATATGATGGTACTATGATGTATATAAAGTGGTACCTTAATATAGTACCATATTACGATACCATTTCATGGCGTTCGATTGTTCTTAAATTTTGTATACTACGGATCTTCGGTGACATTGCAATATTATGGTACCTTAAAGCATATCGAGTGATACCATAATATAGTACACTATTATGATATCATTTCCTGGAGTTCGATTGGGCCCAAATTTGGTATACTTGCGTTTCTTTATAAAGATTTGTTTAATTAATAATTTTAATTTATTTTACGAATTTTAATTTATTGTTCGATGTCGTGACAGCAACTTTTATGCCGAACTAATATATTATTAATTGTACCTGTGTCACTTTTTAAAATCTACCTAGGTCTATATAAATAACGTGGCAAACGGAAGAAATTTGTTATTATAGTATTTTTTAGTCAGTTAACATTTTTTGTACTGCATTTTAATAAATTATTTCCATTATTATTAAACTTATATTTCATTACTAACGTTCCAGCATTAATAAATATCACTATCAATCGACCTGTATATTATTAATTTTAAAGGTAATTAAAGGTATTTTCTTAGTTAACATTATAAGGTAGTGTATATTAAAAATGTATATGTTTTGTAATAATATACTTAAAACTATTTTAATAGTCAAAGGAATAATTAATATAAGTGTATCTGACAGGAAAAGAAGAATGGAATGGGATGCCAATTCAAGTCTTTTTGAATCTGGCAACTGTGCATATTTAGCCGAGCTATAAGGCCGTCGACGAGCCGTCGATCCAAAACCGAAAGTTCAAAATTTCTAATTATATTCTGATTATGATATTGTCGCGCCATCTAGTATTCTATTTGTGCAATTTTAGCTCTTTCATTTCGAGTATTTTTCTGTTGCGTAGCTAGATATTCTGTGCCCTTACCCTCATTTTAAGGCGGGCGGCCACTGCGAGCGAAACTAAACTAAGCGAAGATTTTTATGATAGCAGAGATACAATACGAAAACTTAGATGACTACTGAGCGAAAATCGTTCCCAGTGGAGTTCCCATTTAATTGTGTGTTGTTGTTGTTTTCATATTCTTAGCTTAGTTTAGTTACGCTCGCAGTGGTCGGTCGCCTTTAGTCTGGAAACGATGAAACAATGCATATGTAACTATTTTCAGACTCCTTTCTACCATTCACAATAATCTCACTCTATTCAAATCCTCATACAGCATCTTTCCAGATTTATATACATTGCACAAAAATAGTCAAAAAATAAATATGAAATAATTTAAAATAGACATAGAAAAGCGCACCAAACAGGCAAAAAATCAAATATGTCGAGAGAAAAATCCAACTAGCCAAAAGAAAAGTTACACAAAACTGACAAAGAGGTGTTTCAAAATTGTTACAATTGATCTAGCTTCGGTTTTTATTGCACGAACATAAAAATAGTATTTGATTCCTTCCTTAGATTTTTCTTATTCAATCTCTATTATTAATAGCACAAATGTGACTTACTTTTGGTGGTAATGGAGGCAGGGGCGGAGCAGGGGCTGGTGTTACTTCTGCAGGTACGGGGGGAGGGGTATACGACCTTGATTGAGTTGTTGGTTGAGTCTGTATTACCGTGACTTCAACTCTTGTTTTCTTGTGAGGAGTAGGAGCAGCAGTTGGAGTTGATTCTGTATACGCTCTTTTCCGCTTGTCACGAACTACTATACCTAGCAGTAAAGCAGGACGAGCCTCTTCAAAACCTAGATTTACAATACGATATTAATATAAAAATATTGATATGAAATGAAAGCTTTAATCCAGTGTTTTAGCGTATTAAAACTTATTGAGTTTTTGTGAAAATTTCAATTCAAGTAATCAAAATACATTTTTGATTACTTGAATTTTTAATGGGTGATTTTTAAATTCATTGTTGCCAACGACGGGCATATTCGGCGCCGGGCTGACTAACTGGAATTTAAATTTCCCGCTGGGGATTCAGGTGGTAGCTCTGCTGTAAAAAATGTCAAGTTGTTACATTTATTTATTTATTTCCTGACATTGTCATTCGTTTTGACACTTTAGTTTTGTATTACGAGTTTTTGGTTTACATCAATTGTGCTGTGATACTTAAGCTTAAAAAGTTTAACCAGCAGACCTTACAGTAGAACATTGTTCTTTTTAGATATTTAAGTGCGAAGTGTATAAGATAGTTTAATAGCTGATGCAAAAAACTCAGTAGAATATTTTAAACCTTATTAGAATATTTTGAACGGGAAAGTTTTTCGGAAAAAACGGTCGTTTTTTGACATGAGAAATTTGATTTTGATGTTAATATGAGTCCTATTTGTAGGGGGCGCCACCTACATGTGTTTTAATTGTTTTGAAAAGTAATAACTTTTCGTCCGTACCTGTATAAAACTACTGAGTGAAAAAATGTACATTTCCGAGATGTTTCACGTAAAAAATGTCTCTTGGTAAAAATCGCTATGAGCAACCGTTCTCAAAATATTTACAATGGAAACAGTCAATACATGTCATTATTGACCAAAAATAAACGTGTTGAGTAGATAGTAATTTGATTGAAATGATAAATTTGGAAACTTTTTATTTTTTTAAATTAATCCTAAATTTTTCTTCGAAAAAATGATGATAAAACAGTTTCTGTTGAACTTGTGACACAAAAACATTCCAAATTTATGATTTCAGTCTAATAGCTATTTAGTCAACATGTTTAATTTATGTCAATGATGACAGGGATTGATAATTTAGATTCCAAATATCTTGAGAACCATTACTCGTAGAGATTTTCACCAAGAGACCTTTTTTACTTAAAAAACTTTGTAAATGTATATTTTTTACTCGGTAGTTTTATACAGGTACGGACGAAAAGTTATTACTCTTCAAACCAGTTAAAAAATATGTAGGTAGCGCTCTCTACAAGTAGGAGTCATATGGACATCAAAATCAAATTTCTCATGTCAAAAAACTCCCAGACATCAATTTTCATCAAAATATTGACGTTACTTCAGAAATTATTGGAAAAAAATCGAAATACAAATGAAACTTCTACACCCTGTATTTCAGAAACTAAGCATTTTAGGACGTACATTTATATGAACTTTTTTACTTATTTTTATCTGCAGAATATGCTGCTGAAGTTTCCGGAATACAGTTCGGACCACCCTGTATATATTTATAATTAATTTATTTTTTTTTCCTAAAATATTTTGATCTCGATTTTGATTAAAAGAAAATATGTAAAAGTGGGCAACTCTGTGCCGGTCAAGCTTAAACTTGTTACTAAACGTTTATTTAGTATGATGTATTGCTTCATCCCCTCTTCATCCGTTACACAAAAATATATAAAAATAAACCTATGTATATGCTAGCACAGCACTGAGACGACTGAGAGAACGAAAATTCTTCATTCAAGTGATATTTTCAACATGTGCTTAAATCAAATATCCCTAGAATTTATTATCAATGTTCGCTATTATAAGTACGGAAAAATAAAAGAAGATTTTATTTTACGATATTCACATTTCGCAATTCACTGCTATATGAACCAACCCTTAAGGAACGAAGGAATTAATTAATAATATCTACGTATTATTTTTCACTAAAGTCCGTCCAACAAGTCATGAAAAATTTCGACATACAACGTCCATTTAACGTGTTAAGTAACACAGAGCGTTACTAAAGCGTAATTTTGTATAGCCCTAATACTACTTCGTATGTAAAATTTACTTGGATATCTTTTTATTTATTGCATTTTTTAAATTTGTCAATACAGTAGAATTTACGGTGACGCATTAAGTTATACTAGCTTTTTATTCTTTTTATAAACAAGAAATATAACTGGAGTAAAATTAAAAATCATAAAATTCTATGAAGACTGATTTTTAATAATAATAATAATAATACGCTAAAACACCGAATAGGCTGAAATGTGAACACTCGCACGGCAATGTATTCAGTCAGCATTTTTTAAGGAAAATAGGCAATCCTCAAAGTAATTCGATAATTTGAACCCCATAAATACATACTAAACCAAGATACTGACCTGGTCCATTAATTGGCAAAAGTGCTTGTGGTATTGGTTTCTGAGAAGCTAATGGTAAAATATAAAAGTCCTTTATAGCTTTGTTGGTACTTTTTACAACTCCCAATCTGTTTCTGCTGCTCAAGTAACTATACAATGCCAAATACGGCATTTGCTCCTCCACATTTGTAGCAGTTAATCTTATCAAAGAGATTATCTTACTGTTAGAACAACGCATTTTGCTAATATAATCCCATACTGTTTCTGGAGAAATTCTGCCTACAATATCTAAATTTTCCGATAGTTCCTTGTTTAAGCCAGTGCAATCACCTAAATAAAACAGACAGGTACATTTCTTTCTCAATGAAATACAAAAACACTAAGTATTATTACCTGACACTTCATGAGCAGTAATAGATATTTGAGCTACATCAACCATATTAATAGTTCCCATCCAAATTTGCGAAGGCAATTGTTTCGGCGGAGGGGAAAGACCTCTTTCTTCTAGTACTGCAACTTCTCTATTTTTGCTAGAGCTCTTCGAATCGTTGGAGGACTGACTAATTTGAGTCTGAAATTCATCAGATTCCTGACTCCTTGGTGGTGTTGGAATCGTTACAGTTGATGAAGGGATTTCATGATCACTGTCACTGTCGACTGGTGCTTAGAGAGAAATAGCAAAAGTAACAAAATAAAAAGGGCCTAATTAATATATGTATTCAGAGGAAAAAAACTACGTTTTTGTAAATATGGAAAATAAATAAAAAACATTACTATTATTTGTTCGGTTATCGTTCAACGCTTATAAACTTCGGCTCAATGTCAAGTAATATATTGTCGAGCTCTCTCTTTCTCTTGACAACCAGATGAAAGAGATTGGTAACGTCATTACGGCATTTTGTAAATTACCAGACATTGTTTCTGACAATTGTCATTTGATTTAAGGTTATAATTTTATTGACGGATATCGATCAATGTCAAAATTAATACGTTGATTACGTCGTGAAACAATTTTTTTATACCTAAAATGCCTCGCCAATTTAGCGATTTTGAAAAAGCGAAACATCGCGAAGCTTATTAACTATTTTAAGAGAGAATGAAACGCTTGTAAAGCAGTCTTATTCGTGGATGTCGTATATGAAGTACTCGTCCAATTAATAATTTAGGGACGTACTTAAAATTCTCTAAACAAAATGAACTGATCTCAGACACACCCTAAAACGCATATTTGACAAATGATGACGTAACGTTAAACGATCGCCGAACAGTCTATATAACAATAGTTATATTTCCGTAGAATGGTTACAAGTAGAACAATTATTACAAATGTATTTAAAACCAGAAGCATACCGGGTACGTCTCAAAAGTGGCTCACCCCTATAACTTTTTTATTTTTTCAGATAAAAAAACGAGATTTGGTATATTAGTATTTGACATAAATTAGGATTGATTGACGTAATCAATTGTTTTCGGTCACTTCCTGTTTCACCGGAAATGACTACAAATTTTGATTTTTAAATCGATTCAGTGATTTTTAAATCGATTCATTCGATTCAGTGTTATTTTCTATCGAATAAAGTAAAAAAATACCGAGGGTGTGATTTAAAAATCAAAAGTTGAAGTAATTTCCGATCAAACCGGAAGTGACCGAAAACAATAATTGAATATGTCAATCAGTCCTAATTTATGTCATATAGTAACATACCAAATCTCGTTGTTTTAACATACCAAATCTCGTAACGAAGAAACAAGAGGGCAATATTTTAAAAGCCTTAATGATTTTAATGTGCCAGCTCAGATTGAAATAAACGGAAAGTTCTAGTAGTAAAGTAAAATAACTCGCGAGTGTTGTATAAGTGATTCTTATGTAGGGAAAATCATCAAAAAACATAACTATAACAACTTTAAATTTAAATGTATATCAACTTTCAATTTTTTTACATGCTGGTGATCACGAGGGAAGATTAGAATTTTGTAAATGGTTTCGGGAAAGTGTTCAAGAGCCCCCTTTTTTCTAGAAAAATATTATGGACGGATGAATCTTTATTTACAAATTCTGGTATATTTAACAGAAAAAAATTCACATTATTATGCAAAAGAAAATCCTCATTTAATTAGAGAAACCAGACCACAGTAATATATTCTTTGAACGTCTGGGCTGGCATTCTGGACAATAAAATTTTAGGTTCTATATTGATCTGTATTGAAGTCTACTATACAATTTTTGTGAATCCAGATTGACACTTAAATAGAATAAACAAAAAATAAAGTGCTAACATATAAAGTGTCAATTGGATTTCCAAGGCAGACTTGATCTTTGGCGAATTTTGAAAAAATATATTTTTTTAGTGAATTTAAATAATAATGAATTAAAATCAGATACCACCGTATAGACTTTTTTTCGCTCTATCTAACAGTATAAAAATTCAAAATGGCGGCCATAAGAATACAAAAACTTGACTGTTGTGCGAAATCTAGAAGGCTTAAAATTTTTTGAAAACGGCATCTAATTGGCCGATGTGGAAAATATAAAACTACCAACTTACGTTGCAATAGATACAATAGTTCTGAAGATATTGTCATTTAAAATAAACGTATTATTTTCATTTTTTTGACATAAATCCGAAACTAATCAAGATACCGGGATTTTCTTCATAGGTGTTTGTCGAATTTCTAATTACGCAACTTTTGACCCATTTAACCGAATTCGTATCTCTCGTAGTTTCTGAGATGCCAATGTTGAGCATCGAAATTGTCATCACCCTGTATAGTAAAAAATAAAAAAATAATACACTTACCATTACCGGGTGTTAAATCTTCCTGCGGAACATGCTTCCAAAGCTTATCTTCAAATGGAGGAGCAATTTTGTTCAGCTTTTCGAGTATCTCTTTAGCCTTCGTGCCAAGATTATCCGTAGATGAAATCAAATTTCCCTTCTTATGCCGCGAACTTTTATGTGATTTTCTAAAGATTCAAATAAAAAACGTCGTAAAATTATATGCAAAATCGTTCTTACATCTTTGTGAAAAATAAGTAAGAGAATATTTGAAATATGTAACACACTTTTTACATAAATATGTATAGAGGATGTTAAAAAAACAGTGTATCTAACTTTAGTGGGTGATTCTACAGATAAAAAAAGTTCCTATAAGCATATGCTCTAAAATGCTTCCAGAAGAAGTTACAGCCCTCGAAAGAGCAAATAAAAATAATATATTTTGTTTATTTTTAAGAATAAAATGTTGGTAAACAATTTTCTTGAAATTTGGTACTCTTACACATATTTTAATGGCGGAGCGAATGGCGATAATGTAAAATTGGTGGTACTGACCACCGACTTGTAGTTTTGAAATTGAAACTTCAATTAAAACCCAAACATCCACACTGCAAAAAGCAAAACACATGACCAAACTGAACGTCCGGAGTCTAACGAACGACACCGCCAACGCCCTCCGGGAAGCCATCAAAATTTGAGGGATGCTATTTATAATACCAGCGAAGAAGTACTGGGAAAGTCCAATAAAAAGAGACAACCAGACTGGTTTAACGAAAATCAACCACATATACAGGCTTTGTTGGAACAAAAGCATAGAGTACATCAAAGCAGTCACTGCAAATCCACACAATCCAAGGCTGGTGGACAACTTTAAAGCAGCCTATAACACGCTTCGAAGAAGCCTGCGCCAACTAAAGGATAACTGGTGGTCACAAAAAGCAAATCAGATTCAAGGGTACGCCGCGCATCACGACTATCGTAAATTCTTCGAGGCTGTAAAAGAAGTATACGGCCCAACTAAGAACGTAAGCTGCCCAATCAAGGCACAAAACGGTGAACTTCTAAAAGAGGAAGAGCAAATCAGAAATCGCTGGAAAGAGCATTACAGCCATCCTTAACCAAGACAACATCCCCAATATGCAAGCACTAAACACAATACCTCAGTATAACACCATCGATGTATTAGATATCCCAATAAGGGAACAGGAAATAAAGGCCTCCATAAAAACAACATACAGGAAATGCTGAACACATATACCTGGCCATACGAGACTTTGAGCCTTAAACTGAACATCGATAAAACTAAAATCATGTGCACTCCCTCGGAAAATCATAACAGCGCTATAAAAATCGGAGAAGAACTATTGGAATTTGTATCGGAATTTTACCTCGGTAGTTTGATTTCGGAAAAAGCAAATATCGACTCTGAAATTCAGCACAGAATCAGCAGCGCCTCAAGAGCATTCTGGAAATTAAAAGACAGGGTTTTCTACAAATATGACGAGCACAAAAACGAAACTTGCAGTGTATCGAGCAGTAATAATCCCCACCGTGTTATATGGAAGCGAAACCTGGGTACCGCGCCGTACCGCCGACACACGAGCGCATTAAACAAGTTGCAACAGAGACACCTTAGACAACTGTTTAGAATCAAATGGTACCACCATGTCTCAAACGTATCAGTCCTTGAAAAAGCAAGCTGCGAAAGCATTGAAGTCTTGATTACTAAATCTCGCTTAAGATGGGCTGGACTCCGAGAAAACCGCCTACCGGAATCTCTTCTTTACGGTGAACTTGTAGAGGATAAGAGGAAACCGGGTGGACAACTCAAAAGATACAAAAATGTTTTTCACGAAAACTTAAAGGGGATAAGTATGCAGCATAAGTGGGAGGAAGCAGCGCACAATAGAACGCAATGGAGGAGAATTGTAAATTCAGTTAATAACGACAACCAAAAAGTAAAGAGGCGACAAAGTAATAAGATTTTTGAATGTCCGGAGTGCGGAAGAGACATAACATCACGTATCGGGCTTTTCAGTCACAGAAAAGCTCATGACAGGAAACGCTTTGAGGGTACTTTTCATTAGAGTAGAGGATACTACTTTGGTGGTGGTCGTGGTACTTCTTTTATCCTTTAAGATACAGTATTTTCATTCAAAGGAATAAAAATCTAGGACTTTTTAACGTAAAAAAGGTGCTCTTCATTTAGTTCGATACGGTGAGCGGTTTTCAAGATATTAGGTTTAAATCTATAAATCTATCGTTTAAAGGTTAAGATTCAAGCACCCACCGAAGTTAGATACACTATATTTTTTGACACCCTGCATACAAACCTGGTTATGTTAATTAGCTTGTCTAGATTTTAGTGTGTAAAATAATGATAAAGATACCCTAATAGATAGAACGATAAAAATGACATAAAGTGGACTAATACAATTCTTCAACAGGATATTCAGTTTAATCAAATTATATTTTTGGCGGGGAAGTTTTGAGGTAGTTTGAATTTATAGGTTTAATTCTTTGTTTTTGGGCCGTTGAATCAGAATCTGATGTTTGCCAACGAAATTTCGTGAAGGAACATCAAATTTGCAAAAATGAAAAAAAAAACATAAAAAAACTGCCGCAAAATATATCGCATACTACAAACTTTTCCAAAATAATTTAAAACAGGTCCTTTCAACTCATTTTAAACGTTTGTTTAAAACTGTTTAAAAAGATTGGTTCGTCATAGTTTGGTGCTTTTTATCCAAAAATTAAGAAAAACTCTTTCTACTATTTAATAAACATAAAAAATAATACAAAATAATAAAAAATACAAAAGGAATAAAAAACAAGGCAATCAACTCCATTATAATAAAAAAGTCCTAACTCTGATAACAGAACTAATATAAAACATGGTACTTAATCACTTAAAGTTTTGCCGCCCTATCATTACCTAACCTATTTCTTAATTTTGAATGCCTATACTATATCTATACCTTTGAATAAAAAGATTAAGGAAGGAGCATAATGCTATCTATGTATTCATGCATGGTGGGCGGAAAAAGGACTCTAGGGTGGGGAACCTTGACAGTTCTGTTCCAAATCAAATGTGTCATTTGACACATTTGAATTTGGTTTGAAATTTTGTGAATTTGTTAGTCTTTACTGAGCTTATTTTATGTTGTTTATTATTTATTCTACTACTGATAGTTGTATAAAGGTAGTAAATCTAGACAGAAATTGTGGCAGAACTTATAGATATATTTTTATAACAATCTTAATAACTACTAACATTTACTCACAACGTGAAATAAAACAACAAATTATTGAGTCTACACCACGTCTACGTTACATCACGGATTTTACACTTTTTAAATAAAATTAAAACGGCACTGATAAACCGGGATTTAAGTCGGCCATATTTGAGTCCCATCGCGGTAGAGCTAAGATTTTTGATATGCTCCTACCTTAATCTTTTTATTCAAAGATCTATACTATGTAGTTTAAAACAGAGTTTAAGACAAGTGTTTTAAACATAATCCGGACTTGGAGTTAAAATAGTATAAAAAATCAATAAAAACTATTTTAAATCATAAAAAATGTTTCGTTTAAAAATAAAACATGTTTTTTTTTCAACTTTGTTGGATATGCTGAAGAAATTCTGCATAAACTATTTTTTTACATTTTTGCGAATTGCACACCCTGTATAACAATATACCGTGCTGGCAACTGTTACTTTTGGGTCCGTATTTACATCTGTGGAAGTAAACCGCATAGGGATCTTATTAAGTCGGAGTGAGAGAAATGCACCGGTGTTGTCACATCTGTTGCGGCGTTGCCACATTTCGTCGGTACGCCTTTCCTTATCAAGCAAAGTAAAATCACGATCGTAAACCGCTTATTTTTAAGACTTTTTTTCGAAAATATAACTAGATAAAATCATTAGATATGTTTCTGAGCATCTGAAATGGAATTATAAGGATATCGTTAGGGTATCCATTTTTTTATAACGAGAAAACGTCAGTAATCGCGATAATTTAAAAACACAACTTCTTAACACATTCCTAACACGCGAACCACTTTAGATATTGAAACTTCTTTTTTATTTTGAAGTTAGGATCTTTTACAAGAGGTTTAAATAAGCAAAATTTGATAGGCTTGTTTTTTTATATTCCAAATTTTTAAAAACCCTATCCATTTACTTTTATATAGTGCATAGCAATTTTCTGCAATCGTGTAACTTTTTTATTTATAAAGATTTTCACATACTGTCTGCGAAGCATTATATCAGAAACATTAAGGAAGTTTGTGAAAAAAATTACAATCAATTATTTCTAATGGATTTCGAGACATCGATTTTTGAATTCAGAGTTCTAATAGCGCGACCACTGTCGAACACCAACCACTTATTTTTACCAAAAGTACAAGTGTTCCTAACTTGCACTTAAAAATTTACAAGCTATAGAGAAAATTACAACGACTCGTTAATAAAGTATCACAAGACGTAATTAAATCGTGAAGCTGAACGCGTGTACATCATGCTTCCCTAGAATTTTAAGTACTGATCGTACTGATTGGGTCGATCGGTAGACCGTGACGAATCTGCCAACCCTTCCACGTCTCTTAGGAATGTGTACAATTCTTTGGTTTATTTCATACGTTTGGCAACGTTTTTACTGTTCTCTCTTAGTTCAGTACATTATAAACGCTTTGTACTCTTCTTACATATGGAAATCTCGACCCAAGACTAACCCTTAGTATAATTAAAATAATTAAAAAATCGAACTAACCTGTGTCTATCACGACTCTTATCCCTCTCACGACTTCTTTCTCTTTCTTTACTTTTGGACCTGCTTCTTTTATCTTTCTTCTTTTCATGCCTCGATCTATCTTTACTACGTGATCGTTTGCGGCTCCTATCTTTGTCACGACTCGACGACCGCCGACTTCGATGTTCTTTATCTCTATCTTTCCTTTCTTTGCTAGAATGTCTATCTTTCTCTCTATTTTTATCTTTGTGTGCGTGTTTAGCACTGCCACGTTTGTCTCTATCTTTATCTTTTTCTTTAGAACTATGTTTTTTATCATCTTCTCCTACATGTAATGTAGAACCTTCAGTTAGACTTTTTATTATTTCTGTATTGTCAATTTTGTTGCCTGGTCGATTATCTTCCAATACTTCTTCCCCTGAAAAACATGAAACAAACATTAATATTTTAAAATAATAAGTAATTACATGTCTTTACCCTTATGTGTTTTTAAAACATACTGTCTATTGCAATTTAATAACTCGATTTCATTTTTCTTAATCATATCTAGTTGATGTTTAGCCTCTTGTTCCCTCCATTTTGCTAATTCTTGACTTGCCATATCGTCCGGCGACAACCTTACCTAAATAAAACAGAAAAATATTTCAATTAAAACTGTTTATGCCCGTATATCTATCTAGGCTATCTTACGTGCGCTAGAAATGACATTCAAAAAGCTCTTTTAACTACTAGGATATCGACCGCCTTTTAACTACTAGGATAGCGACCGCCCAGAGTTCAAAAAGGGTAGCTTATTATATTCTAACCATACATTTTAGTAAATGAAGATTTCTTAAGCCGTAAAATTATTATACAGGGTCGATATTGTACTTATTCCCCGATAAATGTTAATGCAAATTATTCACAGCTCATTCTGCATGTTTTATGTGACTTTGATGACGTTATTCAGCGTGCAAGTCCTGTTTCAAAAATACAGAGATGTGAGCTGTAACGTTTTTGCGTGTCTAATAGACTACAAAAAGGCATTTGACCGAGTGAGACATGAACAAATGATAGACGTCCTCAAAAAGACCGACATGGACGGTAAATATTTACGAATTATAGCAAATCTGAATTGGAACTAATCGGCAGTTCTTAGAGTGGATGGGAAGCATAGAAGACAAGTGGACATCTTGCGTGGTGTAAGGCAGGGGTGCATAATCTCACCAATGATATTCAAGCTGTACTCTGAACACATCGTTAAGGAGGCACTACAAGACATAGATGAAGGCATCTCGATCAATAGACTCCCACTCAACAACCTGCGCTATACTGACGATACAATAGTATTTGGCGATACCATCGAAGGCCTGCCAAATCTGATAAACAGTGTAACAGAAACTAGTAAGAAGTATGGACTACACATAAATACAAGTAAAACCAAATTCTTGATTATCAGCAAGGACAAGATCACGGTAGTTAACTTGTACACAAACCAAGCGAAAATTGAGCGAGTCTCAATACTGGCTGGGCACAATACGTGGCTCAATAATGGGCACTATGATAAATGAATCGTGGGACAACTCGCAGGAAATCAGGTGCACAATTAGAAAAACCCAAAGCGTATTCTTAACCATGAGCGAGCGCAGTCTTTAAAGGCTGCTTTAAAGGAGCTAAGTCTAGAAATAAAGAAAAGACTCTTCAAATGTTATGTCTACTCGTGGTTATATGCTACATTGTTTATCGTGGTTCCAATTTTCGGAGTCGCGCACTAGTTAGGTTACTAGTTTGCGCACATAGCACGTCCACTTATGGACTCTAAAATTGTGCACAGCGCCTGACCGGCCCAGTTATTACGCTGTTTAAACCAAATTTTTTGCGCATATGAAATTTTACTCTTTTGCTCATCGTCATTAAAAACAATTTTCGTACCACGAATTAGGGACAAGATTTTTATCTGTATACATATAGTATACCTAATCTGTGCTATTATTCAAAGAACCCTTAAGGCTCTTAATCCCTAAACTCGTTTAAAGTTAAGCGCGCAAAACTGAAATCAGTTCATATGAGAATTAAGGAAAGTCTACATACCAGTTCATAGGAGCTTATAGATTTTTCACATATTCTTCGCCACAAAGTTTGATTTTTACTGTCCTTGATGTTAAATATAAGACTTCTGTATTTATTTTTATATTTGTGTCCTGTATCTCCAAAACATTTATAAAGTTCAGCCTCAATCTCAGTTGATATATTCTTAACCTGAAAAGACAAAATGCATTACTAAAATACCTATTCTATTCATATTTTTTGTATTTTCCCTAAAACGGTACGGAAATTTCGAAAAGTATAAACCGGAATAACCATTTTAGAACAAGCAAAAATTTTTATGAAGAACGCATTTTTCTCAAAATGCCAATAATAACAAAGTTTTTCCTGTTGTAAAGACAATCCGAAGACATACTGTATAATGTACAAGGAAATTTTTATAATTTGCCGCCATGACAGTTGTCGCATGACAATTTTTTTATTATTTCATTAAGCATGCTGAAACAAATTCGCAAACTTTTAATCACTGATTAATAAAAAAATCCCATTTGTTGCGTGTTTTTGGCACACCCTGTATTAAATAATAATATATTTACCTCTTCTTCCGTCAATTTAATATCGCTGCCTTTAAGTCTAACACCAAGTTGTTCCGCAACAGTTTTTTGCACATTCTCCCTGATGTCTTCTTTCTTTGGCTGGGGAGCTTCTTCTTTTTGCTTAGTTTTGGGAGTTTTTGGTTTCGAATCTTTTAAGGGATCCTTTTTGGGAGTTTTAATTGTTGGAGTTGTTGGTCCTTTAGGAGTTAAAGTTGTTTGTACAGTAACTTTTGGTTTTGTAGGCGGGGTCTGTTGACCTAGTCGAGTCGATTGTGGAAGCGGTTGTGCTTGTATTAATTTTATTCTAGATTCCTTATTGGTTGGATCTTTATGATATATTTTTATAACTTTAACCGTTTTAGGAGTCTCTAGTTGTTGTTGGCCTGGCTGAGATATATGTTTAGGAGCATGTTTTAGAACCCCTATATTTACTCCTTTTTGTTGCACAGCAAGTGAAACACCATCATTATTGGGATTTTTAATAAATTTCAATTTGGATTGTGTGAAATTTCCACTCTGAAAAGAACAATAAATTAAAACTGGAAATGTATATATTATTTGCATTTCAAAATATTCACTTAATGACTAAAATTAATTTATTCAATTATTTCACTCTCACGAGTGATCAATCTCTAGTTAAAACATGGACATGCAAAATTAGAAAAATAAAAAAATCTGCAAATCATACTTTAACTTTGGTAGTTACTAATTTTCCAGCCGATCGAACAACTTCGTATCCAGGATGTTCCTTAAGCCACTGATCTAGATTTGTTGCGTTTGGAGCATTGTTTCCAGTTAGCATATTTCCAGTTGATCTTTCAAATACTACCACCTAAAGATTATCAGGTTACAGTAAATAAAAATATCTAGATGTTATCGAATGTAATACCACAAGATGTTACGGGATTACCGAATAATACTTTTACCTGGCACGAAATGCGTTACTCTCCGAGTCGTAGTGTCGGTATCGCATTGAGTGTCAGGCAAAAGTATTAGGTAATCCCGAAACATCAAGTTGTATTCAAAAGATTATACAACTAAATAAAGTACATATATCTTTATCTTAAACATTTTTATTATAGAATTGACGGGATATTTTGTGGAACTGATAGAAATTACTCCTGAATTAATATTTCAAGAAATGACAATTACAATATGGCCACCAAGCGATAATTACTTAAAAGATTATCACTTATTAATCACATCCTTCTATATAGGAAAAATATACATAGAGTTGTATAATCATATATTATATCACGAGACCTATAAATTTAATCGATTAAACTATTCAAATATATTTTGCGCGTGATTTTGCTTGGAAAATAGTTGAATGCATAATAAATCAATAAAATTATTGTTTTTATTTTAAAATTATTGTGCATTCAACTATTTTCTAAAAAGCAAAATCATGCAAAAAATTATTTGGGTAGTTTAATCAATTAAATTTATAGGTTGAGTGATATACGGCTAGATTATTTCCTGAATGACTTAGAAATGAAGCGAATGACTTAGGATGAAGCAAATAACTATAAGAATTTTATTAACTATAAAAAATTATATATTAATTATTTATTTCAAAATGACGTCTCGTAAGTAATGTTTGTGCTTCTGCTACCTTGGTTACGCATCCCAACAATGCATCGAGGACCGTTTCGCATTATGGTTTCGCATGTCAACATATCAAATTCTGACGTACTTTTCTCCACTTATTTGTTCAAAATAATATCGAATAAGGGGTTTTCACCGATTAAAATCGTTATTAAGTCATACATATGAGTTGTATATCAATGTTTTTAAATGAACTGTTGCTAAAATCTCTCAGAATTAGTGATAAACGACAAAAAGAAAACCCAAAAAGAAGCCGAAAAAATAATCGCGATTAAACGGGTCTTGGGATTTAATCACTTATCTAAACAAAATTTATTCGAAAAATGAGATTAGCTGATTGGTCCATTTCACGATGAGGAAAATAATCAGAATAATCAACTTCATACAATTTTTATTTGTCTTTTTAATTTTTTTTTCTCCAATTTATAAAAAAAATAATCAAAATCTATTATTTCAAATTCAGATGATCATAAGTAACACCAGAATTTTTAGGCACCTGTTTAACTTAGTAAAAAATAATATGTAAGCTAATTTACCTTTTATTCATTAAACATACCCTTAATGCACGTTTTATTTTCATTTTATATATACCTATTGATTACGCGAATTGAACTATACAAGAAAAATTTAATAAGATTTAAATATAGTAACACACCACATTAAAAAGTAACAGCAAAAAATTTAGTAATTTTTTTTAAACGAACGAAGAAAAATAATTTATCTATCTAGAAGTATATTACTGCTATAGAACTTTGTACTAATTAAATAGTTTAGATTTCATATAAAGAAGTAACAACTAATTTCTAAAAAAAATACCTTTTCAATTCCTTGTGCATGAGTTAAAATGCAACTCTCTGAACAATATATAGAATTTTTTCTTGCAGCTTTTTGACAAACAACGCAAGGAACGGAACTTGAAGATTTTTCCTTCTCAACTTTGGTTGCCGAATTACTGCTGTCAGAGGAAAGTCGAGAATTTCTGGAAGCCCTTCTTATTCTTCTAGCTGCAGCCATAGGTCTCTTAAGTGCGGGATCCTAGCAGAAACATCATTATCATTTTAATTTTTAAACTTTTTTAATGACTTGTAGAACATCACTTACCCCCCTAGATCATCTTATCCCCTAGAAAATATAAAAATACTATTTACCTTGCAAAAAAGACAGATCCATTCTTTTCCTTCCGACTCCATTTGCTGACCCATAGCCTTTGTAATGTTAACGCATTTTCCATGATACCATTCCTCGCAGGTATCACAACAGATCATAAACCGATTATTATGGGGTTGATTACAGATGCACCACAGTTTGTTAGGATCATCTTCGGATTCTTCTTCGTTTTCGTCTGAACTGTCAAGTTCGTTGCCGGAAACATGTTCGTCGTCCAAAGGCTTATGAACAGTTCTGGAATTATTTTCAAAGAACAAATTAAATTTATTAAATACAGCAAAGTAGAGATATGCCAAAGCGCGACTACAAATTATACAGTGCGATGTTTGAAATAGTTGGTTATTCTGATTTTGCTCGTAGATTAGCTCGTAATAAATCTTGATAATTCAATGTACAATAAGGTATACAGGGTGTCCCAGGCTGAGCGTGAATTAGAAGTTTCTAGAGAACTACAATATCTAGATCGGAGATGTTTGCACATCATTGTTTCACGACGAGATCTATCGATTAAAAATATTTTCAATATGGCTGCACTTCCGGAAATACCGGAAGTTGACAGCAACTTTCTTATTTTAAATGGGTGCCCCCATTTTTTATTACATAGTTAAATTTTCTGTAAAGTTTTATTGAATTTTGATATTAAACACTCTATACCTAACATTAACCGTTTTTGAAAAAAAAATATTTAAAATTTCTGGACGAAAAAAACTACCTCTCAAAAAAATGTGTGCAGACACAATAGTGCGTCGGGCATCTGAAGCTTCTAAAATAAAAAATTTGGAAATTTTGTTTAAGTGCAAATCTAAAGTATGTTCTAGGATGTATTCCAGGAAAATATTTTAACTTCTATAGGGTGGCTCAAAAAAGTATGATTGGATCGATATGATATTTTTTAAATGGTATTATTATGTATATTATTGAATTTTTGGCTTCTTTTCAGATCACTTTACATAATCCTAAGATATGAGTAAATATATTTCGATAGGTTCAGAGATATTAATAAATAAATAAAAAAATATACATTTTTTAGCCTTTCTGAAAAAAAATATTAAAAATACAAGAACTGTCCTGAAATCAAAAATATATTAAGTATCTACTTTAGATGGTCTGTACTTACTTTGCTGTAAATATGATAATCGTAAATCATACAGGATGTTCAAAATTTTATGCCAAACTTTCGAAAATATAAAATAATTTTTCTTCGTTTTTTTTTAATTTTTTTAAATGGAACACCCTATATATTATATTTTTCAATAGATGGAGAATTAAAAAATGAACATTTTTTGTATTTATAGTATTTCAAAATTGTTAACGGTTTTGCAGATATTCGTTGTTTTATATAATATAAGGCATTTTCCATAGTAAATTTTTATCAAAGCCACCCAATGATTTTTCTCTCGTATTTTACCGTTAGATAGCCATATGAAATAATACGGCGTGTATCTGCAAAACCATTAAAAATTTTGAATACAAAAAATGGTAATTTTTTAACTCTCCATCTAATAAAAAAATAATATACAGGGTGTTCCATTTAAAAAAACAAAGAAATATTAGTTTATATTTTAGAAAGTTTGGCGTAGAATTTTGAACATACTGTATGATTTAAGATTACGATATTTACAGAAAAGTAAGTATAGGCCATCTAAATTAACTATCTAATATAGTTTTGATTTCAGGACAGTTCTTGTATTTGTAATATTTTTTTTTAATGAAGGTTGAAAAATATATATTTTTTTATTTATTTATATATATATATATATATATATATATATATATATATATATATATATATATATATATATATATATATATATATATATATATATATATATATATATATATATATATATATATATATATATATATATATATATATATATATATATATATATGTTTATTTATTAATAGCTCTGAAACTATCAAAATATATTTATTCATATCCTAGGAATATATAAAGTGATCTGAAAGGAAGCCAAAAATGCAATAATATACAGGGTGTTTCATTTAAAAAAAATTATCTCGGCTCAAACTTTTGTAGAAGCTAAAATATTTTCCTGAAATACATCCTAGTACATACTTTAGGTTTATACTTAAACAAAATTCCCAAGTTTTTTATTCTAGAAGCTACAGATGCCCGACGCACTATTACCGGACCCTGTATAGTCCATACCAATCCATTTATTTCACTAAAAAAAGTTCCTAATATTTTAAAGTTAACTGGCAATTATTATTTTGGAAGGGTTTATATAATATAAATCCGTCATGGCGTCGATTCTTGTTGTTTTTAACCAGGTCAATAACAGGTCATATTTTAATACTATTGGAGTGACGGAACGATAAACGATTCACGGACGCAGATGCGTATAAACCCGACTTAAGATTTTTGAGGCTTGTCAAACTCTTGCCAAATTATAGGTTATTATTTGTGTCAAGTTATGTCAAATACCTATTTGCGAATTGTGTGTTATGTGTTTTTTTAAGTTAAGTGGAAGAAAAATCGAGGGAAAATTAACTGTAGACCCAGAGCACAGTTTATAGTCAATATTCGGTGCTCAGAGACCCACCAACAAAGTTTGTATACCATCTAGTGTATGGTACTAAAAACTGAAGTAGATGTAAAATAACGACGATAGGTAAATAATAGATTTTAGTAGGTACTGCAGAGAGATAATGTCAAAAGATACTGGTTTAAATAACTTAAGATTAAAGTTAATTAATCGACTTTTAAAGTATTTTAATGTATAAAATTCAGTAAGTGTTATTAAAATATTTTGTTTTATTTATTCCTGTGCAATATTAAAAAAAAATATTTGTACAGGGTGGGTCAAATTCGACGCTTTTAAATGGAAACGCCTTTTTCTATAGGAGATAGCCAAAACTAATATCAGTGTCTGGAGCTCAATTTTCATGAAAAACATGATGGTGAAAACCGCAAATCAATATCTGTTACCGTTTCGGAGTTACGGGGTGTTTTTCAAAAATGTGCATTTTTAGCAAATTGCTGTAACTTTTTTGCTATGGAAAAGTTTGCATTTCTATGAAAATATTTCCAAAGCACCTTTTTACGTAGAATTTAATGGTTTAAGTATAATTTTTTTAAAGTTAATAATTTAAGTGTTATCAACAGAAAAAATGATTTTTTATTTGGGACACCCTCTATATTTTTAGTTAACTGAAAAGAATTTAAAATTACCTTTCCAAAAATATGGCATACTTGATATTTTGTTATAATCCCCTTAGAAATACAGAATTTTTAAAAGTTCGCCACTTTTAACTTTGGACCCCTTATTGATGATATGCCCTTAATGGAACTCGAAAACGTATTTTCCAGCAAAACGACGCACCGCCTCTGAACACTGAAGTTATAAGCAAATTTTTGCAACAAATTTCAAAAATAATTAGATAGCTAACCAAGATCCCAGCCGTTGGCCGTCGAGGCCGCCTGACTTAGTGCCCATGGATCTAATCTTATGGATATATTTGCGGAAGAATAAAGGTTCCTTATTCTTCCGTATAATCTATACAAGAATTAGAAATACTTAGCAGTTATCAGAGGGTATCTTTCACCCCCACTGACTTAATGAATTTCGCGAGAAATGTTCAAAAACTGCCCCGTCTGTCCATAACAGAAGACGGTCGATATGTCGAACACTTGTAGCAAAATCTCATGTCTTGGTTTGCTATTTATTTTTATTGTTATTAGATATAGTTTAAATGTGTTGATGTTGGTTAAATATATTTTAAATTGTTATAAAATTCTGCATCTCTCATAGCAAATATTATTTTCGTTTTAATTGATGCTCACAGCTAGAATTTTTTTGCACTACAGCCGGTGCCGCTCAAAGCCTACTTATTTAAGGCCGGGCGAATTTTTATATACTCTATATCTCGAAGAGGAATCTAGCAAAATATCAAGTGTGTTATATTTTTGGAAAGGTAATTTTAAATTCTTTTCAATAAATTAAAAATATACAGGGTGCCCCATATAAAAAATCAAATTTTCTGTTGATAATTCTTAAATTATTAATTTTAAAAAAATGATACTTAAACCGTTAAATTCTACGTAAAAAGGTGCTTTGGAAATGTTTTCATAAAAATACAAAATTTTCCATAGCAAAAAAGTTACCGTGATTTGTTAAAAATGCATATTTTTGAAAAACACCCCGTAACTCCGAAACGGTAACAGATATCGATATGCGGTTTTCACCATCATGTTTTTGACAAAAATTGAGCTCCAGACACCTATATTAGTTTTTGTCTATTTCCTATAGAAAAGGGTGTTTTCATTTAAAAGCGTCGAATTTGACCCACCCTGTACATAAGTTTTATTGATAAATATATGATGTTATGAAGAATATATGATGTTATATTTCTTAAAGTTTGAAGGTAAGAAATAGTTCTGTTTAATTTTTTTTTGATATGAGGTGTTTTGTTTAAAATATACTCTTGTTTCTTTTGTATTAACACAGACCGTAATTTAAAAAAAAATGCTCGATAGATTTTTTCAGTTTTATATAGGTGTTTGGATAATATTTTGAAGCAATCACTTCTCACTCAACTCTCAATTTTAACTATTTTAACTATTATAACTTATGTCTTTGTAAAATAAAATAAACTACTGAGAAGTTAAAATGACAGACACATCTATCACATCAGTACAAATCACTAATCCTAAAATCCTTTAACACAGTATTGCCCACTATTTCAATCATTGTTGATCGCTCTGTATAAGACATCAATAAATAACACAAAGCTAAAATAATAAAAAACATAAATAGCCATTACTTTGAACAAATAAGGCAACTATTATGTATATTTATAATAAATGTGTTACCTTCCTTTATTTCTAGGGTCCAGTTTCGGTTGCCTTTTAAATAAAAAAAAATGCTATGTTTCATTGAAGATATAACTTAGTTTCAATTAATTTTGACATAACTGCTCAATATGACTTTTATATAGTCTCTAATATAAATTTGTTTGTTTTTCTTCAAAAATAAACAAATTTATATTAGAAACAATAATGTTTTAAATTAGCATTTTATCATGTTTTAAAATTTCGCTACCAATTAATAATACATATACCTATATAACAATATGGTGTTGCTATAATAATATTACTGCTGATATTAATTCTACAATAAATAATATATAACCATAATAACTTACTTAAAAGAAGGCTTGCTATCTTCTTTTCTTTTGTTCCTACTTCTTGTAGTTGGTCTTTCAATCGGAGGTAAAACTAATACTCTTCCATCAGGTCTCACTATTTGGGTTCCTTCTTTAATAATATCATGTTTAGGAGTTTCCTGTACAATAAAAATATATATTAATGTTTTCTAAATAACAAACAAAATTATACAACACGAATCTAAAAAATGCAAATATTTTCACACATACGGTACTGGTAGATCTCGATAAAGAAAACATATTTTCTCTTCACCGTTTTTCAAATAAGTCGAAAATAGCCGCATTATTTGAGTTTGAAACTTATTAAAAAATTGTAAACATTTCGTTTTGTCTCTAAATTGAATATATGTTGCCATATTTTCAAGATGTATTATTTAAATTAAAACTTTTAACTTAAAATTAATTTGAAGAACTCCAAAAAATACAAGCGGTATTGTAAAGGTAAGTTACTTTTGTTAGCGAGTTTTTTTTTCGCGAAAAGATTCATAAACCTGTTTTTGAGGTCGACATATATCACCTCTAGAAATATGTGCATTTATTAAGACAAACCCTGTATTTATTATTTTAATTTATTATTCTGGATGACAACCGACCGCCACTTGCTGTTTATGGATTTGATACAAAGAAAACAAGGTATGATATTGCGCAGGTTTGGTCACTACGTCACAGGTGCTAACTGCACCATTGGTCGGCAAGCCCCGCGCGCCAATTTCAAATCGTCAAACTAATGACACTGTATCGTGCTGTTGTTCAAAAAAAGGCAAAAGTGTAAAATCTATTGACACCTTTGAATAAGAAGACTAAGGAAGGAGCATATCAAAAATCTTAGGTCCACCGCGAAGGGCCTCAAATATGGCCGACTTGAATTCCGGTTTATGAGTGCCGTTCTAATTTTATTTAAAAAATGTAAAACTATTATGTAGGGTAGACGTGGGGTAGACTCAATAATATGTTGTTTTATTTGACGTTGTGCATAAATGTTGGTAGTTATTAAAATTGTTACAAAAATATATAATTCTAATAAAAATAGATAAGTTCTAATAATTATTTATTAACACATTTATTTCATCACACATCATGAATAATGAATATTATTATTATTTCATAAACTCATGTATAATAATCAAATTATAGACGAGTCGTGGATAAAAATATATAATTCTAATAAAAATAGATAAGTTATAATAATTATTTATTAACACAAACATGGGGGGCTATACGCTACTGAAGCAGGTAAGTCAAAATGACGTGTCTGAATTATTTGGCATCTAATCTTTGACAAGTAGTAAATAAAAGCAAAAATGCAAGAAAAAATATATAATTAGTTAATTTAAGTGAATTTCATAAATGATCGGTTTACTACACGTATGTATATTATATAGTCACTTACTAGCGAAAAGTTGTTCCATTATTTCACTCGATTTTTGCCGAGATCTACCGCACGCTACACAACCAACTATTTTGGAGTCTTTTTCGATAAATCGCGATAGTGTCACTGTTAATTTAAGTTCTGCCACAATTTCCATCTAGATTTACTACCTTTATACAACTATCAGTACTAGAATAAATAATAAATAACATAAAATAAGCTCCGTAAAGACTGACAAATCCATCAAATTTCTAATCAAATTCAAATGTGTCAAATAAATCGTCAAACAGAACTGTCAAGGATCCCCACCCTAGAGTGATTTTTCCGCCCACCATGCATGAATACATGGATAGCATTATGCTCCTTCCTTAGTCTTCTTATTCAAAGATTGACACACACTGCTCATTCACGCTGGTTCGAGGCCGGATGAGATCGGATATCTCGTGAGTAAGAGTAGATTTAGACACTTGCCAAGTCGGTAGGCCATTGACCATGATATGGCCGAGGACCGCGGTTCGGATTCCGCGTAAACAAAGTATACCCCGTCCAGATTAACCCTGGCAGCAAAAAGGAGACGTTAACTGAAATATTTACTTAAACCTTTACTTAAACTCAAGACACATAATGTGACAATTACTTTTCAAATGTCAAGACACAAAACATCCCCCTTTAGAATTTTTTTCTTTAATGGCCATAGGCGGGAGTAAAAGCCCAACCGCCCGAACAAATACTAGAAGCGCCACTGGTCATCAAATGGTGTAAAAATTGCGAAAGTTTAATCATCTAATTTTGACACAAAGGGTCGCGCTTAACTTTTTCAATTTTAATTCAATATTCATTGTTTTCAAACTATATTATTAGACTTTGTTGTATTTTGTGAATGTATAAATGTTTTCTTAGTATAAAGTTGCATTATAGTAATTTAAATTATATTACATACATATTTAAGATTCAAATATTATGACATATATGTCAGTTGCCGTCTAAAATGTCATCTTAATAACAAAAAGTTAGTTATTGTCAAAAGTAGTTAAAATCATGTTAAAATATTAAAATTTACAAGTTATAATTATATATTTTATATTATTTTAACAACAAACACATAATAGTACAGCGTAATGTTGATATGCAGGTCCAAAACAAAAAGTGCTGTTATATTTTTCAGTTTTCGTTGTCAGCCGCGGAAGTTTCAGTGATTTTAGTATTGTCGGATATTTTTATTTGTGAAATAGAAATATTGCGTTTGGATTGCAAAACTAAAAGTGGAAGTTTTCTTGCAATGTAAGTAAGCGTTTGTCCATTTTATATTTTACTTTTTTCATACCTACGACAAATATACAGATATTGAAATTTTATAATTAGTTTTATTTAAAAAATGTTAGAAAACAAGCTTGTAATCCTGTAATTGACATAATTGTTATGTAATATATTCCATTTAAATGTAATATATTACTTTACAATTAAAAAAATGTAAATTTAAAAAATCTTTTAAAAATATATACAGGCGTTAATTGAAATTTTTTGTGTGCGAACAAACACGAGAGGCGCTTTATTATTTACTTTCATTTCTTAACATGACAGACGAAGTTCTAAAGGGGGATGTTTTGTGTGTCAAGATCAATGATTTGACATAACTTCTGAGGTTATGTCCTAATTCTTCCCTATTTTAGGTCTTTTTTATTAGTGGCAATTGAACAATAGGGATATTTTTTTGTATGGCGTATGACGTCACAGGTGGTATGCGCAAACTGAACGAAACTGGAGCCTTGTTTTCTTTGTATCATGTTTATGGAAATCTGTGTGATCAAACTTTCAAACCTTACTGGTGTGAACTAAGCAGACAAAAGATAGCGGCCGATTTGCCGAATGGTCAGTGGCGTCGAGCAACTTAACTGCACTATAAAATAAACCTACATTTCCTTGCAGGAGAATTTTATTAATACAGGGTGTCCCACTTAAGATGGATACAAGCCAATATCTTGGTTGTTTGTTGAACGATCTTTTTCATTTTTGGCAGGAGGCTGTATGGCTATAAGACGTACATTTTGCCCAGGGTAAGAAATGCGGTACCCCATAGACGTACGTTCTAATGGGATTTGATATTTTTCGAGTCAAGAGTAAACTACCCTTAGGACAGTATTTATTTCAAATCTGATAAATTATATTGAATCCTCCTTACCCAAGATACTTAAGTTCTAATTTCGATAAATATTGAGACAGGGTGTGTTATTAAAATGAGACATTTTTATTTTTATTATTATTTTTTTTAAGTACTTACGACCCCACTGGATAAACAACTGATTTATTATCAATATCCAATTATCAATTAATAATCCATTTAAGTTTGGTCGAAGATGGTCGAAGATGTTGACTTTTACTTCGTTATTGTCGAGGTTATTGTTTTATAAATCTTTGTTTAGAGCATATTTTTCAAAGTTAATAGTGATTGTTTTAAATAACTATTTCGATTTTCTAAAATATTCCTCAATAAAACGAATAAAAATCATATTTCAGATTCTACTGAAAATTGGGTTTTTAAATTATTTTGTAACTCATTTTATTTATTTGTATTAGCAAACTTAAAAAACAATTTTTTAAAGTAAACAAAATAAATTGAAAATATAGTTTTTTTGTATCGTATCTTAATTATTACGAAAGCTATCTGAAAACTTAAATCGATTATTAATTGATAACAAACCAGTTGTTTATCCAATGGCGTCGTAAGTACTTAAAATAATAATAATAAAAATAAAAATGTCTCATTTTAATAACACACCCTGTCTCAATATTTATCGAAATTAGAACTTAAGTATCTTGGGTAAGGAGGATTCAATATAATTTATCAGATTTGAAATAAATACTGTCCTAAGGGTAGTTTACTCTTGACTCGAAAAATATCAAACCCCATTAGAACGTACGTCTATGAGGTACCGCATTTCTTACGCTGGGCAAAATGTACGTCTTATAGCCATATAGCCTCCTGCCAAAAATGAAAAAGCTCGCTCAACAAACAATCAAGATATTGGCTTGTATCCATCTTAAGTGGGACACCCTGATATTTATATATCGGATTAATTATTGTAATTTCGCATTGCTGGAAAATATGACCCGCCTGATATAATTTTATTAAATATGTAAGTACCGAAAATTAAGTCGATCAAGAACACGACAATGAGTGCGAGTTATTAGTCTAGTGGACCTATATAATTCCTGAAATTTTGATCTTGTTAGGATGTATAGTTTTCGAGAACATCGTTAAAACGGCATAAACAAATTAGCTGCTGAAGGAAGTACCGAAAACTAAGCCACTTAAGAAAACGCCTCTAGGTGATTATTATTAGTCTAGTGGACCTCTATATTCCCTGAAATTTTGATCTTGTTAGGATGTATAGTTTTCGAGAAAATCGTTAAAACGCCATAAACAAATGAGCTGCTGAAGGAAGTACCGAAAACTAAGTCGATCAAGAACACGACAATGGGTGCTTCTGCTTGGTAGTGATATAAGGTTGTCGTTTAATTATTTGACAATTATCCTAATGTCAGTCATTATTTTGTATAATATCATGTTGAATCTTTGTGAGTAGTTCTCGTTTTTTACCTATTTTCATAGTCTTTTTTTAAAAACTTTTTAAAAACCACAAACAGTTCTTTTAAGAACTAAATTTTCAAGTTTTTGTATTGTATTTCTTGAAATTGTGTGTTGAAAATATGCCAAAGCATTTAAACAGTCGCAGCAAAGAGCTTATAGCTTCCCTGATAAACTATTTTGAATGAGAACGTGACAATAAAGGTCCTTTATTACCCTCGACTGCAGTCAGAAAAGTAAGTTTGATTGATAAGCACATTACACCACTTTCAGTGCATTAATAGCACCCTCTTACTTGTTTTTCTTGGTTTACATCAATAAAAAAATAAATAACCCCATAATAATGCTTAGGATAATCTTCATAATGGAATATTTTTTGCCAATATGTAATAAGTAAAATAAGCTATAAAACAAATAAATCAATTAATTACTAAAATATTAGTTATTAAATTAAAAATAAAACGTAAAAATCGATAAAAAATTATATAATAAATATATTGTTTGTCATTTTTAAATTAAGATTCGTGTCATAAATCCATCACAATCTGGCAGCGCTGTCGCCATCGTTTGTCACTCAAAGTTGATCACGTGCATCGGAAATTGTTTTGCGATTACCATAGTGTGATTATCATAAAACCCCGGACTAAATAGATATTTTTTATGACTTTATAGAAATTTACGTAATAGAAGAGAACAAAAACCGAGGTTACTAGGACGAATACTTACCGAAAAAGAATCGTTCACTTGACTAATGTCCATGGAATCCTGAAGTCCGCTTGTATCCAATACACCTTCATTTATACCTTTATCGATAGCATTTTGCAATTCGGTATTTGAAACTAACTGCTGCGCCACTTGATACAAAATATCTTCAGAGATCATGTCGTTATTAATATTATCTAAGATAGTTTGATCAAGATCTAAACCAGTTCCGTCTAAAGTTAGATTGTTTGCATCCAGAGGATGTGTGACAGATACAGGAGTGTCCGGAATTGGAATTGTATTTGTAGTGTATGTCTTGGTATCTTCATTCATTATTATGGCTCTATAATAATAATTTTAAAATTTTATATTAGGGACATTGAACAATAAAAATATAAAGAAAGTGTCAAATACTATTTTTATGTTCATACATTAGAGACTGAAGACACGTCGTAGGAACCACATTACCAGGTACCTTCAAGTAGATGGTCAGACCAAATGGAGTACACTTATGCGTTTTTTATAGGGCAGTATGCTGTATGTTTTTAAATTCTATGAAAGTTTTAAGTGCACTTGAGGCGATTTTTTCTAAATTTCCCATCATTTTTTAAAGTTTTGTACTAGTATATTCTGAATAAAAATATTTTAATGCGTCTTCTTTCGTTAATATTGTCAAGGAGCATGGCGACATCTTTCGGGGATGATTTTTTTTAGTTTATGTTGTAGTTTTGTGGTTACTTTGTGTGTTATAATTATAATAATACAAAATAATAAATAATTATACTTATATAATAGACTAAAAAATATTACTAATTGCTAACGTAATTTTAGAATATGATTTATCAAACTTTTTGAAGTGAAACTTCTTTACGCGCGTTGTTAGTAAAAATTCAAGGCCGTGACATACGAGCTAGCGAGACGGCCCTGACACACGATCTAGTGGTAACGGCTTAGAAATACGTAGTTACGCGACGTGTATTTGTGAGCAGTCCACGTGTTTATCAAAAATATTAATATTTTAATACAAATTTTGTAAAAGTAAATCAAATTATTAAGTATAAAAAACTATTTGTTATAGGTAAAAAAACTATTTTTTTTAAGTTTTTAATTTACGCGAATAAAACTGTTATTATCACGGCATTTTACTTCTATTTATGTAATTGGGAAGTGTGTTAGATGTAAATAGAGATATTGAACAACACTATCTGTTTAAAAGGATATATATCAACTACGCCAATGTCGTCGATATATCTTTAAAAAAGGATCATAATAAGCATGTGGCTAAATTAAACTGTAAATTTTGTTTGTATATATGTTACAGTGAAAGTCGGAAATTCAGTGATTGTTAACATTCACTAGGAAATGTTCGCAATTACGGATTGTACCAGTGAAAGTGGTATTTTAAAGAGATTTGTCGACTTTTCCTCTAGTAATTTCTAACATTCACTATAGTTAAAGTAACATTTACTAAAGGTTGCCAGTAAAAGCTTTTCTATTGTACAGGGCGAGTGTGGTGAGGAAGAATGTTGGTGGAATTTAGAACAAATAAAACTTTTAAGAATATTGGATCACCTCAATATTCTTGCTGATCCACATATCTTAAAATTACAATTTACTTCTTTGGTGTATTTATTAAAACTTGTAGAAAATAACGACATAACTTCTAAACATTAAAAGGGAAATCATAGTAAACAATTTAAAAAAAAAAACATTCATAAGCACAGGTTTACTTATTGGTACAAGGTTTTTTTAATAAAGTTCTTCATCATGGACAAAATAAAGTATGCCCGAATTTTCTTCAACGGGAGTTATTCATTTTTTCAAATCCGCTAATTATTCAAGCATATCAAAACGTTTAAAAAATGCATGGTTACTAGGTTCCTTAATATCTTTTTCTCTTGCACGCTTCACTTTTGCTATGATTTTATATCTTAGTTATAATTTATATATACATTACATTATATTGCACAAATGAAAAACAAGCACTATTACATTCATGCGAGTGCCTAGTTTACCTTAATTTTCAAATACCGCACAGCACTTTTTACAACGATAACAAAACAATTCTACATAACCACAAAAAACAAAGCGAATTTACGCGAGCTGTCTGTCAACGTTGCCAACGTTTAGCCCAATTTAATTTATCCTTATACTGCCTATTATTCAACTTATTCTTATTTATCCTTATATTTTACATGTGGCAACCGCGCTAACTGAATCTTTCAAACTCACTGCTATCGTCCAGGGTGCCTATTCTTGACCACTCGCATCTTCAAATATCGCTCGCATCTCCGAAAAATCCATATAACAATACACGTGATGCGTATACGCAAAGTGGCGAACCCAGGGAATGTTAACATTCACTAGTAAAAGTTGGTTTCAAAAATAGCTTTTGAACTTTTACTAACGTAGTCTTAGCAAATCAGTGAATGTGAGCTTTTACTAGTAATTGTTAACAATCACTGATTTCCAACTTTTACTGTAACATATACATTTAGAAGCGGAGGTGCGAGAACGGACAACGAAGGCAACCAGAATAGCAGGATGCCTGAATGATACAATATGGCGAAATAAAAACATTGAGGTGGAGACTAAAGCGAGAATTTACAAGACAACGGTACGACCAATAATGACATACACTGCAGAAACTCGACCTGATACAGCGAAAACTAAACAACTACTAGAAACAACCGAAATGAGAGTACTAAGCAGAATAGCTGGAAAGACGCTTCTGGACAGGGAGAGAAATGAAAGCATAAGAAGAGCGTGCAAGGTGGAAAATGTAAATGAGTGGGTACTCAGCAGAAAGGAAGAATGGAACGACCATATCAGCAGAATGGACAACAGAAGGATAGTGAGAGTTGCACGCGACAAATCACCGCTAGATCGCAGAAGCTTAGGACGTCCACGAAAACGATGGAGCGACAACTTGTCAGTCTGACCGGTAGAGACGACGAAACCAAACAGGCGATTCGCCTAGTATGAAGAAGGAAAAAGAAGAATATACATTTTGCTTGTATATGTTGAGTATAAATAAATAAATGTAATCGTTGTTTTTTCATAAATGTCTAAATAATGCTTTTAATTGTTACTGTAATAAATTGATTACAGAACACTTATGGAGAACAATTTATTTTGTCAAAAAATATTTAGAATTAGGCTCCTGGTAAAATCGTATTAGATTTTCCTCTCAGCTTACTTTAATAGAATTTTCAAAATTATTCTATAGTACAAACTCTATATTGTTATAAATTATGAATAGAAAATACCTTATATCTTCTGCACTTGGAACTGGTTCATTTTCCCTCAATTGTTGCGCATAAGTATTCTTGGGTGTTGATTGCTCACTCTTTATTGCGGTCTGGTTAGTTTTTGAGACGGATTTAGTGCTATCCAAACTTTTACTGTCTGAACTGGATTCAGACAGTCTTCTATCTACACTGGAGACAGCTTCCCTCTTTTCAGAATTTACTTCTGAATTTCTCCTCTCGTGACTGTGTTCAGATTTACTGGTCTTTTCATCGCTACTTTTAGAATGTTTTGCTTTATCTAAACTATCCCGACGTTCCTTATTTTTGTGATCGTTGCTAGAAGAAATATTAAATAAAAACAAAATGTTGATAATAAATAATTAAACTATCTTATTCCTTTTTATTAAAAATATATTAATTTATTAACTAATTTTAATTAGATATTATTAACGTTTACTCAACGGAAAACAAAACATTTATTGAACAAAATATTTTATAATTTAACACGATAAAAAAATCGAAGACCACTGATAAACCGGAATTCAAGGCAGCCATATTGAAACACTTTCCCCATCTCGTGAATTTCGTACACATACGCCTACCTAAGACTTTTTATTCAACGATAATTTGTGAAGAGTTGTTTCTTGTTCATTATACAGGGTGAGTCTTAAATAAGTACAAATATTTTCAGGGGTGGTATATTTCGATCCCAGGAACATGACTGAGTTTTTTTTTCGCAAAAAAAATGTTGAAAATCGTGTATTTTCTTTTAAATTTCCCTGTATATTTTTCGAAAACTTTTTAGAACTGCCAGTTCACCGCAAATTTTCCCACGGTCTAATTTCTTAATCTCTGATATTACCATGGTTACGGCACTAAAAGGGATGCAACATTGCCACTTCCTAAATGACCTGTATTTCTGATTAATTTATCTATATCAGTATTCACATATTAAATAACTCTAGAATAAAACAAACCCTTTTAACTTTAATTATAACTTAACTAACTAATAACGCACATATAAAACATCTATTTTGAGTGTAATAAATTGTTTTTGCTCGATTTTAAGTGTCTTATCTTGTCAGCACAAGCCAAATTCTATCCAATGTTTATTTTTCTGAAAGTTTGCGTCCTTTAAAATAATGTGGTTGGAATTCAAAATGCTTACTTGTACATTTCTCCTTCATCTCCTTGTGGTATTGTGTGTACTCCACAAGCAATGTATTGCATTTTTTCAAATAACAAAACAATGAGCTTAACAAAATTAAAAACGATTTTTACTTTATTTTAAAATTAAAATAGATTTGACATTGTTTTGTTATTCTGTCAAGTGATCACTGTCAAGTAAGCGTCAGTTTTGAGGTAATATCATAGATAAAGGAAATAAATTTAGATTGGAAAGCTCGGCTTCCCACTAAAACGTATAATTGTTTTGGGTCGCATACGTTGTACGGGATCTGGCGCTGCTATAGCGGTTGCTATAAAGGTTGCTAAGAACAACCGCAAATAAGAACAGAAAAAATTTTCTCTTGTCAAAGTAAGAATCTTCAAAAATTATAAAATCTTTCAAAATTTAAACCGCCCACATTGAAAAAAATACCAAAAAGTGTTTACAGCGTCCATTTTCAAAGTAATTATTGCTATCTTGTAAGTTTAATTTAAATTTTATTTACTCAAACCCCTGATAATTGTGAAAAAGTGGCATTAAAAAAACTTAAGGTGTGTGAAATGTGAACTGCAAAAACCATCGATGGCATAACGTCGGTTTCCAATGTTCCATTTTATACATAGATGTCCTTATATAAAATAAAGTTTCTTATATGCAACTCACTGTGTTTTATTTATAAATAATAATAAATTTTAATAAATAATATATTTGGCAACATGATTCCGGAAAAGGTCGAACCTCTCCGAAATTATCAAAAGTTATGGGTCGCGACCGTTGCAAGAATAGCGCCAAATAGTATTTACATGCCTTATGGGCACTTTCCAATCTAAAATTGTTTCAGTTATCTATGCGTAATATGTAATATCTTAGTAGGACATTCTTATTAGAGATCGATAGTTATGATTATTGCGGACAGTATTATAAAAACTATTATATATTTCAACAGCACGTAGCAATATAAAAAATATAAGCATAAACAAAACTCTATCAAGCTACGTTGTTTCATTTACACGTTTTTAAACCATAAAGGGTTATCAACAGCTGCCGTAAAGCAAATAAAACCCGTAAAACAACTGAAACGTGGCTGAACCCACAGGGTGTTTTGGAATTATTGTGTTTACTAGTTTCAAAGTGTTTTTCAGTTGACACAATTCATTTTTATTTATAGTATATAGAAAAAAAATTAACGAAGATAGTCTTCCAAGTAGATATTATATTTAGTCAAGAGTGAAACTTAAATAACTCGGTTATTTTGGACTTATTTGAAAAACGGTAAAGAGAAAATATGTTTCTTTCCTAAAAATATTTGCACTTATTTAAGACTCACCCTGTATAAAGCATTCTTGAACATAAAACGTTATGATCAATCGTATCTTACCTGGTTTTATGATGATTGTGTTTTTCCTTACTGTCCAGACTATGACGATTGTGCTTTGAAGTTTGAGAATTTGATGATTCGGACGTTGACTTAGAGCGCGATTCTTGTGTAATTTTAGCTGGTTTTGGTGATATCGCCGATTCTGTCTTTCCAGGTGTTTTACCGTGTTCTGGGTTAATTTTAACTGGTTTTTGTGGCGTAGAAACTTGTTCGCCAGTACCTGGTGTTGTTGGTTCTTTCCCACCAACTTTACGAATAATGTCAGGTGTAGAAAACAAAGCGAAATCACCTAAAAGTGAATGTGTTATAAAAACCCTTTATAAGAGAATATAATATATACCTGGAATAGGCTTGGGCGGTTCTTTCTTTTTCTTGTGTTTCTTTTCTGCAGTTTTGGCATCTTCTGTTTTCACTTCTGGTGATTTTAAATCCGTAGAATCTACCTCTTTTGTCTCTTGTTCAGTGGGTTTCTCTGTTGACTTTTCCTTAGTCTTAACCTTAAAGGTAAATAAACTTCAATATTTCTAAAATATTTTATTTATATTTTCATAAATTCAGCAAATTTTTGGCTTAAAGTTTGGGTTTAAACGCGCGTTATAGTAGTTAACAATTATAGGTATAAGTTTAACACTCTTTGAATTACATAATTACTACATTTGTGAAAAAAATACATATGCAGAACAAAAGAAAATTACACATTTTTTAACATGCATTTTACTATTGATGTTGCCTGTATTTTAAACCGCGTCCAAAGAACCAAACCAAACCAAACCAAACTGTTCGTCAGAAATATTTTGCGTGTTTGAAGTAATTAGTGATGGGAAAAATTGTATTATTTCAATAATCGAATTATCAGGTTAAGAGTGATTTTAATAATCGGATTATAATTCGAATTACAAATCACTCATATTATAAACTTATTATGCTCTAGTACATTCACATATGTCATATGTGATTGTTGCATGGGGACATGGTACTACGAATGTGAAGGTATATTTTATCTGAAGTCAGTTGGAATAGATTGGGACTCTTAATCGGTACTGTGTTTGTCGGTGCCTATGTCGACATCATCGGGACAAAGGGATTAAGAGTCTCAGTACTTCCAATTGACTTCGGAAATACTATACTCTTTGGACTGCAGAGAAAGGTGGTCAGAATATTGGCGGGGCTATTCGGCAGACAGGGTTCTCGGGATACCTCCGTTCGGTTGAAGCTGGTAAGTGTCCATGTGTATATATTCTCGATTCTCGAGCTTACAATTTTCGTAAAAAAATATAGACATATTCAAGCCTTACGATGATATTCATGCTTACGGTACACGAGGAGATCAGGACTTGATTTCAAGATATTGTCATTTTAAGAGGTGTAGAGTGGGGTAAGCCTTTGGAGAATAAAGGTTTTTAACAAGCTGCCAATACGAGTGCGTGACCTGTCACTACCAAAGTTGTAGGGTTCATCATTTTTTTGTAATAAATGAGTAGTTCAGCTAGTTTAGCATATTTTAAGTTTTGTTTGTAATAAGTCGCGCAACAATAAAAATTTAGTCCGTTATTGCGGTCATAATGCAAATTGCATTCTTCCATTATGACCGCGACAGTAGGCTACTGCCAATCAGTAGCAAACAAATTTTCAGGCTTTATGTCTCGGGGGTTCCGCTCAAGGTGGTGTGGAAACAAGTACAATTAACCCCGGATATACTGTACATGTACAGGGTGGGTCAAATTCGACGCTTTTAAATGGAAACGCCCTTTTCTATAGGAGATAGACGAAAACTAATATCGGTGTCTGGAGCTCAATTTTCATCAAAAACATGATGGTGAAAACCGCACATCAATATCTGTTACCGTTTCGGAGTTACGGGGTGTTTTTCAAAAATGTGCATTTTTAACAAATCGCTGTAACTTTTTTGCTATGGAAAATTTTGTATTTCTATGAAAACATTTCCAAAGCACCTTTTTGCGTAGAATTTAATGGTTTAAGTATAATTTTTTTAAAATTAATAATTTAAGAGTTATCAACAGAAAAATTGATTTTTATTTGGGACACCCTCTATATTTTTAATTAACTGTAAAGAATTTAAAATTACCTTTCCAAAAATATAGCACACTTGATATTTTGTTATAATCCCCTTCGAAACACAGAATTTTTAAAAGTTCGCCACTTTTAACTAGTAGGCTTTGGACCCCTTATTGCTGATATGCCCTTAATGGAACTCGAAAACATATTTTTCCAGCAAGAAGATGCACCGCCTCTGAACGCTGAAGTTATCAGCAAATTTTTGCAGCCAATTTCAAGAATAATTGAATATCTTACCAAGATCCCAGCCGTTGGCCATCGAGGCCGCCTGACTTAGTGCCCATGGATCTATGGATATCCTATGGATATATTTGCGGAAGAATAAAGGTTCCTTATTCCGTATAATCTAGACAAGAATTAGAAATACTTAGCAGTTATGAGAGAGTATCTTTCACCCCTACTGAGTTAATGAATTCCGCGAGAAATGTTCAAAAACTGCCCCGTCTGTCCCTAACAGAAGACGGTTAATATGTCGAACACCTGCAGCAAAATCTCATGTCTTGGTTTGCTATTTATTTTTATTGTTATTAGATATAGTTTAAATGTGTTGATGTTGGTTAAATATATTTTAAATTGTTATAAAATTCTGCATCTCTCAAAACAAATATTATTTTCGTTTTAATTGATGCTCACAGCTTGAATTTTTTGCATTATAGCCGGTGCCGTTCAAAGCCTACTTATTTAAAGCGGGGAAATTTTTATATACTCTATATTTCGAAGAGGAATCGAGCAGAATATCAAGTGTGTTATATTTTTGGAAAGGTAATTTTAAATTCTTTTCAATAAACTAAAAATATACAGGGTGCCCCATATAAAAAATAAAATTTTCTGTTGATAATTCTTAAATTATTAATTTTAAAAAAATTATACTTAAACCATTAAATTCTACGTAAAAAGGTACTTTGGAAATGTTTTCATAAAAATAGAAAATTTTCCATAGCAAAAAAGTTACAGCGATTTATTAAAAATGCGTATTTTTTAAAAACACCCCGTAACTCCGAAACGGTAACAGATATCGACTTGCGGTTTTCACCATCATGTTTTTGACAAAAATTGAGCTCCAGACACCGATATTAGTTTTTGTCTATCTCCTATAGAAAAGGGTGTTTCCATTTAAAAGCGTTGAATTTGACCCACCCTGTACATTATATCAAACTTTAATTTTGTTTTCGTAAAATTCGATACTTTGGGTAGTCGCACGAAAAAAACCCACACACCGTTTTTTATAGTTTTTCCTCTTCTTTAATGTTGGTCTCTACATATTTTGCACTAAAGTTGATAAAAATTGAGTTATTGACAAATAATGAAAAATAAACCGAATTTCAGCCAATTTTTCCAAGATGGCGGCCAAATCCGGGCTTTACGGGGAGTGCAAATTTAATACGTGTTTCTCGACACCAAACTAAACAAAATAAAACTTATTCCAGCTTGTCCGGATTTGCTCCCGCCATTGATCCACTTGCCGACTGGCCTATTAAATCATGATGATATGCTGCAAGTTAAGTCAGTAATATAAGTTAAGTCAGTAAAATGACAAATCAATATAATCACCCTCAAGTCAAGACAACCAGAATTCAATTTAAGTGCCTTTTTTTTAAATGTTAATATTCATTTTCTTGTATTATCAATTAGGGGCGATTTTCTCAACTAGTATCTGACTATTAATTTATTGTTATACACCAAGTATCCCTTACCGTTTAGATGTTATCAAATACATGCCCATTAAAAAATTGTGATATGTTTTGATCACTATGTGCTATATTATATTTCGAAGGCATAAGCTAAAGATTGGAGGATTTTAAGGTACTCTTCAATATATTCGAGATAAATTCCTTTCATTCGTCTTTCGGGCTATGTAACGGACTCGGAGATTCACTTGAAAGACTACAGACTCACTACGCACGACGTAACATGACAAATAATCAAAACCGGTTCCGAAAAATTGACGTTTTATTTGCTAGTGGTATTGAGCATTGTTTTTTTTATTCTGCTGCTTGGCTGCCGCCTAACAGCTTAAAAAAGAGAGCTGCTGTTAAAAATTTATCATAAAAATATTTATTTTATTATAATAAAAATCTGATTTAAGCCCTTTTTAAAAAGACAAATTTTTTTAATGGCTTAAGTCTTTTCTAAAAAGCTTTAATCTTTTTCTATTTTGGAATAAAGATTTAAATCACAAGTTATTTTGAAAAAGACTTAAATTTTAAGTCTTAAGTCAGCTTTCGAAAAATGACTTAAGTCATTAAAATTATTTAAGTCAAAAAAAACTTAAGTTTTCTGTGAGCCTGCAGCTCTGATCGTACTGGTAATATATGATGACGAATCCCTATCCCCACCAATAAAATTAAAATAAACGAAAAAATACGTTATTTACCTTTTCATTTTTATTTTCACTCTTTGATGCAACAGAATCTGCCTCTTTTAAACCTTCATCTTTAAGCTCTTTCTTCTTTTTTGTCGATTTTGGTAGCTTGGAAGTTGTACTAGACTGTGACAGTCTTTTGCTTCTCTTTTTCTCTATCTTGCCGTGCTTAACACCCCTTTTCCCTTTTTTTACACCAAGTTCTTCTTGAATGTCAAAATCTGAATCATCATCGTCGTCTTCTATCTCTGGATCAAATCCAATTTCTTCTTCCGATTCTGTAATATTAAAACCTTGTAGTAGCACTGAGCAGTAGTATAAATTATTAATGTACTGTTAATTCAAACAGTCTGCCCAATGATGGAAAAGACGATTTCGATACTATAATTACTATATTGGTGTTTGTAAAGAGAAACTTAAAATACAGTAATTGTCAGTTTTTCAGTATTCACAATTTGTTGTGTGTGTAGCTATAATGGATTTTTATTCTTTTCGATTTGCCTGTACAAATAGTATGTATTATCTAACAGGGTATTTTATTAATTAATTTAGTATTATGATGTACAGGTATGTAATTTAGCTACGAAAATAAGATGGGTTTGTAAAATTGTAATACCTATATTAATGGCGAATGAATGAAACATCGAAATTGATATAAATAAATGGACAAATTTATTCAATTCCTTAAACTGTAGTTTATTAAATATAAGCTAATTATTTCTTCATATTGTCGAGAATTTGCGTACTACTGTTAGTGATGTACTAAAAGAATGAACTGCTCTTTAATCGGTTCCGAGTTATAAATACTACTATTATCAATATTTTTCAAAAAAAAATCATGTGCGCCACTGACTTTTTTCTTTTGATATCAAAATCGTGTAAGCCGTTTAATGCCATTTAAAACTTATCTCTTGATATATTGTCGAATTTGGCCCCCTTGACGAAAGAAACGCAATTTTATTAATCAAAATAAGATTATAATAAAAATAAAATTAATAAATTATATATTTTACCTAATTTATTATTATAGAAATTTTAAAACATTGTCCGATGCACGTCATCAATCACATCGAAATTGACACTAAAGCCTATAAACCTGAGTAAATGAAATTTTAGCAAAAATGTATAAATTTGTTGACTAAATTAAAATACCAAGCAGCTCTTCATTATACTTTATAGAGCAAATGATTGTAACAGATATTTTATTTAGATTAAAGCTTACAATACAATACAAAGCTTCAAAAATTAGTTTAAACCGATTTTTATTATCGCCTTGTTGGTCACATTGCGCCATTTCAGCAATGTTGTCGTGTATTATTTGACAATTATCCTAGTGTCAGTCATTATTTTGTATAATATATCGTGTTGTTGAATTTTTGGGAGTAACTCTCGTTTTTTGCTATTTTTCATAGTTTTTTTTCTTAAATTGTACTTCTAAGCACAAAAAGTTCTTTTAAGAATTAAATTTTCAAGATTTTTACTGCATTTTTTGAAATTGTGGATTGAAAATATGCCGAAGCCTTTAAACAGTCGAAGCAAAGCGCTTGTAGCTCCCTGATAAAATATTTTGAGCGCGAACGTGACAATAAAGGTCCTTTATTCCCTTGAATGCAGTCAGAGAAGTAAGATTGATTGAACAGTCGAAGCAAAGCGCTTGTAGCTTCCCTGATAAAATATTTTGAGCGCGAACGTGACAATAAAGGTCCTTTATTCCCTTGAATGCAGTCAGAGAAGTAAGATTGATTGGTAAGCACATTATACCACTTTCAAGTTATTTCTACTTATTTCAATTTGTAGCGGGTAGCTGCTGCCTTAAAAAAAATTATATAAAAATTATATACTAAATATATATTGTTTGTCACTTTTAAATTAAGATTCATCTCATAAATCCATCACAATATGGCAGCGCTGTCGCCATCGCTTGTCACTCAAAGTTGATGACGTGCATCGGAAAATGTTTTAAAATGTCTATAAATATTATTACTATTAGTCCAACCTACAGAAATTTCAAAAAAATTATTTCAGATAATTAAAAAAAACCTAATTTTAAAAAGTTTTAACATCCTGTAACCTGTAACTCTAAAACTATGCATTTTCCATACCCATGTTTATTGGAACTTTTTTCATATTTTTTGATGAGGAATCAATGGGTACTCATTTAAAACTTTCGCAAGTTAATGATATTATTTTATTTAAATGTTGCTATTAGACATGGATCAAGGCGAATTAATAAAATCTCTCAAGGAGGCCGGAATCGACAAAATACTAAGAGACAACTTTTAATCGGCATTAAGCTGCTTATACTATTTCGCGAAATAGTAGCTTTTTCGGGTTATTACCGAATCTGAACCGTCCTAGAACTCTGCAGCGCATGCGCAAATGAAATAACGTCTTCATATTTCCTTCTGCGCATACGCATCACAGTTCTAGGACGGTTCAGAATCGGTAATAACAAGAACCCGAACAAAGCTAGTATAAGCAGGAGGAAAGGAAGGATAAGGAAAGAGAAAAAAAGTCAGTAGCATACATGCTTTTTTTAGAAAAATATTCCAGTGATAACCCATATGCACGACCCTGGTGAATATGTTGACACTTTTTTGGCATTCAAATATGTCGCATTTACAGTAACTTTTACCCTCAAAATTTCACTCGAAACGCTAAAAGTACTTGGAAGAAATTTATAGTAAATCGAAAAAATATTAAAACTTTAACACCCGTAGAGCCATCTAGTTATCTGTAGCTACGAAACAAAGCAGAATCGGACCTATGTTAATAGGAAAAATAAATCTTATTTTTATGTGCGGAATCTCCCCAAAAGAGATGGCACATGTTTTTTGAAGCACCCTGTATATGTTTACAATATTTTTGAATAGCAATCCCAAAACTTGTACTTATATGTGAGTGTTGTATGTCACAGTTTGGCTGTCTTATCCTATATTGTAATACATTCTAGATACGACCATTGGCATACTAGGCTATAAAATATTATAGACTGCACATTTCAGCCTATGTATCAATCAACCTGTTAAGTAAAACTCTGTTTTGAGAAAAAATAAATCCTTTGCAAATTGAGTAAGTATACATCTGTCCGACAAGAGAATATATGACAGTGGCAGTTGCAAATAATATTTTCAGTAAATTATTAGATGGCGTCTATCAAAATCATATCTTCTCTCCCTGGACCGACTTTACTATAAAAGTAGATCAAACTGTTTGTGACTTGTACTGATAATGTACTTACCTTCTTCATTATCATCTAACTCAGTTTTTTCTTCTTCTTCTTCCAACTCATTAAAGTCTTTCTTACTAACAACCTTAACCTTCTTATTTACATCTTGTGAATTTTTGTTTTTCAAGGGTTTAGAAGATTGTGTATTAAGCATCTAGAAAATAGAATTAAATGGTTAAAAATACATATAATGTATGAAAAACTTTTGTATTGCAATTCGTATAACAAAAACTGAGCATACTAATACAGGGGGGGGGGGCTTCAGAACCCCCTTGAGTTCAGTTAAGTAATACAATATTATTAATTTATTTTGTCACAAACGACTCTGAAGTATGTACTTTGAGTAGTTTTGTGTCAAGCCCCCCCCCTTCCCAAATCCAACCCTGTTCTTAAAGTATGCAACTTAATTTATTTTTACCTTGGCTTTGCCTTTCATTTTTGGTGTGGACATTTCATTAACAGATTCGTCATTTTTTATTACAGTGCCTGATGTACCAGGAGATGAAGATAAATCAGTAGTAGGTGGTATAGTAATAGAAGATATAATATTAATGTTTTTATTTATTTTAGGTGGAACTGTTATCACTATAGGTGTAGTATCTTTCTCCCCTGGGCTTTCATTACCATGAAGTATACTTAATGTTTTTGCTAAAAATATATATTCTTAAGATAATTACATCATACATTTTATTAGATTATAAATTTAGATTAGATAATAGTCTACACATCTTAAAAAAAATTAATATATAGAAACCAATAAACTAGAATTAAAACTACCTAGTTCGTCATCTTCTTCTGACTGGGGTGAGGGTTTAGGAGATGTTAACGGAGTATAGTCATGATCAAGTTTAAAATTATATAGATTTCTAGCCACTTCATCCATTGATATAGCAGTATCTTTTTCTATAACATCTAAAATTGTATTATATAGTTTGTGTATGCAGTCTACAGAGTCCTGCAACAATGTGTGGATATCTTAAGAGCTATTAATGCCCGACACACTTGCAGTACCCTGTATGTATACATTAGGTTATCCTTTCAATGATTATAAATGTAATAACATTACCACATAAAGAATTAAACCTTTAAAAACATCATGTAACACATAAAATAAGTTCACTAACCCTCTTCGTTTATAACTTCCATATTATCAGGCATGTATGTTACATTGTCAACAATAACATCAATGCTTTTCGAGTCCGATTTATCAATATGCATTATTTGTAACTTTGTGGGTCCAGACTTAGAACCTTAAAAAAAAAGGATTTTTTATTTACAATACATATTGCCAAAGTATTATTACTCAAATAATCTTCTACTGTTCTTCTGTCAGGTGTAACAGTCCCATCTTCATTGACTAACAATAGTAAACTGTCATTAATCATGTCATCAGCAACATCAGTTACCTTAACAATACTGTTTGCCATTTTGAACTCATTGATTAAATGCAGATGTTCTAAAATAAATATTTCTACTTAATATGAACATTGTTTTGTGTAAAAGATGTCAGTAAAATAAGAAAATATAATAAATGCTGTCTGCGACCACAACTTTCATGTGTGTTATTATGGTAAGTAAATAAGAAAAACAATTATGTCTTCTGCTTGGATACTTTATTTCACAAAATTAAAAATTTCATTGTTATAGATAGGCGTTCGACGATACAAATTAATAATATCTAATTTTCGATAGAATTCATAGCTAGTAGCGATATTAAAACCACTAAAACTCATGAAAATTAAACTTGTGGGAGGTGTTAGATAGTTCCACATTTGTTTATTGACCTTTAATAGCCACTCACTTTCAATGCTTCTATAGGAGTCACTTGTCTTTACAAAATACCAACATCCATTGGTATATATTTATGTTGCAAAACTTTGTGTATTTAATTACACCTTAAAACTACAAAATTACATTAAACATTTTTAAAATTACAAGTTAACTTTACTAATTTACTCAAACACGCCATCAAATGACATAACCTATGTCACATTCACATGTCACCAGCGTTGCCAACTGCTTGAACCGATTATCCCCAACAAACCTAGGGTGATTCCACACAATTCCACACATGTATTTTTAGGTCGATTTTGAAACATTGACACTAATGACAGTTGACAGTCTTGAGTAGGTATTGACCATATGACCAACGTATTAAAATTGCAATAAAAATTTTAAGATTTATTTAGGAAAACAAACATAAAACATATATAACTAATCCTAAAAAAGTTATAAAAAATGGTAACATTATAATTTTTATTTTTTCCAAATGTTAGTGGATAACATTTCTTTATCGGGTTCAAATTTAAGAATTCCACCATTTAATTTGATACCCTGTTTAGTATGTAGTAGGGCTTCCATAGTGGAATTATCTAAATTTACCCTGGTATCGGTTTTTATGTCATTTAAAGAACTAAATATTCTTTCTACCGACGCATTAGAAAATGGAAGAATAAGTAAAAAAGATATAACCACTTTCAAATTTGGATATAAAATTTCGTTGATCGTATTTTTTAAATCAAACACTTTGACCCAATATTTTTCGGCACTTTCAATGGGTAATTGTAAACCATGTTCTGCAAAATTCAATAATGCATGGGCCTTCCACTCGCTATCGAGCTCCTGGGGGTCCACATATTCTCTTAAAATGGGAAACCTTTCCAAGACCTTATATAAGCTCTTAGTTTCAAATGATTGTGCTCTTAACGGATCTAGTATTTCTAATAAAGAAAAAACACTATCATCAAAAGGAAACCTTTTTTTAATTTCACTAACCAGTTTAATATAAAAATTGAGGCAGCTTGTATAAAATCGCAACAGGTCCTCTTTAGAAACATGATCTTTAACATTACTTAAAGATTCTGTGGCTTGTATGCCTAAATACATGTTTTCATGCTCCACAAAAGAATGTGGATTTTCATGATTAATTTGAAAAATATTTTTTGTGTTTTTCACCACTGACATCTTTATATAATTTGAACATAAAGTTTTTAAAAGGGACTCTGTTTCGGGTTTCAGCCTATGTAACAAGGGGCTTTCGGTCTGGAATAAAATATTAAAATTATTTAGAATACCAAGCACGTAGGACATAAACTCTAAATAGATACGGGTAAACTTGTTTTTGATGATAGAAAGCATATCCTCAGTTGTCCTTGAGTGATCCGTAAATACTAAATCAGTAAGATAGGCTTCTAGAGCATCAAATTGTTCTAAGAATCTATCGACGCAGCCTTGCATTGAAAGCCATCTTGTATTAGAAAGGAGTTTTATTTTGTGGAATTGAACGTTAAAAAAATTTTGAAACTCCTGAAATTTTTCTTGCCTGCATGCGCTCCTACTAAAATGAGCCCCCACGTTACGCAGAAGATCCTCTATAGACCTCGGTAAGTTAAGACAGGCTTTTGATGATGCCAAGTGAATTAAATGACAAGAGCACTTTATGCAACAAATATTTGGAAATTCAATTTTTAATCGCGATACAACCGAATTATTTTCTCCAAACATTACATTAGTAGTATCGGAGGAATATCCTACCAAGTTTGAAAACGGTATATCTTTTTTAGCGATTACATCTTTTAATGTATTGAAGAGAGTTTCTGCATCTCCATTTGGAACCTCAACCATATCAAAAAATCTAGTTTCAACTGACTCTTTAAAAAATATAATGGTAAAGGCACATTGTTTAGAAGTACTCTTGTCCGTAGTTTCATCCATAATTATGGAAAAAAAACAGCCGGGTTTCTGAAGTTCAGCACTAAGTTGTTTCTTAAATTGTTTGCCTAATGCTTCCCTCACACACGCCGCTGCTTTGGTCCTTTTTAAGTTGAGGTCTTTAGCGATTTGCGAGTCTGGAAAAATATTAGAGCATAATGGCGCAAGAGTATCCATAAGTAGAAATGGCAGGTTGTTAGAGGCAAGAAGACCACATAATTTTATTTCAGCTCGTTTAGTGGCCTCTCCTCCCCGCTTTGTCAATATATCTGTTATTTTGGAATTACCCGCAATTTGTCTAATATTGTTTTGATGCCTTTCAGTTGACTCATGTCTATATAAGTCTTTTTTATGGGCAACTAAAGACATGTTACATGCCTTGCAAAAGGCATACTCGTTTTTATTATTGGTTGTGGTTTCTAGTTTAATAAGCCAGTCTTTGAACTTTGGCTCCTGCAACCATGAATTAATAAATTTGTAATATCTTTTTGCTTCGCCAGTTTTTAATTTCTTTTTTGAAGGTTTTTTATTCTGGGATTCGCCCTAAAACACAAGTTTAGTAAAAGCCAAGTTTGTTATATTAAATGAGATTTTTTGACACCTCTAATTGAGTTGTTTTTAACGTCGATTCTACTGAGCTACATGAAGCAATCTTCTCATTGTCACTGATCTAAAAAATGTTAATTTTGTTTTATTTTGATTTTAGGATATACCTTGTTAACAGGTTTTTCAATGCAAATTAAATGTTTATAATTTTTTTAAAAGTAGGTACACCAAAACTATAAAATATAAAATACCATGTCATACCTAATAACCATATTAAACTAACCTCTACATCTATTAGATTTTGATCGTCTAATTCAGGCCTACTTGCAGTGTTTCCATTATCCTAAAAGATTGAATTTATTATACCGTATGATCGAAAAAAACGGCGTCCAGTTGGCTGCGTAATGAAGATCGATGATATTTCCCATAGAAATTTACATATAAAATGACATCGATCTTCATTTCATAGCCATCGTTGACGCTGTATTTTTTCGATCATATTGTATTATAATTGACCAATACCACTTTATTATGCAATGCTAATATTGCTAACCCATAATGCCAGGTAAAACTAACCTCCACATCCATTACATTCTGATTCTCTGCATCTAATTCAAGACTATTAATTGTTAATTTTGGCTTCTTAATTAACCAGTTATCCATGTTTAAAATGCAGAAAGGCTAAGTAAAGTATATGCCTACACCCGTTCCCTTTTTTCTACGCCGCGCCGTCACCTTATAGCAATAGAAAAATAAAACAAAAACTAGATTCACTTACTTTTCGATTGGAATAATGTAGTTTAAACTAGAATTACCTATAAATAAAGGACCTAGTAAAACACTTACCACACAATTTTTAGCTAAACACCTGTGCTAAACACGTACAACCTAGAACCTAACACCTATGGAGTGCTCCACAGGAGTGCACAGCAGGAGTGCTCCACAGACCAAGAGTGCTCTAACCTGTGGATCCCATACGTCCAAAACACCATACGTCTTTGTCTAACGTTTAAAATTTAAAATTCTTTTAGAGGGTGCATTGGGCACTGAGTTATATTTCTATCATTTATTAAGTAGTGTTATTAAAAAGAGACGAGGCGATTTCGTTATACATAGTTATAGCACGCACGGTAGATGGCAGTACATGCTATTCATACGCGGCCCGTTTCGCGTTTTTAAACTAGAGCCGGGCGATATTTATCGATATTTTGTTTTTATCACTGATTTTAAAACTCTATTTGCTTCGCTTTACAATTTTCTTCTTTTTGAGTATTTAAGTTCCCCACAAAACGCCCACATTTGAGTATTCCCCACCAATTACACACATTCGAGGAAATTCCACACATTTTGTGGAATTCCACACAGATTGGCAACACTGCATGTCACCAACGTCAAACGTCACACGCCGGTACAAAAATGACTAAAACCACAGACAAAACGTGAAAGACAATAGACAACCGCCAAGTTCGTATAGCTTGTTACAGATTTATATATGATAATTAATCAGGGATGGGCGAGCAAACTAATGTAAAGGCACAGGTAAAGTAAAGGTTTGGTAATGGTGTGGATCCGGTGGCTGACCTTTAAACGAGTTTTTGCTGCATATAGTCACATACACTACGCATGCATACACCTTCGATGTTGCCAGATTGCAAGTTATTTTGGAATTATTTTCAGTAGAAAACAAATATGTGCTTTTCAGTGTTTTTTTGTCAATATATACAGTATGATCGAAAAAACGGCGTCCAGTTGGCCGGAAAATGACGATTGAGTACATTTCCCATATAAAATGACAACGATCTTCATTTCGTAGTCATCCCTGACGCTATTTTTTTCAATCATAGTACTCGCGGTATATTATTTATATTATTTTAATATTTTGCACAACACGTGAAACGTGAACGCTTATTAGGGAGTTTTCGTTGCTTACAAATTGCAATTCCGGTTAACGCTAATTGACAACTTTGACATTTCAATTTCGATTATCGTATATCGTAACCGCTAGCTGCCGATATTTTACGGACGTTAGCCAAAGCCGTTAACATAGCGGTACGCATGCGCACTAGCGCAGTAGAAACACAACATTGAAAGATACAGATCTAACCTAACATCATTCTATTTTGTTTATGTTTTGATTATTTATTTTATCTGTGTTAAACTCGTTGGGAATTCTTAGTGCTTCAACTAATCGAGGAATGTCTTTTTTTTCAAAGCAGAAGTTAGCTTTGCACTCTTGGTCAGATAATATTTTTAGGTTGAACTCCCCATAAAGTTCTGCTCGATATTCGATGTTGTTTTCAAACCCTTCCAACAGCACAGCATCCTCCAAATCCGATTCATCACTAGAGTCCAATAAAATTAAATTGTCCATCCTATATAGCGATACCCAATAAAGTCATATAAAGAACTTTCAAATCAAACAACAATACAAAAACCAAAAATCAAAATACTACGCTACGGGCTGTGCTTAGCTGTCAGTTTTCGGTTATCGTATCGTATGTCGGCTCCGAACCGATGAACCGAAAGTCCGAAAACTGTTTTTTTATCTGTCAAAATAGCGGTTATGGTTACGTATCCGTTAACCGTACCGTTGAATTTTTTTAATGCAACGAAAACTCCCTATTATGTATTTTCATAGTCAATAAAATTAAATAGAAATAAAATTCTAGATTCCTATAATTAATCTAATTGCTCTAGATCTGCTCTAGATTATTATGCTACGTTTAAAAAGTGCTTTATTAAAAATTCGGGAAATTAAAAGGGATGTGTCCAAGTTTTTTCTTTTTTTTTTATTTTTAAATGCTGTAGCTCCATGTCATGTTCATAATAGGTTTTTTTAACATTCCATCAAAACTACGGAGGCCTTAAAAGGCCTTTTAGCCTCCGTAATTAAAATTGTAGAATCATCAGCTTCAGCAATATTTACAGTTACCTTGTTTAATTCTGCTTATACATATATTGCATTATTTTTCTGCTACCTTAAGATTTCTATTCTTACACCTAATTTATGTGATTTTCTTAGCATAATATGATTTCTAAACCATATTTTTCCTAATGGAAGGATGGAATAGGATATACAAAATTAAGATATATTTTCCAGACAAAGCATAATATTAGTATTAAGTTTAAGACATAACAAATATTATAAGAAAGATCTTAATATAAATCACAAATTAATTACAAACTAATTTTAATTTGGTCTTGTATAAATACAGGTATAAAACTAATAAGATCAAAACTCAACCTTCACCATATTGTCAAGATTTGGCATTATAGGAACCAAGAAATTACAGTAAATTAAGAAAAAAATATCAAAGTACACGATATTAAATACTGTAATGTATTCTACGACACTCACCATCTCCCTTCTAAAGAGAAAAAGATAAAACATAAAGCTTATTTTAGTCTTATCAACACACTCTTCAATAAAATATATGTTTAAAATTGCTATTAATCCACTAACTTGATATTTTTAGGAAATTATGATACAAACATTATAATCAAAGTATATTGTATTAGTAACCCAGCAAACACGAACTATCGGTAAATAATCGGCCAATTGCCGTAAACGATGGCTGAGTAACGGCATCGGCAAAATATAATTGGTCCTATGTGTTACCGATGATTGAATTTTGGCCTTTGGCATTTGAACGCTGGCATAACGTTGGCATTTATTTAAGTAATCATTTTAAAGTATACAACCGGTAGTGCATCAACGGAACGGCAACGTGCCAACGTGCGTTTCCCATTCTTCTTAAAAATTTGCGTTTGACGTATCTCTTGTCAATGATGTCAATTATCTAATTTGTCCCGCCAACGCCGACTGACGCCGACCGAAATGCAAAATGAGAAAAACGCCGCTTATTGTGTCTTGAATTTGGAATATTGGAATGTGTTTTAAATCATTCGTGATCTTAGTAATTTTTAAGTGTTTAATTATTGTGAAGTTTTATTGTATTGTTCGATTGTTGCTACTTTGAGAAAAATGAATAATCAATTGCTAGACATTAGTAAAAACTACCCGACAACGGTGACAACTTGGTGAGTTTGCATGCCTACTTTTGAATCATTTTTGTGCACTTACATGAAACTATTTTGTGAACAGATCAGCATTTAGAATGTCTACTTTTAAATCCAAAAGTAAGCGTCAGCAAAGACGTTTAATTAACGCAAAGGTAGAGAAAGTAATTGGTGAATTGCGAGCTGAAAAATTTTACCTCCGAGGCTGGCTCTGAAGATTCTCATTGTCCTCAGCCCATAGTACAAATCTGTACAAATACTTATTCTACGCCATCAACTTCTTCAGGTTCTATTTTAATGAAAACTTATTCAGTTTACATAAAAAAAATCACATACTGATGATGCCTTTGATGATTTGAAAGAACTAAATGTATTATTAGAAAATGAAGAACAATTTAAAACTCTTGTAAGTACTTATCAAAACTTTTAATATATTTAAGCCATTTTTATGTAATAAAGTTATATAAATTCCAGTGCATGAAACTTAGTTTAGTTGGCGGAAAAGATGTTGCCACATGCACAAGAAAAATTCTTTCTCGCTTAATTTCACATCAATTAACTCTTAATTTAAATTGGACGGGAAGAAATGAAAAAAGTGGTCTTAAAGAGCTTGGAAATGTAGTTAAGGTCATTGTAGGTAAGTAGCTTAATTCCAGGGTAAATTAGATACATTTAAAAAAATATATATCAACTTTTTTTTTTAAATATACGGCCTTATTATCAATTATAATACCGTATGATCGAAAAAAAAGGCGTCCAGTTCGCTTGGAAATGACGATCGGTGACATTTCCCATATAATTTTACATATAAAATGACAACGATCTTCATTTCATAGCCATCGCTGACACCGATTTTATTCGATCATACGGTACATATTGTCATTTTCCATAAGAACTAAATGTGTTAGAGACAGAATATAGATTTTTGGTAGGAATTGAGCAGGAAATCAAAATATTATAAGCTCGATGAATTTTATAAATCAGAAAAAAATTAAACGATTTTGCAATTTTCGGTTTTGTTCGTATAACTACGAACGTAATTGGAGTTTTTTAACTTTCAAAACCGCATTTTATTTGGCATGAAAATGCTCAACTTTGCCCCAATTTAAAGGACCCTGTATCTGTTACGGTTTATATATCGGAATATATTATATTCCGCTTCAAATTTGTAGCAACCTGTATATACACAAATGCACACATATTTACAAAAGCATATAATTTTGATAATTTTTTAGCTTCTGTTAGGAGAAATCCGAATTTAAACGGAACTGCGGACGAAATCGAACACATGATAAAAACTTGGCTTCGCAATGCTGCTGATAGAGATGGGGGGAGAGTAAGAAGAAATAAGAATACTAATTGATTTGATGGTAAGATCTGCTATAATTATTGTATAAAGTTCATATAAAAAAAGTTATTCTTTTATTTTTCAGATGGAACGTTTTATTTTATTTTTTAAGTTTGTTTGAAAGAATGTTTTTTTTTCTCTTTATTTGTGTTCAGCCCTGGGTAAATATGTATATTGAATATTAATGAATTATTTATATTATATCTTCCTTCATAAGCCTAATGTATTTTTATTTATTCCTATAGCCATTTTTAAACAAATAAATAATACAGAATATTACAGTTCGGTTTTTGCAACTTTTCTGAAAAGAAGTTTCACGCGTACAAGGAAGTACATGCAGTGACCGGCTAAAATATGGAACAAATTTATTTAAAAATTACATAATTGATTTTTTAAAAGGGTGCTCGAACACGTCTTATCATATTTTTCTTGCGCATTTTTTGCACCAAATAAAATATACAGGATATATAATTTTTAAATGAATTTGTTCCATATTTTAGCTGGTCACAGTGTATACAGGGTTATTCATAAGTCCTATTTGACGTTTACGGAGAACCAAAAATCCAATCCTCTTAAAAACTGGGGTCTTAAAACAGTGATGCAGTTTCTTGCTAAACTTGGCGACAACTTCGTTTTTTTTTATATAGAACACCTTTATATTAGTTTGTTTTTGAATTAACCTTGAGATTTTATGTAACTTCTAATAATGCCCTATGCCTTTCTTCAACAGTTTTCGAAAAAAAAAATTACTTTCCAAAATTTTCGCTAAAATAAGAATCAAAAGAAGTCGCGAATTCTCGGTTATGCAAAATAGTAAAAAGTTGAAATTATTTTTTTTCCTAAAACAGTTGAAGATATAGGTATAGAAGGCATTATAGTAGTTATTTAAAATTTCAAGGACAAATCAACAAACTAATATACGGGTGTTCTATTTAAAATAACGATGCTGGTTGCCAAGTTTAGCAAGAAACGGAAACCTTGCGTTTGGCCAGCATTCTGCCGATGTTTATTTTAAATTAAATATAATCCATAGGGCCATAAGATTTAAGCACGTATAGCCAGCGTTGGCCCAACGATACAATTTAGACGTTGCATCGGCCCAACGCCGATTTATACGGTCGGCCGACATACGGTTCGACTGTCGGCCGGGCGGTCATATACGGTCCGGGCCAGTACTTTTTTTTGGGGTCGGTCCAGTGCCTGTTCTCCGGCAATGCGGCATTTGTTTGATGCTGGCCCGTAAGAAATGTGTTTGTTGGGTAACATTATAGGTAAGATGTTACCTCTATCTCCCATTGACGCGTATTGTTCTATAAGACTCGTCATGGTAGTATTTCAAAACATCAATACATATAATCAAAACTATCGTTGCCTGTAAATAACTAGAAATTAAATAACTTGAAAGACATTTTTTTTAAACTTAAATAACTCGGTTATTTTGGATTTATCTGAAAAAGTAAGGAGAAAATACGTTTCTTTTATCGAGATCTGCCAGCCCTGAAAATATTTGCACTTATTTAAGACTCACCCTGTATATAAGTTTGTTAACATTTAATATAGATGCTGAACTTGTATATTTTTAATTAGATCTTTCTATTTAGCTGAATGTCCTAATATGTATACTACTGTTTTTTTAACTAAAATATGTTAAAATAATTAATCACATATGTATATACATACCTAATCGGATCTGCACAACTTTGCCCAGGGGGGCAATTTTTGGAATTGATCGTTTACATGCGAACGCGCAACTTTGCGAGTGTTAGAAAACGAATGCGTTTTAAAAATTCAATTTTTCAGCCATCTTCGCATCTTAATTTGCGATCGTCGTGAGCGTACGCAAAATTACGAGCCGGAACTGTGGCAACGTCGCAAATCACAGTGAAAAACTAAATTCTCTCCAGTTTAACCGTATTTTTTACTGTTTATTTACTTTTCATTACTTGGTATCGATAATCGAGGTTTGTTGTGTTGTTGGTCAAGTGGGTTAATAATGGAAAAAAAACGTGGAACTAATGTTAGAGAAAAGCAAAAAGTAACGTTAATATTTGTAAAGAAATTGCAATTGCAATAGGCAATGCAATAAATACCCGTATTGCAAAACCATACTGTTCTCTATTCTGTTGAGTTTTTCAAAATTATTTGTAAATTCAACCCATTGATCGGATATCTCTGGATGGTTTAGACCGTTGGTAACTTCATCAATTGAATGAGAAACCGAGGCTTGGTACATATCGATGTATTTATTTAAAGCAATATCCGGGCTGGTAACAACCACTTCCGTAAAATTTCAAAGCAGCTAAAGCTAAAATCTGAAATTTAATGTTACTTCATAGATATACAATAATAGAGAAAAATGTTACCCGGCTTTGCACATCCCAATCAGTCTTCTTTGTGGTCGCATGTACGGCTCAAGTAACTGAATTAAAAAACGGCACAAGTCTTTGGATAACCGAAATATTTTTATTTTTAATAAATTACCTTTCACTCAGTTCTATGAACGCATTCCCCGGATTGCGCAAAACATTAGGGCGGTATTGCAGTTCTGCATTTTCTAGGTTTCGAATGGCCAAAACATTCATTATCACTACTATTATTGATACACCTAAACCCAACTACAAACTTGGAACTATCAAATCTAATAAGCGCACTTAGAAAACATACCCTTACGATGCTGTCGATCCGCTCGCAAGAGAACGCAGGGAAATTTGCTAATACGCAAAAATACGAACACTTAAAAATTGGATTTTAGTGTTGATCGAAAAGTTGCGAACAATTTGCAAGGAAACGAATAGCCAAAAATTGCCCCCCAGGCATTTTAAAAACACGTAAAAATTAACGATTTAAAAATGTTCACAAAAACAAAAATAAATTATATAACACAAGAAACGAAAATAAACTAGAAAAACCAAATATATAACACAATAAACAAAAATAAAACAACAACTATAAAATATAACTCAAGAAATAAACAAAATAAATTAATCCGTACGCTACTGACTCGAATCAGCCGAACCGCCTGCGCAGCAGGGTTCGGAAGTAGTTAATTAAGACGTAATTTACTTGATTAACTACGTGTAGTCTTTCTTCAAAAACTACGTCTTTTCCCGTTCATTAACTACATGAAAACTACGTTAATAAACTATGTATTGATATTATGAATAATTTTCCTTTGTATGAGGTGTAATAGAGATAATATGATGTAAATATTATATTTAAAGCCATATTTCTTCTGTTTTCTTAAATACATTATGTGTTTTTAAAGCTTTAACTTATTATAACCTCACCTCAAACCTTTGATATTTGAAAGTCACATACATAGGTTACATAAACTACACCCTCTACATAAAAGAACTAACAGAATACATTAAAATACGCAACCAACCGTCATTGAACCGTCCAATCAGATCAAAGGAGTAATCGTTGTAGATCGTGCGTTATCGATGATGTTCGGTACCTGGAGAAAATTGACAATTGACAAGAGAATTAATTGTTTATTATTTTTGACTTTTTAGTTCGTTTAATTTAATAATTACTAAAACCAGTAGTTCGAAAGATATATTTAAAAATAAAAGATAAAAATCCAAAAATTAATTATCTATTAACGTGGATTTGGACGACAATAAGTAAGTAAGAACACTAAATTTATTTCTATATTCGATATAAACTTGTTTATTAGGTTTTTAGTTTGTGATGTTTCATGTGATGATCATTTTCATGTTCATCGTCTTTGAATTGACATGAGGATATCTATGGAAAAGTAACTAATCTGAAAGTAAGCCAACATATCGTTTGTCCTTTGTGTGCTAAAGAAAAGATTTTCTTTTCGCATCGTGAGGAAGTATTACATCAATTAAAAAATGTTAGGAAGTTGATTACTTGTCATGGAAAAGTATACCAATGGAAATTATTTGTTAAAGAAGTATAATTCTAAGGGTAAATTTTATTATAATTAGTAACCTGTCTATTTTTTATATGTAGATGTTTCAGGTTTTAAGAATAAATTGGTTGAACCCAAAATCTGGAGGAAGTACCTATATCCATACACAGAATATGCCCATTAAGAATACTAGTCCAAATTTGCTTTAATGGTAGGCAATTATTCAATACAAATTAACTTTTTAAGTGACTGAAATATTAAATAGTTTAGAATATGGTATAACAATGTAAAAAAATACTATTTTCAGGAACGATTAGGGCCCGATATATTTGAAACTCATGTTGGACATAGTATTGAGTTGGGTAGAATATTATTCTACGTTAAGTGAGGATATCAGATACCTATTATTGTACTGTATTTTAATATATACATTAGAATTGTTGGTTTTTTCATATTTGTTTTATATATTATTTTACTTACAAGTTATATAAAGTTAACACTAAAATCTACTTTTTGACTTATATAAGTTAGTCTGTGGTTTAATGCGTGATTACATCCACATTATGATTTCAAGTTTTTAAAATATAAATATTATAACTGGCTTTAAAAACTCCATTAAACTGTTAAAAGTGTAATTTATTTCAAAATAAATATACATATACCTATACCTAGGTATATATTAATATCGAAAAATATATATTAATATCGAAAGACATTTTTATTTCCTTAACACCAATTTAATCATCACATACATATGTATAAACATTTATTTACGTTATTTCAAATGAAGACCACAGGAAAAACCAGCTTTGTTCATTTTAACTGGAGCCGAGAAAATGCAATTACGAGTGAACTACTCTGGTTTTTCTCCTGTAGGGCAAAATAACTAAGCTGTAATATCTCTGGGACTAAGCATATTATTTTGCTTTCTTTGATGGTGCCTCGAATAATGCTAACACTTGCCTATAAAATTGTCTCGGCTGTCAATTTCTATGAAAATGTAACATATTATCTGGTTTTTCCGTGTAGTCTTCAAATGATCTAAAATTCAGCAGGAATGATCCATTATGCAACAAACACACTGATGTTGAATCATTGGAAGCTTTTTTGTGGGCATTTCACAAATAAAATCAAATGTCTGATCAAAAACTGAAAATGCAAAACAGATAGTAAGCTTTATAAATACATACATATATATAAATAATCATACCTACATCTATTTATGTCGTACAATCCAACCGATATTTTAATATCCTAACCCAAGTAAATAATCAAAATGCACTTTTTATATCAAAAGCAGTAATGTTACCAAGGGTTCCAATTAATATCCAGGATTTAAAAAAACACGATCCTAATTCTTATTATTTTTCTAAATACGTATTGTCTGATAGGCAATTACAAAATATAAATCTGATGTAAATAGAAAAATAAAGTAAAAACTGTAAAAACAGGTAAAAACAACAACAAAAATTCTAACCAAAGATTTAACCGTCATACGACATGAGCATCACGTGATTGCACAATACCCAACGATAGGGTACGTACCTCTTTCATCTGATTGGACGGTTGGTTGCGTATTTTAATGTATCCTCTACATAAACTACATTAACTACATGTAATGTAGTTTATGTAGTTTTTAAAAGTAACATGTAGTTTTCCGAACCCTGGTGCGCAGTCGATGAAAGAAACTACGACACTGGTTACTTTCTGTTGATGGAAACCCTAATGGCGGCGTGCGCGACGGTATGCGCGTAGCGTTCCCGCCAAAGAGAGTTAGGGTGCAGCCACACTATCCTAAAAACGGCGTATCGGCGTAATGACCTTGAATAGATTTCCAGTAATTCTATTGGCTGAAATATTTGACAGATAAAATTTCTGACAGATGAATTTTTCAGCCAATAGAATTACTGGAAATCCATTCAAGGTCATTACGCCGTTACGCCGATACGCCGTTTCTAGGATAGTGTGGCTGCACCCTTAGCCTGCTGTATGATTTATATGCCGTGGTGTCGCCTTGGCATCTCCGTTCGGTTGACTTCGTCATGGCATTATTATCTATGGTCATGGCGGCAGTTTTAAATTCTAGTGCAAAGTTACCGATTAAAGTAAATGCACACTGTTAAAATTTAAGGAAAAATAACAGACTTCTTGGCAGTTGAAATGCCATAATATTTATGAAGTTGTAGCACTTTATTTCCAATATTATCAACTGTTATCAATTTTATTATTAATAAATGTTATTTATGATTACCTTATTGTTTTGTTTTTTATTGTTAAGAGTTTACACATTTGCACTTGTACTAATTGTTAATTTAAGTCTAATCTTTAGTTAAGCTTTAGTAGTTGTTGTGTTTCACTTATTATTTATTTTTATCCTCACTTTGTTCTAAACTGTCTTGTTATTATGCTTTTCCTGTTAGACAATTATTAAGATGACATTTTTATTATAACTAAAACTTTATTGATAAAAACACAAAAACAATACATTTATTACATTAACTTGAACATATAATATTTCAAATAATAAAAATACTTTAACTTTAATTTTTTATTTTCTCAGACTTTTGAGATTTAAGATATTTTAGAATGTTCAAACTGTAAATAACCAAATCTTCCAAAGAAATAGAGCAACATAACCTCTCCCACTCATAACGAATTCCTTTATTGATTTCATCTCTAAAACGGGTACCTTTTCTAGTAAATTGGTACCTATTAATTAAACTTAGTTTTAAAGTACTGTTTAGATTGTTTTCAATACGAAATTTAATATCATCCAGTTTTGGAGATAAATAGAGCCAATTGTTGATATAATCAGTTAACTCTTTGCGTGTAATTAACTTGAATATATTTTCAACTTCTTCCTGTAATTTATTGTTCCATTCATCCAAATGTCCGTCTTCTAATATCTTACTTTCACTTCTATAAAACAATACCCTTCTAATTCTTCTCAATATTTTTTTAACAGCTGGAATGATTATAGTATAGAGAAATATTTTAAAGCTATATAGTATCTAAAAAATACTTTTTTCTTTAGGTCCTTCACTAGAGGCAACATGTATTTCTGATGTATTGGTATTATTTGAAGCCACATAACTCGTCATATCTAAAATAAAAATACATTCGGGAAACCCATAAAAACATATTATCGTTGATTGAAGAAATAAGAAGATGCGCAACCTTATGGCCAATTTCGTGGCACAAATCCTGTCTGAGATGTAGCTGGTGTTACCGTCAGCCTGTCCGAGATTTAGTTTAGCTGGTTTAGCTCTGCGCCGCTGCGCGCTGATAGTCCTTAACAGCGCTGCGGATAAAGAATACTGTACTGTAGTTCTGCTTTGAGTCGACAGAGTGAGTGGTTGCCGGAGACAGTGTTGCCAGAACTTCTGATTAAATTGTAGATTTACGGATTTTGTGTACAATACGTTAATAATACGGACTTTTTATCATTAAACAATTTAATATATTATATGATTAAACAAAGAACGGCGACAGAGTTGGAAATGAAGATCGCTGCTATTTCATATGTAAAATATTATGGTAAATGTCAATAATCGTCAATTCAACGTTCAATCATACGACATATTCAGTACCTATAAAAGATTTTTTTTATTTTTGTTCTTTATTCTACCGTATGATCGAAAATAAACAGCGTCAGCGCTGGCTATGAAATGAAGATCGCCTTCATTTTATATTTAAAATTATATGGGAAATGGCATTTCATAGCCATCGCTGACGACGGTTTTTTTCGATCATACGGTATCTTTGATACAAATACATTTTCAATACATAAACGCGGTTTTTTCATCCACAAATATTTTCGTCAACACATATTACACATTTTAATATGGCAACACTGTCGCTTTCAGTTCCACACCGTCTTCGATATGCCTTCGCTAGCCGAATTAGAGTAGTTCTTTATGCGTTTGCCGCAGAATTATTGGTGTCACCACCGTACAGCACTTGAGACGTTGCACTTGAAATCAAATCAGCCTTGTCACGAATTCGCCTATTAGATTATGAATCTCTCCAATTCTTTCAATCAACAATATTATACTTTTTAAAAAGTACAAATGGTAATAGTATAGATCTAATCTAATATTTTGATATATTATTATTATGTAAACGTTACGTGTAATACGCGAAATTTGTTAATTCGCGTTTTAACCGGATAATTCGCCAATTAACTAATTTCGCGTATTACCTGTAAAATATACCGGGTGCGTCTCAAAAGTGGCTCACCCCTATAACTTTTTTATTTTTTCAGATAAAAGAACGAGATTTGGTATGTTATTATATGACATAAATTAGGATTGATTGACATATTCAATTGTTTTCTGTCACTTCCTGTTTCACCGTAAATGACTACAACTTTTGATTTTTAAATGGCACCCTCGGTATTTTTTTTTACTTTATTCGATAGAAAATAACATTCTGAACAGAATGACATATCATATGTCAACTTTTGACATTTTTGCTTAAAACAAAATTGAATTTTAAATTTCAATCTAGAGTGCCATGGCTGTGTTAAAAACACTAATTTTTAATCAAGGAGCCTTGAAAAAAATAAATTTGATCGTCTAATTTTAGTACTTCGTGTCTTATCCTGGCCGGTTAAAAGATACCCAAATCGTATTTTTAATCATTTTTCAATTTTTTCAAATGGAACGAGGGTGGCTCATTAACATATTTGGAAAAAGCATTTTTTAGGAATAATTTGGTACCACACACTTGGTATTTCGAGTCAAATTGTCGTTATGAATCGTATGTTGCAATTTCAAATAAACCATATTTGAAAATGTCAGAAGTTGACATATGATATGTCATTCTATCGAGAGTGTCATTTTCTATCGAATAAAGCCACAAAACACCGAGGCTACCATTTAAAAATCAAAAGTTGTAGTCATTTCCGGTGAAACAGGAAGTGACAGAAAACAATGAAGGAATACGTCAATCAATCCTAATTTATGTCATATACTAACATACCAAATCTCGTTCTTTTATCTCAAAAAAATAAAAAAGTTATAGGGGTGAGCCTATTTTGAGACGCACCCGGTATACTTAAATAATACCTTCATCAAGTCCCAAAGTTGAAATAGGTATTTCTGATGTATCGGCTTTACTTAGAGTTGTATATTTTTCAAAAAATTCGTCCCACGTTTCCTTAACTTGAGATAAATTCTTAGGATCTACAATAAAAATACAGTCGGATATAATATACAGAGTGGCGCACCTCATTCGCCTCGGTTAATTATACGAAACTGGAAAGATGTAGAAACAAAATATTTTATGGGTCTATTAAGAAGGCAATGTGCATAATTTAAAATTATTTTTAAATGTACAGGGAGTGTCAGAACTAAGATCCATACCAAAGTTTTACTTTTTCTTATGTAACACCCGGTATTTTATTTCATTTTTGGATTCTTGGACATAAAATATGGTATTTATTATAAGGATTTAATATGTTTAAAAGCTTTGGATTTTGAGATATTTAAAGATATTTAAATATGCATGCTATAATAAAAAAGTTATAAATAAAACTGTTATAAATTTAAATAAAGTCCATAAACTAATGTCAATTTTCAAAATAGGTACTAACTGTCACTAGAAAACATGGCGACACCAGCCAGCTTGATTGCCATTTTATTAAAAAATCGCTTTTTATTCAAAATCTGAGCCAGATAGGTATAGGAAACCCTAATATAGTTAGAAAGAGCATTTTAAATCTGCTTCGACTTATTTAAAAAAAATATACAGGGTCCGGCAATAGTGCGTCGGGCATCTGTAGCTCCTAGAATAAATAACTTGAGAATTTTGTATAACTTCAAATCTAAAGTATGTACCAAGATGTATTTCAGGAAAATATTTTAACTTCTATAGGGTGGCTCAAAAAAGTATGAGTGGATCTGGATGATTTTTTTTAAATGGAACACCCTATATATTGTTGAATTTTTGGCTTCCTTTCAGATCACTTTACATAATCCTAAGATATGAGTAAATATATTTCGATAGTTTCAGAGATATTAAAAAATAAATCAAAAATATATTTTTTTCAGCCCTTCTTAAAAAAATTTATTAAAAATACAAGAACTGTTCTGAAATCAAAACTATATTAGCTATTTACTTTAGATGGTCTATTCTTACTTTGCTATAAATATGATAATCGTAAATCGTACAGGATGTTCAATATTCTACGCCAAACTTTCTAAAATATAAAATATTTTTTCTTTGTTTTTTTAAATGGAACACCCTGTATATTATTTTTTTATTAGATGTAGAGCTAAAAATGAACATTTTTTGTATTTAAAGTATTTCAAAATTTTTAATAGTTTTGCAGATACACGCAGTATTATTTCATATGGCGCTTACAATGGTAAAATACGTGAGAAAAATCATTGGGTGGCTTTGATAAAAATTTACTGTGGAAAATGCCATATGAAATATAAAACCGCGAATATCTGCAAAACTGTTAAAAATTTTAAAATACTCTAAATGCAAAAAATGTTCATTTTTTAATTCTCCATCTATTGAAAAAATAATATACAGGGTGTTCTATTTAAAAAAACGAAGAAACATTATTTTATATTTTAGAAAGTTTGGCGTAGAATTCGATTAGTTACGATTTCCATATTTATAGCAAAGTAAGTACAGACCATCTAAAGTAAATACCTAATACAGTTTTGATTTCAGAGCAGTTCTTGTATTATTAATAATTTTTTTAAAAAAGGCTGAAAAATATAAAATTTTTATTTATTTATTAATATCTCTGAAACTATCAAAATATGTTTACTCATATCTTAGAATTATGTAAAGTGATTTGAAAGGAAGCCAAAATGCAATAATATACAGGGTGTTCCATTTTAAAAAAACATTCCGATCCACTCACACTTTTTAAGCCACCCTATAGAAGTTAAAATATTTTCCTGAAATACATCCTCGTACATACTTTGGGTTTACACTGAAACAAAATTCTCAAGTTTTTTATTCTAAGAGCTACAAATGCCCGACGCACTATTGCCGGACCCTGTATATACAAGGTGACGCACCTCATTCGCCTCATTACTTTTCAGAGTTAATTCTTGTGCTGACTTTGAAGCCAGAGAAATAAATTTTACTAAAAAAATGTATTGCTTCCTTAAATGTATATATGCTGGTCTATTTTAAATATTTAATTTACATAAAAACTTCGTTATTTCAAATACAACACTATGTATTTTTTAAAATAAGTCGAAGCAGATTTAAATGCTCTTTTAAACTATATAAAATAAATAAATAAAAAATAATAAATAAATATAATAAACTATTTTATTTTAACTATACCTATCTAGTTTTCAATAAAATGGTTATCAAGATGGCTGGTGTCGCTATGGCAATTTGCTAAAAAAAACGCTTTATTGTACAAAAAGCCAAAACAGCTTCATCGACCGAGCAAAAAAAAAGCACAAAAACAAATATACGAATAATACAAAAAATGTCATACAATACAAATCAATTCAAAAAAAAAAATTACGTCATAAAATTACAAATAAAACATAAATATATGGACATTGCAGAACACAGGCGTATAGAAAATTTTACAAAAGGAAAACTGTAAATGGATAAAATCATGTTATAATAACATAAAATCAAGAGTTATAAAATATTAAATACTAGACCTTTAACCATGATCAAAATATTAAAATTAAAATTCTAAATTGTTCATGATTAAACATCAACAAAAAAGTCGTTTACCGCATATAGGGAGGGCTCTCTCCAGTAAGTATGATTTCAGAGCTTTGCGAAATGCGGGAAAGAATGAAAGTGACTTGATATTCGAAGGCAAATGATTGTACATTTTCTTGGCATTGTACAGTATTGAGCCCTTAACTAGTTCTGAGCTCGGGGTTGGCAGATAAATATCGTGCTCCGCATTCCTAAGTGGATAGTTGTGAGAAGGCCTTTCCGGAATAGAGAATATGTGCTTGCGGATTAAGCAAACGGATTCAAAAATGAATAAGGAAGGAAGAGTCAGTATTTTGAAATTTTTAAAGAAATTCTGGCAGTGAGTTCTACTGTTTAGTCCCAATAAGTATCGAACTGCTCTCTTTTGAAGTTTGAAAATACGATCAAATTTTGTCGCGCAGCAAGTACCCCAGAATGGAAGGGCATAACGAAGATGCGACTCAAAAAGGGCATAATAGACCATTCTAGAGGTTGATGAGTTAAGTTCCTTAGACACTGATCTTAGCGCAAAACAGGCAGAGCTTAGTTTCTTTGATAAGGCTTCGATGTGCAAGTCCCATTTTAAAGAGTTGTCCACAACAAGTCCTAAGAATCTCACAGAGTCCACGACGTCAATAGTGGTGTTATTAAGTACAAAAGGTTGTATAGTACTTTTATATGACAAAACTTTAGTTTTTGAAAGGTTGAGGCATAGGAGATTAGAATCGCACCAAGATTTAATGGTGCGTAAGTCACTGGATATAGTAGTGCCGTAACATCTGGGCCGCTCCAAGTGAAACTAGTATCGTCCGCAAAGAGGCAGATTTTACCGCTAATGTCTAGATTTGCAATGTCGTTGATAAACACCAGAAATAAAATAGGACCAAGTACTGAACCCTGAGGGACACCACATTCTATAGGCTTACAAGAAGACATAGACGTGTCAATCCTCACAAGTTCTGTTGTCCTCTCGGCTGTTCTGTTCTTCTGTTGCCAAGATACAACTTATGCCATTCGAGCGGCACTCCCTGAATCCATAGTTTTGCAATTTGTTAATTAAGATATTATGATTTACACAGTCGAAAGCCTTAGAGAAATCACAGAAAATTGTAGCTGTAGAGTGATGGTTATTCAGGCTAGAATATACATTATTAAAAAGGTCGAACATAGCATCATTTGTACAACTGTTACTTAGAAATCCAAATTGATGGGTAGAAAGTACTTTATATTTAAGGAGAAAAGATAGAAGCCTTTTTTAACCAATCTTTCAATGATCTTAGATAATGTGGACAGGAGAGCAATTGGGCGATAGTTCGAAGCTTGATCTTTATCTCCTCCTTTATGCAGAGGAATAATTATTGCTGTCTTAAGGCAGTTTGGAAAAACTCCTTTTTGGAATGACTCATTAATTAAAGTAGTAAGATAGATTAATGTGCATTCTGGAAGTTCAGAGAACATTTTGAGAGTAAGCCCATCAGTCCCAGATGAGAATTTATTTTTAATACTTTTAATTGTACTACGGAGCTCATCTAATGCTACGGGCGTGAAGAAGAAACTGTGCTTCTTATCTCATTTGCTTTAGGGAGATATGAAAGTGAATCATGAGAAGGAGTTATGGTGTTCACTAAATTTTTAGCCACATTAACAAAGTAAGTGTTTAAATCTTCAGGTGAATTAAAGACTGTGCCAGACGAAGAAGTCTTATTCCTTAAGTCATTTACAATAGCCCCAAAGTCTCTTTAGCAACATTACCGGATTTGGCTAGCCTCCCATTATAATAAATGTCCTTGGCAGCTTTTATAGTCTTACGATAAACCCTTCTATAAAGTTTTACGTAATTATGAAAGAAAACGCTGTCTGTGAATTTTTTAAGGTGAGATAATGAGCCATGTTCTTTGCAGATATACGCAAGCCGGTCGTAGACCAGGGTATACCTTGCTTACTTTTGATAGGCCTAAGCGGAAACGCCTTGCACGCCAGATTAGACAAGGTATTTATAAATCTAGAAAATTCGGAATCGACGTCAGCCGAGAGGACAACCCACTCAGTTGTTAGACATAGGTGGTGAAAATTTAGAAAATTTTTATCCGAAAAAATACGGCCCAATTTGCGCGAGGTATTTTTGCATTTGGAATGTGGCAAAAACGTTGTCAATACTGCCTCATGATCAGAAAAACCTGAGTGAAGGACTCTACAGTCAACGAATTCCGGGTCAAAAGACGACACGACACAATCTATAGTACTAGAGCCAGTTTTAGTTATTCTAGTGACAGTTAGTAGCTATTTTCAAAATCGGCATTAGTCTATGGAATTTATTTAAATTTATAACAGTTTACTTTTATTTAATTTACCTACAGTAGTTTAATAAGTATTTATTATTTTATCAGGAAAAATAAAGAAGTAGTTCTTTGATTTATATTACGATGACTTGTAGATATTTTGGATTTTCTATAGAAGAGCCAATAGGTCTGTCAACAAAATTTAGTTT